GTGTGTGTGTGTGTGTGTGTGTGTGTGTGTGTGTGTGTGTGTGTGTGCAGTGAAGGGCTTCCACTCTCCTCTTTACTTGTGCTTTTGACATTAATACAAATGCTGTTGTCCTTCTCCAGGGTGTGTGTGAGGAGATGACTTATGAGATGATCGAGAACGCGTTCCCAGAGGAGTTTGCTTTGAGGGACCAGGACAAGTACCACTATCGTTACCCAGGAGGGGAGGTGACCTGACAACACTCCTTCCATACTTTTGTTTGCAATAAACTGAATCCTGTTTGTTTAAATGTGTCCTTCAACGGTGGGTTTAAAACAGTCTCTTCTCTCTTTCAGTCCTACCAAGACCTTGTTCAACGCTTGGAGCCGGTTATCATGGAGTTGGAGAGGCAGGGCAACGTGTTGGTCATCTGCCACCAGGCTGTGATGCGCTGCCTGCTCGCTTACTTCCTGGACAAGAGTGCAGGTCAGACAAACACAAGTGCACACACACACACACATATACACATATGACCTCCCACCAGCAGATGATAAGACAATTTTGCATACTCTCTTCTTCATCCCATAGAAGACCTGCCATACATGAAATGCCCGCTCCACACAATACTCAAGCTGACCCCTGTTGCATATGGTAAGCTTTTACCTATAGCTCTCAATATTACACCATAACACTGATTATTTTTCTGCATTGTATGCATGTTTTATAAAGAATGTATTCTATCGCCTATCCTCTAGGTTGTAAAGTGGAGATGTTTTATCTCAACGTGGAGGCAGTGAACACGCATCGAGACCGGCCTCTTGTAAGTCGCTCTGCATCGAGCTGAACCACATTGTTGCATGAATGTGCATACAGCATCGTTAAAGTAAAGCTTCAAATGTGATCATCGCTGCAAATTATGTTTCTTGTTTACTTGCAAAGTAATAATTCCAAACTCATCAGAAAATCTCACGGTCTAATCCAAAGTCTAATTGGCTCGTTGTGTCTGCACTTCATCCCCTGTGTGAGGCTTTGCTGCCTTGAATCCCTTTTCTGTGTCCCGGTTTTGTTTTGTTGCTTTTATCTTTAACCCTAATTAATCAGCCTGGCTTGAGCTGCAAGCTAATGAATGTTAAGTCAGTTGTTAATTTGGTGTTCTTTTACCTTGATGGAGGCAACGGCTGATCTATATCCATTTTTAAATCTTATATTAATCTTGATTGGAGCAGCTGTTCGTCTGTCAGTGCAATCAGGACTGCACTGTTACAGTTCATCAATGTTTGTTGTCGTGTGGTTGAATAACTTGGTTGAAACAGCGTCTGTCACTTAAAACGGCTTCAGATGTTTTAACCTGTTGCTGTGGATCCATGTTGATAGGACGGCTAGTTTGTGTCTGGTAAGGTGTCGCCCCCCCCCCCCCCCCGGCTCTTTGTGTGTTCCCTCATCTTTTTCCCCTAACATTTGCGGTATTTCATCTCCTACCAGGATAAAATCCCCAGGGACTCTGCTCTCATACATCGGCGGAATAGTTACACGCCCTTGTCCAGTCACGACCAGGTCAAGCGTCCCAGGCTCTACAGCGCGGGCAACCAGCCCTGGCTACCGCTCGCCCCCACCCCATCAGCTCTGATGCCAGAGGGACGGCAAAGCCAAGTTAGTGCCATAGCTACAGGCTCCCCCATTAAATCAGTCACCGTCAAATGTACTCAGTCACCTCCCACCACAGTTTGTAACCCTGTGTCTGGCATTCCCTCGCCTCAGTTTTGGATTGTCTCAATGATTTAGTTTTCCGTGTTTAAAATGACGTATATAGAATCCATCTCTGTATCTTTCTCTCTCAGGGCATGTCTTGGATCTTGAATGGTCTTTTTATGTTGCGCCTGTCTGTTTCCAAAGTCAGATGTTTGTCTTGCATGACCTCTGCTTCACGACTGGGCTGTCTCCGGCTTGAATATGCAGAACAGCACGTCTACTTTTATTAGTTAGCCTCTACGGGATAGAAAAGACACACACACCAAAGGCATCTTGTACTGTATTTTGGTACAAGTACACATTGTTAGCTAAACTTAACCTTCATAAATCTACAGTGATGATTAAAAACTGAATCAATTTGAGAAAATGAACACATTCTACAAATCACAGATGTCAAACTTACAAAAAATGTTGAAATTTTAAAATGCATATTCATCTTTGTACGTGTTGTGTATGTGTTGGCCTGGCCTCATGGGTAAAGTGCTACAGCCCCTCTCCACATTTCTATCTCTCTCTTTCCCCACTTCCTCTAAACCTGTCTTACAGCCTCGGACAGGAAGCAGTTGTCTGTGAGTATTTTGGAGATTTAGTACATGTGTAGCCCGCCTTTCATTTTCTTTCCCACAGTTCAACTCATGTCATAGTAACCCATGGCCATCTGTCGTCACAGTGGTGCATTTTTTATGGTTTTCAATCTTTTGGTTTGTCTAACCTTCGAACCACCTTTGTACTTAAATAAGAACGAAAGCTGTCGCCATTGTTTCATCTCAGTGTCCTTATTAGGACAACTCTTATCAGACGCTGATTCTGTGGTAGTTTCATAAATGGTAAAACTCTTTGATTATAGTATTTATTAGACACCTAAATATATTTCTAAATGGGAAAATAATGTAGGAATTCTCAGGGTATTTAAGTATTGATTTCCTTGTTATTGCATACAATTAAGGCTACTATATCACGCTAGGAGCCGGAATGTGATTTATAATGAATCACTTCTTGAGAATGTGCTAAAGAAGAGTCTCCACTAATGTGGACTGTCACATTTCTCAGAATGACCTCATTTTTCAAATAGGAACTTAAAAGACTCCTGGCCCCGCTGGTAGGCTGTTAGCTTCCTCCAGTAGGATCTGCTGCTGTTTGGCTTTCATTTGTGAACGTCGGTGACATTTTCTTTTCCTTGAAGGAGTCCCTGTGCGAAGGAAGCGACTCTGACAGTCCAGAAGAAACTAGTGGCTGTGTTCGCTTCTGAGTGAAGATGAAAGCCTCTTCCTTCATGGCACAATGTGGGCAACAGTTCTGGGTTCAGTCACGAATCAAAATATATATATATATATATATATATATATATATATTTTTTTTTTTTTTTTTTGTTTTTTTTGTTTTTTTAAACCACATTTTTGGAAATGATGGTCAGATTATGAGGTCACTTTTTGGTTTTGGTCCTATCTATCTTAACCTCTCTGTTTAACTTTACTCTGCATGCCGAGGCTGAGAACTGGAAGCCTGACTATTATAATCATAAACACTTCTGCATGTGCAACAAAACCAATCAAAACAACAGGCAACTAATCATCATTGTAAATAATACAATGCCTTACTGAAGTTAAAGTATATCAATAGAATTAGCTCTTCTGTATGAATGTAACAAGAACAATTTTCACTATTGCAAATAGTTATAAAGTAGATGTAGTACACATATTTTTATAATATAAATACCCTCATCTACCATGTAAACAAGCTGTAGATCTTATAAAATGTATTCCGAGCTATTATCTGTTATGTCTTATCTTATTGATTAGGTTTATTGTGTATTGTGTTTGTTATTTTAGGATTTGAGAGAATGTAGTTTTTGGCTTCTAAAGGAAATTCAAATACTGAAATGGTTTGTTAGACTAATACACAACATTTCTGGACATACTGTGTACCAGCAGCGGTTTTAAAACCAACGTAGTTTTCTGTCAAAAGCTGAAATTTCACAATGTTCACAAGCTAGTGTTATCTGTCACAATGTTCACTAAATCCTAAAAGTTAATCAGTTATTCAGTTATTCAGTTATTCAGTTAATCAGTTAGTCCAGTTAATGTATTGTTCGTCTTGCCTCTATATATGAGGAAGGGATGTTGTGTAACAAAAGCATAACATTTAATGGTATTTTAGCTATTTCTTGACATTTGTGTTCATGTTATCATCCTGGCCAAACTTTTAATGAATTTATTTTAATGTATCTTTACCCTTTAAATTTGCTTTAAATCAGCCATATCCGAAACACAAAATCCTTCTATTTTACTTACTAATAATAGACAGATGCACAAGTTCCACTCTATGACTGTGTAAGTTTTGACTGTTAAGTTTTTTGCTGAATCAGCCTACTTGTGCCTTTTAAGCAGACAATAAAAGTGAGTTTTGAAGTTACATGAATTTATTCCCTGTAAAAATGGAGACACTGAGCATGTGATATTTTCCAAATGGTTATTCTATTATTTGTGGCCTTCATTTAATTGTTCTTTGTTTCACAATCCTTAAAGAACTGAATAAGACATATAGAAACAGCTTTGCTTGATATATATTAGGCCTCCGAGATTGGAAGAGATTTCAAATCAAGGTCATTACAGTTCATGATTATTGGACAGATGGGTGTAAAACCATACAAAATTATTAAGTCAATTGTAAGCAGATATAACTGTAATTAATTGTTTTAAAGAACTGGAAACTAATGTGTTTTGGCCTCATCAACAGAATAAATGCGTTCTATTCTCTTGATGTGTTTCTGCGGTTTACTATTTATATTCTAGCAGCACTCCACCCACTGCAACACTTGCAACAAGGAATTCAAACCTTAAAAACATGAATAATAAGTTAACAACTAATAATTTGTTTTTGTTTTTTTTAACTACAGTCCTTATCTAAACACATGAGGTGAGAAAAAGACCAAGGCTGGATTAGTTATTAGTGTTTGTCAATGGGATTTTGAAACAGGTTTTCTTACCTCTGGAACAAAAGTTAGCGTCACACTGGTTCCCTCGACAAAAAGCCAATGAGATTTTATATTGTATTTTGGATTATTGCAGAAAATAAGCTCTGTGGCAAACACAAGTTTGTGATACTTTAGTTCAGCAAGATGATCAACTCAACACCACTCGATGTGTAATTGCAAATGGTACACACAAGCTTATGTGATTTAACATTTTGTTTTACGACCTATGCATCCTTAAATACCCCACTCATACATTTTTGCTTTTACGTGTCTTGAAAAAGGCTAAATGAGACTTTGAAATGTCATCACACAGACTACTCCGGCATCACAGCCAATTTGTGTACTCGCGCTCATGCAACCGTAACATTGGTGTAGTTCGTTTATAACCTAACGTTAGCTTTTTACTTCTGTCGATTTCATTTATGCTTCAAAAATTATAAAAGTGTTTATTTGTAAAAGTTATCTTTCTGAACAAAACATTTAAGTATTATAATCTTGTGTTTCCATAGGTCTTATTTTCTGCAATATTCCAAAATACAATGGAAAAAATCCCATTGGCTTTCTGTCACGGGAACCCGTGCAATGCCAACTTCCGGGGTTGGTCTACAGAAATACTTTGGCCCTGCACCAATAGCTAACTGTTATTAGGGGATTTACGGTAAAGGCGTGGTTTGTCAGCCAGAGAGCTTCACGACGTCGTAAAGACGTAAACTGACGTTCTACACATCAGTCTCACTGGATGTGTATATTGTTTAAGGCTGAGCTGAAGTCAACAGCAGGTAAGAAGAAAAATAACTAAGCTGGTTTGCATGTCACGTAATACACCATGTCGTGTATATAAGGCAGGAAACAGAATTTACCAAAGTCTGCCTGGATGCTTGTAAAAACGGTCGACTTGCAGGTTAGCATGCTAACATTAGCAGATGATACATGATATAGCTAGTTGGCTCACACGTTACATGTTAGTGATTCCGGACAAGTCACGTTGTTTCTTTCATAACGTTACTTGTTCAAGATGAACGTGTCAATAACTCCTACTGCTATTTCTTGAGTTATGCAACGATTGGCTCCACATACAGCTGAATGTGTCTTGCTTAGCAGGGCGGTCCTAGCCCAGCCCACTATCTCCTGCTGTTGAGTTCACTAAGTCTGGCTGACAGAACAAAGAAAACAAAACAAAGCAACGTCGCTGTCATGTGTTTTACCCTGCTGCTCGTCAGCAGTTTAATTGTTATGCCGGGTCCATTTAGAAACAGCCTGGTTGTTGCTCTGTTGCATAAGTTAGGCAAACAAACACAATGAGAACTAGCTCATAGCTACACGGTACAAGTGCTTAATTCCAAACTAACGTTAAATAAGCAACACTAAACACGCGATGAAGTATTTTGAGGTAACTTGAATGCATGTTTTCTGAAAAGGTAAAACCCATGTTTTAAAAGATTCGAGGTCGTTTAATCCCCTCACCGATAAACTAGTTGCGTTGCATATAAGGGACAACTCCACCTATTATGAGTGCTTCAGGGGTTCAGGGGGGGCTCTAGTCCCAGTTTGTGCCTCACAGTTAATCACAAACCTCGCCACGTTTTTTTTTGTTGTTTTTTACATTTTGATAATCCTTTAGGCATTTTTATTTCCATTCCATAACCCAAATAACGATGGCAACCAGAAATAATAGACCCTGCTTTCTTGTCTGGTTGCCTTTTTTATTTTTGGACCAAGGAAGGAGCCCCACCCTTTCTCAAATACAGACCACTCCTTAGTTGAGGTAAATATTTGAGTTGATTTGAAATGGTGCACTACCTTTTGTCTACTTTCACTTTTTAAAGCAGGAAATTACTGTTTTCTTTTAGTTTAAAACTAAAAATGACTTATCTACCAGTATAATGTGTGACAGGCATATACATTGTTGTTCCATCATTAGAATGACAACAGTCTCATTTGCTGCACTCAACACTAAAAACACAGTTGCTCAATTGTACATCCATCCATCCATCCATTTTCCTCCGCTTATCCGGGGTCGGGTCGCGGTGGCAACAGGCCAAGCAGGCTGACCCAGACTTCCCTCTCACCGGCAACATGTTCCAGCTCATTCTGGGGGATCCCGAGGCGTTCCCAGGCCAGCTGGGAGATGTAATCCCTCCAGCATGTTCTGGATCTTCCCCGGGGTCTCTTCCCAGTTGGACGTGCCTGGAAAACCTCCAGTGGGAGGCGTCCAGGAGGCATCCTAATTAGATGCCCGAACCACCTCAGCTGACTCCTTTCGACGCGAAGGAGTAGCGGCTCTACTCCAAGCTCCCTCCTGATGACCGAGCTCCTTACCCTATCTCTAAGGCTGAGCCCGGCCACCCTACGGAGGAAACTCATTTCGGCCGCTTGTAGCCTCGACCTTGTCCTTTCGGTCACGACCCAGAGTTCGTGACCATAGGTGAGGGTAGGAACGTAGACCGAGTGGTAAATTGAGAGCTTTGCCTTCCGGCTCAGCTCCCTCTTCACCAAGACGGTCCGGTGCAGCGCCTGCTTTACTGCTGCAGCCGCACCGATCCGTCTGTCGATCTCCCGCTCCATCTTACCCTCACTCGTGAACAAGACCCCGAGATACTTGAACTCCTTCGCTTGAGGTAGGCACTCCGTCCCCACCTGGAGGGAGCAATCCACCGGTTTCCGGCAGAGCACCATGGCCTCAGATTTAGAGGTGCTAACTCTCATCCCCGCCGCTTCACACTTGGCTGCAAACCGCCCCAGTGAATGCTGGAGGTCACGATCCGAGGAGGCTAACAGGACCACATCATCTGCAAACAGCAGAGAGGCGATCCCGAGACCCCCGGACCTGACGTTCTCCACCCCCAGGCTGCGCCTAGATATCCTGTCCATGAAAATCACGAACAGGACCGGAGACAAAGGGCAGCCCTGGCGGAGGCCAACACCCACCGCGACCCTCTCGTTCTCCGGGGAGAACTCCAACACAGCGGCGCTCAGCCGGGGGCTCGTGAGTATCCCCACTCCCGCCTGGCACCTCTCACCCTGGGCAACTCCGGAAAAGGACAAAGTCCAACCCCTCTCCAGGAGCTTGGTTCCAGAGCCAGCGCTGTGTGTGGAGGTGAGTCCAACTATATCTAGCTGGTACCGCTCCACCTCCTGCACCAGCTCTGGCTCTTTCCCCGCTAGCGAGGTGACTTTCCACGTCCCTAGAGCTAGTCTATGCTGCCGGCGATCGGCTCGCCCAGGCCTCCCGCCTGACCCGCCGCCCGGTCTGCATTGCACCCGACCCCGATGCTTATCCCTGCATACAAGCTGAAGGACGTTGTTTTCGCTGCAGAAGCTTGTGAACCGAAAAATCTCTGCATTTAGGATTTAGGTGGCTGTTTATTCGGGCTGAGCCCGACCGGGCCCCATGGGCGAAGGCCCGGCCACCAGACGCTCACCGACGAGCTCCCCTCCTGGGTCTGGCTCCGGGAGGGTGCCCCGGTTTCCCTGGTCCGGGCGAGGTGACTGAAGTCCGTGGGCTGCTTTTCATTGGGGTCGTTTTGAACCGCTCTAAGTCTGGGCTCTCCCCTGAGACCTGTTTGCCTTGGGAGACCCTACCAGGGGCTACTGCCCCGGACAACATAGCTCCCAGGATCACTGAGCCACTCAAACTCCTCCACCACGTTAAGGTGGCGATTCGCGGAGGAGTCGATTGTACATATGAAGAGAAATGTTTCTAACCTGATTTAAAAATGAGTTCACATCTAAGATCTTCTAGCAGTGTATTACAGTTGCATGCAGCATAGAAGCTACATTGGCAAAAAGCCAATATGAAACTCCGTTTCATATTATAACGGATGCTTTTGGGAAAGTGTTTTTCTAGTGTGCATGCATGCACACAAGGTTCATTATTTATATTTTGAGAATAGTTTACCAAAGCTGTCAGTAGGCAAAATGCCATCTCAACCCAGGAGGATGGTTGTATCTGACTTTGATACTTGAACTACCGGCATATTCACAAATATTCTAATAACAGTGTGCAGTCACATAAGTTAATGTGAAAGTGACAGGAATTTTAACTTTTCTCTTTTATTGACGGATGTAGATTTTGGTTGCCTTTTTAAAGATAAGAGGTGAGGATATTTGTTATAATTGTTATTCTAAAATATAGTTGGATTGTTGAAATAACTACAAGTTTTCATCAGTAACGAGAGAAATGGCATTTATTTTGAAGGTAAACTGTAATTTATACTTTTCATGCATACACTGGTGCCTATGCTTGGGTCAGAAATTATGGCCAGAATGCACCAAATTGCACTATTTCCGAAAAACAAACGTCTAGGGCGGCAGCATGTCCCCCTCTACCATAACTCCTGCTTTTGGTGCTCTTCATCACACAGCCTGGACACATTCTCCCCAGCATCCATGGACGTACAACTCCAGCACTTTTATGACTACTATACTATATTTTCTATAACTTACTCCAACTATGACTTTTTTTATGACTCTTCATACTATGTCACACTATACTATGACACACTATACTATGACACACTATACTATGGGGCTTCACCAAATAGTTGGGAGCTTTATTCATTGCGTTGACATTATAACAGTTATCATTAATGAATAGCTTCCAGACACATTGCACACAATAGTTCACCCTCCACCTTTCCTCTTCCTCACACACTCAACTCTGTAGTTGACTCAGTCCAGAAGTCAAAATGTATTGATAAAAGAAAGATGGCGTAATTGCGGAAATCCACAAACTTTTTTACCTCGTGAAATGTGCCGCTTCAATCCATATTTGTTGGACTTTCGCCTTTCAAGAACACTGCGGCCAAAGACCTGTTTGCTCTCAGGCTTACCGCGCACACAGAGAGGCACGTGTTAACGGGGCAGTCTAGCAGCAGTCCAACACCACTGTTCATTACATTTATACACAATAACACAAAATCATATGTGTTGGGGGTTATGACATCATAGAAAATGACAGACATTCAAAAACCTCAAGCTTCGTATGTGAAAAACTAAATGACATTCAGTAAAGTCGTTTTCTACTGTTACGACTTATTTATGTCACACAAAACTATGACATTCTTTCACTATTTTCTGTGCCTCTTTTGACATGCTATAACATACTACACTATGACATTTTTATTCCATAATATACTTTGATACTATACTAGTTTTTCTAACATTTACTTTAAATACTACAGTATGATTTATGATATACTTTTCTATGAATTTTTTATGACGTACTACAGTATTTTTTGTTATTGTTTTTTATGGCATGCTAGACTATTTGTTATTACACACTCTACTATGACATCTTTTGGCACTTTTTATGACATTTCTCTGATATACTATACTATGACCATACTGTACTCAGTAACAAGTGATGATGTAACCTTCCTTAACAAACTGGATATGAATACAGTTCGATACATTCCAGCTAGGATTGTATCGTCATTAACCAACATAACGAATTACAAAGTTGATTTAACGGTCTTTATAAATCCAGATGTTCAGAAAGTGTTCTCTTGATCGCTACAATTCCTTGACAACAAATGTGCCTGCAGTGTTACTGACATGTTGTCTCCTGTTTTTATAGGTAGGATGTTGCGGCTTCGCTGTAAGACCAAAAATGGCAGCCACATAATGCAGGGCTTGACTCATCAGTCCTGCGTGCAAGAGCTGAAGAGTAAGGTGGAGGAGCTGACTGGTATCCCCTGTGATGTGCAGAAGATCATGGTCGGTTATCCTCCCTCCAGCCTGGATCTTCAAAATGGAGACGCTCACCTCAAGGACTACCCCATCAAATCAGGCACGTTATCAGAAATCCAGATACATTCACAGCATTGATCATTTGTATGACTGTTTTATTATTGAATTACATGTTTTCAAAACATACCACGACTGTTATGACTGGGTTAACCTTAAGCAACCATGACAATTATGGACAGTGTTCTGTGAATTTCCCAAAGCAACTGTTTTTTAAACTTAATTATTTAATGCTATGAGAAATTCAGTTCACCTCGTTGTATTGAAGTGGCAGCAGGAATCTCAAAACGTGGCAAACCGACCCTTAAGCTCAACATTTAGTTACCGTGATAGTTTAAAAATAAGATGCATCTTCCTCTCTTCTTACCCGAGTTGTGTTGTCTCAACCTCTACAGGAGACACGCTCATAGTTGAGGAAGAAAAGAACAAGCCAAAGCCTCCTCCGGATCATCCCACTGTGACTAAAGCTCCACGCCTGGAAGCCTCACCCACGCTGGCACGTCGAGTGGTCCCAGCTGACAACTCCTGCCTCTTCACCAGTGTGTATTATGTGGTGGAAGGTGGCGTATACGACCCGGCTTGTGCCCCTGAGATGCGAGGCCTCATCGCCCAGATTGTGTCCAGTGACCCCGCAGCTTACTCGGAAGCGGTGCTGGGAAAGACCAACGAGGATTACTGTGCGTGGATAAGACGTGACGACACCTGGGGGGGAGCCATCGAGGTGTCTATCATGTCCAAGTTCTACCAGTGTGAGATCTGCGTGGTGGACACTCAGACGGTCCGCGTGGATCGATTCGGGGAGGACGCCGGCTACCACAAACGCGTGCTGCTCATCTACGACGGCATCCATTACGACCCGCTGCAGAAAGAGACGGCCGGCTCCGACACTCCGCCCCAGACAATCTTCTCCACCACGGACGACGTGATCCTGGCACAGGCCCTCGAGCTCGCGGACGAGGCCCGCCGCAAGCGCCAGTTCACGGACGTTAACCGCTTTGCGCTGCGCTGCATTGTGTGCCAGACGGGCCTGGTGGGACAAAAGGAAGCTCGTGAGCACGCCAAGGAGACGGGCCACACCAATTTTGGGGAAGTGTGAACACTGTTGTCTTTTCTGCCTCTCACAAATACAACCGCCACCAACCCCGTGCCCCAGTGTCTGTCAATCTGCTCGTGTGATCCTCTACCTCACGTTGTCCAGCGACGTCTTTGGAGAATCTGTAGACATTGTGTTCAGCCTCTCGCTTAGTATTTCTGTTTAACAGCGGTCAGTTCTCATAGTCAGAAACACTACTGCAGTACTCTGATGTCTCTAAACCATATTTTTATTCCACTAGGATGGTTTCAAATCTATTTAACTGGGTCAAGTAAAAACTAGGAACCATTCTGAGGACATGTTTTAATCTCTTTGGGTTACTCGATGGCTTGGTTGTGCCGATAACAAACCAAATGACGCCTCACGTGTTGGCAATTAGAAAATGCACCAAATTGCCCAATACCTAACTGTGACTAACTGAACTTCTATTTTATAAAACCTTGTTATCTGGCTCTAGAAAGAGTTTAATGCAACCATTAAGAATGAGTTGCACTATGATGTGATCCTATTCACTGTTGTCTTAAGAGCAGCACACAAAGAATGACTGTTATCATGTTGGCTGTGTAGCATGTTTTTTTATTTCCCTCGATTTATGTCAAACTCTTCTAATATAATAAATGATCATTTGGTTAATTGTAGACGTCCGAGTAGTTCAGCACAGTTGGGCTGTTCATGCTAAACCACATTGAGATTGAGGTTATGCATTTTGAAATCATTTAGCAATCTGTGATCCAAAGTTGGCCTAATTATGTCTTTTTTTGTACCCTTCCTTTTTGTGATGTGACACTGTTTATCAATGAACTTATTTTAGATTAGACAAAAACATAATGGTGCTGAAACATTTCAGTTTCTGTAGCTCAGTTATTCTTCATGGGTACGACAGTATTTCAGGAGTCTCATTTTAATTCTAGTGTCATTTTCAAATCTCATCATGCTGTTATCTTTAAAATGTTTTTGTTTTAAATTGAAGAACACTAAGAGTGATGAGGTGTTTGTATCTCAGATACAAGTCATTGTGGGAGTGTAGTTACTAGACAGAGTGTGAGACGTTCTATATGAGATGAATCCTGCTCACTTAATGGTTCACTGTACAGGTACATTCTGTGTTTAGCTCATCAGCATTAAACATTTTACAGCTTATATTTACAGCCCCAAAAGTATTTCTAGTCGGGGTGTTTGAAAACCACGACTAAAAGAGCATTTGGTTTAATATGTAGTGCATGTTGTCAAAAACAAAAAAAAACGCCATTTTGTTCCACTGTATGTTTCGCACAACTGGAGCATGTTGTCGCATCTCTTTGCTCAGTCCTTTGATACTCACTGCCTATGAGGATGGAGCATTCATTGACTTATGTTAAACCACAGATCAAACATGTTAAATTGAAGGACATTAATATATTGTTGGGCTTTTAGCTTAAATCCCACTTCATTATGGCCTCCCGTTGTGCAGAACCAGTATTTCTACTTCACATATCTGTGATGGCAATATTGGGAACTAGTTTTTGCCAAAAATGTAAGTTGAACAGTCGAGGCGTTGAGATATTTCTTCAGAGATGGTGTTGGATATTAACAAAAGGCAAAGCTAAAATGAATTGCTATGATTTATTTTCCTCTGTTAACTTGAGGTATTTTCTTTCATTTTAAGTGTTTATGGATTATGTCAGCTTACTTCAAAGTGAAACTATGAAATGGCTTTGTTGTATTTTGTATTTACAAAGTTCTCAAGACTCTTCAAGGACTATAACGAAGAATGTTGCACACGAAGCACTGCAGAATAACTGGATTTACTTGATTCTTTTCAGTGTTGTCACAATTAAAAGTTATAGCCGACGGTGTTGGGTACGAGTTGTTTTGTGTCAACGCATTCCTTTTTTCCAGTTCACTCTTTAAGCCATTTATGTTTTGTCTGTAGTGATTGTTAAAATTCAGTTCACCTTATTTTCTTATACTTTTTGTAACACTAGCCATCCCCTCGCCATCTATTTATAGCTCCTGTTGACAATCCATGGCCAATAGGAATAAACCCTTGTTGGCCTAACCTCACTGATCCTGTGCCATCGTAGTGGGATTACACCACCGACATGGTATTCTAGGTACATCTACCCTTTCTTAATAGGGTAATACCATTTGTTCACCAGCTGTTTGCTGGTCAAAGAGACTGTGTGAAAGTACACTTATCATATGCAATCAGCATTTAGACTTGAACTAGTTTTACAGTGATAACACATTTGTTTATATGATAAACTGTACTTTTGCACAATTAGAATTTTTTTCTTCTTTCCAGTTTTATGCAACTTCATCCTTCTACTTCACTGCATCTAAGAGGCAAACGTTCTTTTTCTCCACCATATTTCTGACAGGTTTAGTGACTTGAGATTACAATTTGTCATATCCTTAAAATTCTCTGTTTTGAGCCAAATTAACAATTTAAAAAACCCTCATGGAGCTTGAATCATTCTTTATGACATGCTACACTGACTATTTTTAACATGCTGTACTATGACTTTTTTTTAACATGCTATACTATGACTTTTTTTTTAACATGCTGTACTATGACTTTTTTTTAACATGCTATACTATGACTTTTTTTTAACATGCTGTACTATGACTTTTTTTTAACATGCTATACTGACTTTTTTTAACATGCTGTACTATGACTTTTTTTTAACATGCTGTACTATGACTTTTTTTTAACATGCTATACTATGACTTTTTGACATTTATACTATGACTTTTTTTACTTTTTTCCACATGCTATACTATGACTTTTTCCACATGCTATGACTTTTTCCACATGCTATGACTTTTTTCCACATGCTATAATATGACTAATGTTTTTCGACATACTACACTAACTTTTTTATGACTTTTCTTTCCACATTCTATACTATGACTGTATTATGACTTTGTTTCCACATGCTATACTTTCATCTTGGTTCCTCATGGCATTAAAGACTTAACATGTCTTTAAAAAATAAAGTACTCATATGAACAATAAATGGTGTGAATTTAACTGGATGTTTGACAACATTCTTGACAAGTGGACAAATCAGTCTCTGAAAATGGCTCATATAAGATGATTCATTTCAGCTAATTAGGAGATAATGCTGGAACGTTTCATTGAATACAGGTGTGTGTTTTTCTTCACTTTGATCTGAGGAAGACCATCTGTGGTTGAAACAATCAATCACATCTGCAAGAAATAAAAGCAGTTTGTCTTTGTGCATAATTTGGTCTCTGAAAGTATTCTGCATTCAAACTAACGTTACTCTGACAAGTACAATGACAAGTACAATGTACTCCAAAAAGTTACTTTAGAAGGCTCCATGAAACGGGGCAAATGGAACTCTTTTCCAACCACCTCTGGTATCAAGAGTAGGAATTATCTCCCAGAGAGTAAACCGTTTACATTTCATAGATAATGAGCATAGACAGTACAGTTAGCAGAGAGAGAGAGAGAGAGATTGAAACAGAGATACTGATAAGCAGATTACCGCAGTTGTGGGTGCCATGACGACGAAGGCTCATGTATCTTCAAGAGAACGCTGCTCTCTGATTGGCTAAGCGCTGAGGGCACAAAGTCCCTCATGCAGGTGACACAGAGCCGCTCAGCAACTCGCCCGCGTCTTCACTTGCATAAGAAGCAGAAGATGGAGACTGAAGACTAATGTACGGAGACTCAAAACAGGTATGTGTTCAGTCAGTGCGATGTGCAGATTGTGGTCTGTTTAATCTACTTAAAGCTAGTTTAAACTTTCTTTTTAAATTAGTTTACATTGTGTAGTTCTTTAATATAAAAGGTTGAATCTATAGCTCATATGAAGTAAATTATATCAATTCAAGTTTAAGATTATTTATGATTATTTTCATTTTACACGCATCCTTTGATCAATGGATGTTTTGTATATTTTGTAAAGACTGTAGATAATCTTCATTCCAGAGGACATGAATCCTATCTGAAGACAGAGGGTTGAAGGCCAGGTAGTGGAGGTAAAAATGAAGCTGGGGATGATTTGACCCAGTAGCACAATCCCCTTCAAACAATGGGTTAAGGTTAGGCTCATAAAAGCTACTCTTTTATAGCCACAATCAAAACTACACAGAGGCTGGGTTATTTTTATTGTGGTGGTTGCTACTGTATTGTGTTGATCGGTGTATCTATACGGAGATACACCTATACACGTATAGATACACTATCGGTGTATCTATACGGAGATAACATTATGACGTCTATTCTGCCGTGTCCTTTCACTGGAAATGGTCAACAGGGGTTAATCAATAACTACAGTCTTATTAGTCTCAGGTTTTGTTATGACCAGGGAAAAAAAAAAAAGTCACTACATCTTTGACAGCATGGGAACTATATAACACTTAGGCAAGGCAAATTTAATTAGAGTTCAAAATACTCTATTGATGTTTTTTCTTGCATGTGATCTACCCAGACTGTGTGAAATTAAGACACAATAAATGCTATGTCAGATTCATATCCTGACCTGCAAGCAGCAGGACATACGAGCACATTTACATATCAGCCTGGCGATAGGGACTGGCCGGGATGACATGGCAAAGCAACAGTGAACAGGAGTGCTTTTGTGCCTCTCCTGGCTTATCTAGCAGCCGTTCCCTCTCAGGTGCGGAAACTTATCCAAAAAGGGAATTTCTTTTCACTTGGATCAGACAGAGGTTCCTTTCTACTAAACTCCCAGCTCTATAGTAGAAAAGCGAACTGTTTTTATTCTCTAAAAGTTGTTTGCTCTGGAAAAAATCGGATGCTCTAATAGCTGTCAAACAACTGGGCTTTCCATCTGTAATCTCATTTACAGAAAAAGATGAGTCACATTGCCAGAATCGTGCCAAAATGTTAGCATCCCCAGAAAGAGAAAAATCCCTAATCATGGCGTTACATTTTAGGTTCTCTTTAGATCCCACCACGTTAAAACAATGATCATTTCTGAGGACGAACATAGACCCAGATGAATAGTGTTGCAGTCAGACAACATGGTCCACCTGGATATCATGTAGCTTTCAGGGGATCATTGCTGCTGTCCCTCTACTACCTCTGAAACTGATCCGGTTGAGGAAGATTAGGAGTGGCATGTGTGCTGTAATCTGAGTCACATGCAGTTAGAGGACTAGTCAGAAACACACTACGCTATGATACCCTGTCATTCTGTCCCGTCAACAGAAAGCTGGCGCGCATGTAAAACCCACCACAGGGTTACATGTGGACGAGATGATATTTAGGCAGGTGTGCATGTGAGACAATTTAGAAATCTGGAAAATAGCCTAATAAACCATATATTACTCGTCCATATGAACACATGCAGCCTCTAAGGAGTACCTTTGCTGTGGTTTTAGCCAATTAACTACAAGTTTTTTTATCTCATCTCAGAACATCGGACCTAGGAGAACGACAAGCAAATATGGATGTTGTGAAAATAACAGTTAAAAGTTCTTATTGTTTTGCATTAAAATGGCTGCTGTTCTGCAGCAATTGATTCTTAAGTGTAAAAACATTTCAATGCATTTCAATGTATGTGTCAAATGCACTTTAAAAACAATTTTACGTATGTTTTTTTCCAGCAAGTTGGACGATTTCTAGAAAAAAAATGCTATCACAACATCACACCAGTGTGGATTCTGCCTAAAGTTTGTGCACACATTATTTGTAATAATAATGAATCCCTTTTATGCTGATTTGAAATTGCTGCATAAGGTTAGCACTAGGTAACATAAATGTTATCGTAAGTTTAGACCAAAAGTACTGCAAGAGAATGCAAAAGAAAATACCCAATGTGGTCGTTGAAGGACTGTACACATGTCATAATGTACAAAATGACATGCAACCCAATGGCTGGGTGGAAGATAGAACAACTAAGAACCTGTGGGAAATGATCAAAAGAGACATAACGTATAAATAATGTCGTTAAAATATGCAATGCTAGTATGATTACATTAATACAAGCTACTTTTGAATGCTGTGCCTTTTTTGGGGGAATAACTTTGCTCTTTCAAGATGATGGAGGAAGAATTTCAATTTTAACTATGAATTCTCTTCTCACAGACTGAAACAGAGTGACCCAACAATCTGTGCCACTAACCTTGAATAAACTCGGGCACTAAGATGCCCAAAAGCGATACCTGGCCAGGTGGCGTTGGATTGGAGACGATGACTGGCATGGATAGCGCTGGCAGCTGTGACAGCGTTCTCAGCGCCAATTCTGGCTTTGTAAGTGACCGTACCCTCCTCCCAACTTATTAGTTCTACTACTACTCATTGTTAAAAAAAAGAAATTAAATATCAAGACAAAGCCATGTCGGTGACTGAGCTGCAACATAAAAATAAGGGATGCAATTGGTTTCATGTCTATTTAGAAGTGAAGGGGTTCTCTGATAAAAAGTGATTTCAATTCTGCTGTTTGACAATTTCCTCTTATTGTTTTATGTGTTACAGAGTGATGATAGTCTGGAGCACCTGTCTGCTGAAGAGAAGGCCTGTCTCATGTTTTTGGAGGAGACTATTGAGTCCTTGGATACCGAGGAAGACAGTGGACTGTCCAATGATGAACCGGACCAACTGCCCAGCCCTGGCAACATTGCTAACAAACTGGCAGACCTGTCAGCCTCCATGAGCAAAGGCAAGCTCAACAGTGAATTAATCTCTGTGCACAGATGTAGAATTAGCTGAACAGTTGTCAGTTTAATACTTTATAGTGACATGCGTTTGTCTGTCTTTCAGGTTCACAGAACCACGCATCCAAGGAACCCACACAGGAATTTGTTGACACCAGACCCATGCTGAGCTACCTGGTTCCTACACCTCTTGTTGTGGCAAGCAGCTCTCCATGTTCTGCACCAAATGCAAAGACAGGTGCCGTTCCAGCCAAAAAGCTCAGCTTTAAGCCCCACTTCATTCCTCCAAGCAACAAACCCAAACACAACCAGAAACCTGTCGCTCCCCAAGTACCTTTAGAGGTTAATGTTGTGATACCTCCTCCCACCAAACACAGGGACTACTCAGTTAGGAAAGCTGAAGGTTTACCTCCTCGAGGTCCTCTGTCCTATGAGGCACTTGTTCATCTGCGGAGGAGTGCCTCCACAAAGAAGACGCCACTCTGTCCCACCATTGATCACACTATAGAGTTGGACAAGCACCTTCCTGTCACACTGGAATGCCCAAACCACGAAATTCCTCCAAGAACTGTCAGTTTCCACTCAGAGACTTATAAGTCTAAGACTGGTCCCCCGGTTGTTGGTCCCAAACCCAAAAAGATTCCCGCCAACATATCTGTGAAAGCACACAATGAAGCATCCGTAACCTCGAACTCTTCATTCAATATCAAGAATGCATCAGATCCCCAGGTCGTCAGACTGGAAGCTTTGCTGAAGCTGGGTCTCCTGAAAGACCAACAGCCAGAAAACGTGTCAGTAGCCCCACTGCCCCCCCTTAAATCTCACTCCTCTCTGGACCCAACTCCCAACAGATTCACAAGAGGTCCATCTAATGTTAATCCATCAAGAAGCCCATCATTTTGTCATTCTCAGGTGCCCACAGAGCCTAAGAACAGGCCTCTGCAGAGCAGCGTCAGTTTCCACCACTACTCCAGACGTGAGGATCCGATACAACCTGTGCCTGTATCAGATCCCGCTCAATCCAGTGTTTTGAAGGCAGCTGGTCTGGAGCGCTCTGCCACCCTAGACAACCACAGACAGGGTGGAAGCTGCCAGCCTGTGCTCCGCAAACCCTCAAACTCAGTGGGATATACGGTGATGGTGGTGCCTGGGATGGGAGCGGATCACAAAGAAGCACTCAGAAAGCTTGGACTGCTCAAAGACTAAACCAGGTAAACAGCACAAGTCTGCCTGTGTAACGGCAGTGGCCCGAACGAGTTCAAGAGTACCGGCTTAAAGAGAGTTAGAGCACTAAGTGGGAACTTGGCACTTGGCACTTTGGCAAACTAAATCAGAAGAGGATGAAGAAGTGGAACAATTTAAAGGGCAGGAACAGCACTTTTGACAGAGGTTTTAACACACAGGGATGCACGTACTTGAGGGCAGTTGTTTTCCAACTGTTCTCCTGTTGGTTTCAATCTGAAAATGCACCTACCACATTTCAAACCCCTGAGGCTCTATGTGTTCGATTGAAATGTTAATGTCATTCCATATAATCAGAATCTCTTATTATTTTTGCTGTAACAAATTTCAGTTAAGACTTGACAAGGCCCAATAATGGGCCGCTGAATGTTTTAAATACATTTGTGCACACACACACGTTTATGGCTCTAAGAAATTGTCGAAAGTCAACAATAGAAAGAGATATTGTAATAACATTTTAGATAGTGAAGCAAGCCATATTATAGCTTTCCATTAATCTTCTTCCTTCCTCATTATACTGCACATAACATGCTGCTCCACTTCTACTTAAAGGAAACATCAACCCGAATCAACAGACTTCTTCCATGACGGATTGTTTTATAACTCACAGATGTGCCTTTAAGTGGATTGTCAAGTACATTCCTCGGAGCGAAGCCTCGAACAAGAAGATCATTGTGATTGATAAACTAATTCTCAAAGTGTTTTGGGGTGATTTTTCAGTGTTTTTTAATCTTTAGTAACAATCAGCAGTACGTTATTATTGAGATTGATGTTTCTGCTACTATTTTATACAAAATGGTTGAGATGGTTTTAAAAATGTGAGATGACTGCATTCATTGTCTAAATACTGGAGATGTTCATCCAGAAAAACAACAATAATGTGATTATTTTTACCCACTCTTTACCATCTCCATAAAAGAAACAGAGAAAATAAAGAAGTCTGCATGATATGTACTGCGTATTGTTATTTTTTTATCCTCACATGTTTAAATGCAGTCCACCTGTCTCGTCATTTTGAATCATGCAGCTTTGTTTCTGAAGCCGTCAGCGTAGACTGTTCGACTCATGATTTGAAATGGGATTAGCTGGAGCTCTTAACGGTTTGCCTTTTCTGACTGCGCTGTGGAATAACATCGCACAGAATTAGTGGAGCACAAAGAAGCAAAGGCCCCTTAAGTCAGACAAACTACCATCCCTGTTAACCTGCAGTAAGTCTCTGCCTCATCAAATACTCCACTTACACGATGACTACCGGCCATACGACCTCATCTTACACGCCACTCGGGCAACAAGAAAGCCTGCTCAGCTGTTCTTCCATTATCCGATTATCCTGAGCCCTATACCTCCATGTGAATTTAGCAGGCCTCTACTTTCCTTTCTCCGTTTTCTCAATAACCCTCGCATGAGAGACTTCTAATTCCAACCACTGACTTACTTGAAAGGCTGGGCTCTCGTTATGCAACAGTCTTGAATTAGTACGTGGTTGATTATTGCGAGAGACGATTACAGTTTGCCCTCAGTGGTCTAATCTCTCGTTAAGGCAAGGGGCTCGCCTAATGGGCCCGTATCTGTGTCTACGCACAGGCAAACAAAGGGTGTCGAATTTTGAAACCGACACAGCTCTCTGCCGGTCAAGTATTATTAAACAATGGATGGAGAAATCAGGCCACTGCAGCCATTTTTAGAAATATGATACTCAAACAGAAAAGTGAGCTACAGAGAGGATTGAGATTATCAGTAGAGATGCATCAGAGAGCTCCTCAGATAGACGATTTTAAGTGCATTGTTATCCATGCAATATTTGGACATCTGCATCAAAAGCAGCTTCGAGATTTGCTTTAGGAATAAATGAATGGTTCGCTCATCTTTATTAGGCTTAAGTACAATCACACCAAAATCCACAATGCTGACCCCAGAGGTCATACAGTATGAAACATGAGATCACCTGCCTGATCTACTACCTGTCGAAGCTGCTGCCTTGACAACAGCCCCCCCCCCATGCCTATTCGTGACAGTGAGACACAACAAACTGGTCTGACGTGTTGCTGACTGAGATCTTATCTGTGTTTGCAGTTCACAACACAATCAACAAGCCATTAATGAAACTAGCCAGGATGTGGATGAATTTATTCCTTTTATTTGATCTATTCAGCAGCAAGAACTTGAGAAGTTAGATAAGGAACAGGTTGAAATGGTGGTTTACAAATCAGCAACGGCGCAACACATTAGAAGTTAAATATTATAGGAGCTGGACTTTGAGTCTCACAGTGCAGAAATCACAAGTTTTTAGGTACAGTGCAAAAGAACTTCAAGAGTAGCATCATTGTGTAGGTAGTATTATGTCCAAAGCAAACGTTCAAAATGTGATTGACACCTGGAGTCGCCAATGTTAAGAAAATGGGCCGAAACATTTCTGGTTAGCAGGAGTTATAAACATTACATATTTGATAATTTAATATATAGTGTATGTGAGCTTTCACGGTGCATACAATCTTTTGAGTCCAAAAAAAAAGTATTTTAGGGGATGGGAACAGCCTTTTTTTTCAAATCCCCTCGTTATGGATGTGAGATTTGCTTTTTTTGCGCCTCACCTTACCGTTGGACACTGGGACGCCCAGCGACTCCAGGCGGAAGGGGCGGGGCAGGACGGAGTCTGTGCCGACAGGCGGGTTCATGGTGGAACCGCTCGCAGTGAGGTGGGCCGTCCCGTTAACCAGCGGAGGAGAGTGGACGGCTGTGGGAGAAGAGCTCCGTCAGAAGGGAAAAACCATTGTGACCTGAATATTTATCATCTGTGTTGATCACACCTGGTTTTATTAATCATAACTATTGAAGACATGTTTATGCATGAGTGTATGTATGATCTATGTTCTACGCGTCCATGTGGATTGTGTGTGATGCAGCGGCTTGGAGCCCAAGACAAATAAAGTATATCATATCTTATCTTAACCAATGTAGAAGGGGTAAACGCCTAAATGTAAATTGGTTCAGCACTGTGACAGCAACTATCTACAATTTAAGCATAATTACTTTCGTAGCATTGTGTACATCTTTATGATCTTGGCATGGTTAATTGCTCCACCTCAAATAAAGGACACTTCAGAATTCAAAGAAAGACTAAAAACACACACACACAATGATGACAACCTGCTGATTCAGCACAGTGAGAGTGAAGTGACGTCAGTCTGCAACAAAGCTAATTAGATAAGCAAACGTTGACATGTAATTATCATTTGTCGTTTTTGTCTTACCGTGTCCCTTGGTAGCTTCGCGTCCCAGCAGTTGGCTCGCTCTCTTTGACTTGAAGTAGCTGCTGGCGATGTTCTCACTGTCACTACGGTCCAGCATCTCCTTGTACCTGTCCTCCTCCACCTGCTTAAAAACAAACAGGAGGTTACGGCTCCATGATAGTGTTTCAGTGAGGATGTGTGTGTGTGTGTGTGTGTGTGTGTGTGTGTGTGAGATGGCGCGTGGCCCACAAACACAGAAACGCACCATGAATTGCTCTCCAGCGTCAGCAGCTGAACCTCTGCCAGCTGAAAGTTTCAGAGCCACAGCTGTGAGAGAGAGAACGAAAGCGGGGGGAGATTCTGTGAAACACATATTTACACTCACAAGCCACAGCATCACTCAAAACGGATGATTTTTGTCTACTTTCTGTTTGCCTGCCTTCACACTTTGCACCTGAAGGCAGCGTTGTTTTCTGCACCGTAACGTCGGGCAGCCTCCAGGCGGCGCCGTCTTCATCCCAGACAGCTTCTTTCTTCAAGCGGTCCAGGTTGCTGTAGTTGCAGTCACGGCGCACCAGCGGCACCATACGCTCCAGCAGGCTGTGCAGTAACTGGCCCTCCCTCTCCAGCCGCCGGATCGTTGCCAGGTAGTCGTCCCTCTCCACCTCGAACTCTGCCTGCAGGTCACGGATCTCCAGTTTGGCTGCTCTCAGCTGTCACAACAGGTGGATGTGGTTTCACAGTTGAATGGCAGAGAGCACATCGTCTCAACACCAAAAAGCTTAGAGACTCTGCAAAGTTGATTTGACATTATCCAGCATCATTTGGTGCTAACCTTGAAAGATTTTGGTGTTAAGTAAACACTAATGCGGGTGGAGTTTTGCACCGCAGACCCTGAAGCCAGTTGTTAAACATTGCTCCAAACCCACTGCTTGTCTCAAAGAACCCGTTACGTGTGTCCTGCAGCCGCTGGGACCCACCTTGCCCTGGACCTTGACCAGCATTTGGCTTTTGGCATGGACCTCTTCCTGGATGGAGTTGTAGACATTCAACAGCACATTTTCACTGTCCTCGCTGTTCTCTGACAGAGCGCAGATAAGATGGACTTTTCTCTGGTCGGCGAGGTTCTTCCTCTGCCTCTGTCTCTGCTTCAGCTCTTTGTTCCTGGCCTGCTCTCCTCCAACCACCTCCTGTTCCAGCTGCTGCAGTCTGGGGAGAGACGGATGAACAGGAACGACTGATACTGGGTTTTTATGGCTGAAACTGGTATCAATATTTGGGAGTAAAACATACGGAGAACATAGATAAACAATCATAAAAACCTTTGTTTTTGTTCAATTGTGATCACATACTGAAACCGTACCGAGCGTGACTTTTTAAACTTGCTCTCTAGTTGACAAACTATTTAATAGTGACAGTGTTTCTAAATTACCTCAAACCTTGTTTGGCATTTCTGTACTGCAATTTCTTGTTACATAATGGCCAACACAGGATATGGATCTGCAATAAACTAATATGGGCCGATATAGGAAAGCATAAAATAACGTGCCGGACTATTATGACTCCGTGCTCCTCATCTTGATGTAGACATGATGTAGAAAGACCTTTATCATAAAGTGTAAGAAATGCTGATGTTTGGTTATGTGTATAAAATGTGTGCCCACGCACCTTTCCAGGACGTGTTGCTGGTCCGGAGGCCCTGCAGGGATGTCAGGTGAGCATCTGTCCGGGCTTTTTTGGACACCGACTGCTGGTACAGCAGGCTGGCTCACCAACATGAGGAAATAATACCCTTTGAGTTTCTAATATTTCTAATAATCCATAGTTCTATTTTCATGCCAGCAATCATTTCAAGCCAAGTTTTTTTTCCCCTGAAGTGGTGGATATCTCATTTGGTAACTATAATGTTGGTTAGTTCAAAATGATGGAAGGTGCTAGTGGACAGTACCTGGGTTAGGGGGGTTTCTCCAGTTGTACTGTGGCACATGGGACCAATGTTGTGGAGGAACTCTTCCTCCGCATCCTCTGTCATACAGCCAGAGCTCATTGATGCTGAGAAGCAATACAGGGGAGTGGACACAATTGCAAGAACTCTTGATGAACAATGCAATCACGTACAACGTTTCTAATGCTCATTTTTTGTTCAGACTTTGTCAGGAATGTTGACTCACTCAAGCTTTTTGACAGGCTGGTGAGCATTAAAACACATTTTAAAACTAGTTACATGGTTCTTGGGGGGATGATTTTCTGCTTTCATCCTTTGGGACAGAGCTCCCCCTGCTGGCTCGAGCCTTTTCCAGATTGGACAGCTTGGAGTCACAGGAGGAACGCAGGGCGGCAATGTCCTCCTGCAGCTTTGCTTTGGACTCCTGCTCTGCATTGTACTCAGCCTGCAACTTGGCCAGCCTCACTTCGTACTCCTGTGGCGAGAGCAGAATACAGTCCCATAAATCACCTGGTTCTTACACAAAGCATGTGGAGATGCGACGTGATATATCGGTGTGGGAACGGCCTGCAGTTGCCTCTTTAATCTTCTCCTTCTCTGCGTCTGTGTTGCTGGATTGTGGCCTTGAAGGAACAGCGGGGGGTGCCTCAAACAACTGACCAGCCAGCAGAGCTGCGTGATAAACAAAAGGTTGTTTTTCAGCCAAACAGGTAATTAAAAAAGAAACGGTCAACAAAGAAGCAAATGAAACATGGTTCACCATCTGCATTTAAATCTTATGGCAATCATCAAATACAAATATGTTGTTTCCCTCGTATTTAAAAGGCTAGTTACAGAATATATCACTCACACGCAAAGTCAGCGGTGCCCAGCTGGCCTGAGATGAGGGCCCGCAAATTCTTGATCTCCTCCTGATACTCTCTGAGCAGAGCATCCTTCGGGTCCTCATTGATACGAGGCCTGTTCTGGATGCTCTTGGCCCGGTTGGCATAGCGCAGCGTGCTCAGGCTTTCCTCATAGTTGTTGTCAGCGGGCGAGAGACAGGCGATCATCAAGGTGCGCGTGTTTCCTCCCAGAGAGTCCTGCAGCAGTCGGGTCAGCTTGGAGTCCCGGTAGGGGATGTATTTGGAGCGTCCGTCCACCAGAGCCGAGATGACGTTGCCCAGGGCCGAGAGGGAGAGGTTGATCTTGGTGGCCTCGCGGAGTCGCTCACCTGTAGCACCGGTCTTAGACTGACGCTCACTTCCTGCCAGGTCAACTAGGTTGAGTTTACCTGCTCGTAGACGATCTTGGCCGTCTGCATCTGAGAGTGTGGGGTGACAAAGAGAATGTTGATACAAAAACGACTTTCAGCAGACATAGCTGCCCTCTCTATTTATATTAGTCATTAGTTATCTGTGGAAAATGCTTATTGTTATATTTTCAGCCATTTATCGGTTCTCAAAATGTGATTTTCTCCTTTTTTTCATAATTATTTTTGTGGTTTACCTGTTTTAAAGTGTCATCTCTATGTGTACTATGAATTAAAAAGTCCTGACTCAACTATCAAAGTGGTTAGCCATGTTTTTTCTTATTATTTGTATAACTGAGTAGCATTTTTGCAAGACATTTAAATTATCAGGAAAAATCCATCTATGTGGAGACAGAGCTGGCAACTTATCGACCACAAGAGGCAAATAAAGACAAATGCAATAAGGCCATGAAGCAAATTGTGTTTCTTTGTTCTCAAACATGTTGGCTTTCTGGCTAAAATGCAATACGCTTATTTAACATATTTGTCTTTCATTGTCCACATTCTTTTGAAAGCAACATATTTATGATCTTTCTGAACAAGGCATTCAGGTCAAAATATGAATTCTGTGGAAAGTAGACAGAAAAAAAAGATGGCACAAGAAATAACTCTTGAAACACACTAAGCACGACAGCTTGTTGACATCTTGCTCTATTAATACTGAGCAGCTGGTAGGCTCACATGTTCCTACAAGCACACGTCAATGTTACAGCTAGTGTGTGTGCACCTGTGTTGCAGATCTCCAAACGGATGGTGAAGATGGAGTGTGAGCGTGAGGAGTCCTTGTTCATCAGCGTGTAGCCCACTGCCCGGCTCCGCCCCCCTTGCTCTATGATTCTCTCGCACTCCCCCACGCTGTGCACAGTGTGCACGGAGAGGTCCCGCGCATACACCCCATGCTCTGGATGCTCTTTCAGCTGCGCATTCATCAACCACACAAAAAACAAAAATCACCTTGTGTGCAAACACCTTGACCTTCAAAGAAATCATGTAACCACCGTGAGTTGAAGTCACCATGGCAACTTGCACAGCATTGTCCACACAACATAAGCAGCGCAGTGTTCGCTGTCAGAGAAGAGTCTGAGAAACAAGTTTCATAATGACTGTACTTGCCAGAGAACAATAATCATGTTTGGCTTATGATGTCACACAGTGTTGCTGGTTGTTTTGTTATTTAAAACAGCAGAGGTTTAAGAGACTTACCTCCAATCTCTGTTTGGTGTCACTACCCAAGAGGTCTCGGATTTCTTCATTGTAAATCTCCAGGTAGGAGGCCCTCACCAGGAATTTAGTATTTTCTGCACACTAGCTTGCACAAAACAAGAACATGCATACAACTATTGTCTCTGAGCACGCAGAGCTTAGACAAGCCTGGACAGAGACTAGAACTGCAAGACTGAACCAAGCATGCATATCATCCCGACAGAAGAAGTATGTGCACTGACATTGGGGGAGACTTTTGCACCTTTTGCATGAAACTTCTGAATGCCTAAATCGGATTATGTTGTTAATTTAACTACGGTTTTCCCCCAACCTACCTGAATACTCTCAAAGATGTGCTCAAAGGCTCGTGGTATGACCCCCCTCTGGGCTGCAGGATCGGACACTCCCTGCATGGTGAAAGACTTCCCACTTCCAGTTTGCCCATAGGCAAAGATTGTTCCATTGTATCCCTCAGTGACGCCCTGTAAAAAAAAAAAAAAAAAAAGAACAACAATTGTGGCATTAATGCATGAGGGTCCTTTAAAAAGGACCAACAAAGTGCTGACCTCTGTGAGTGACTGACAGCAGGCTGGTAAGTAAACAATGAGGTCTGCAGTCTTTAGCAATAAGAGATGGGCTGCTGCTGGACTGAGGGTGTCCAGTGACCAGCGTGGATCTCAAGACTGCTGCTGCGTGTTGGTATTGACAACACCACAAACAAATCAAAAGTGTCTCCAGGAGCTTACCTCGACCAAAGGATAGGCAATCTCGTTGTACATCTGCTCGGTGGTTTGATCGATGAAGTAGGTGCCATCAAAGGTGAACTGTTTGGGCGGCTCGTCGGCCGCCCCGGGCTTCTCTATGAAGCACTGGCAGCGGTGCAGGTCTATTGACAGCACCGTGTCCGAGCCCAGAGCCCTCTCCCTGTCGTTCAGGGGCCTGCATCTGACCACCACCTTCACCGACTCTGACCCCATGTCCACATCCACTTCACAGCAGTCGGCTTGTGCAGGACATGGCGGATGAAATCAAGGTTGACGTGTTTAATTCCGCTTTATAAATACACGAGCAGGATCCTCATTAGCTGATAATCAGATGACAAACGCTGCCGACTAACGGCTGATAACGGTTCACGTACCGGTTAACGTCCGCTGAGAACAGCAGACTACCAGGAGACTTCAAACGTGTATCCTCAAAGTTAATTTAGAAACAGTTAGAGTCTTTCCCAGACACGGTGGACACATTGTACTGGTCAGGTAACGTCCCGACGGCGTTATGAAGTTGCTTAGTAACCATAAACAACCGTCGAGGGACACAGTCAGGCGGCCATTTTGGTGAGGAGGGAGTGAGGTCACTAAATACATATATTTTGTACCATAGTGTCATATTTTGTATAGTCGTGTATACAAAGAAAGAAATAGTCCCTTCATGAATATGTGGTGTGTCCGTTTACCTCTCCACCTAGCTTAGCTAACTTTACCTTCTAACTAAACGACACTATAGGCCTAGTTCAACTTTTGGAGGTGGAGTCACCATTTATTCAGTCTAAGCCAAGTGTTAAACAAGCAACTGTGTGCATATCAGTGCAAAAATCTCCTTTTACCCAATTCACACATGAAGCAATCCCATGTGCAGTTCTGCCCTTGGATTTAGAAACTGTGTACAGCATAAATAATTTGCAGAGGCAAGTAGCATCAATATCAAACCTGCAGGTGAGGTTGTGCTATGCAGTCATGAATAAAGGAAAACAGTTCTGCTGGATTTGGGTTGAAAACAGAGAACATCTGTCGTTTAATCTCAAACAGGGCTGAACAATAGGAAAACTGTTTGTTGGCCTAATGTGGAAAAGATGGTGCAAAAAAAACACTTGAATTAGTTATAATGAACCAGAAAATAATCTCACATACAACCTTATGATCAAGACCTAGTTTCATACGACAGCGTGCACTTTAATATACCCTGCGCACTGATATTAACAAACATTACCAGTTAAAACCAGTAAACTGTGACTTCATACAGACTTTAAACACAGATAATTTAAACATGTCCCTTCTCAAGAGGCAAGATTAAAATTCAGGGAATAATACAATTTGATTAAATATATTTGTGGGATCAATTCCACTCCAGGGTTTCTAATAGTTACATTTTACATCTTAAAAAACACACAAATAAACTCCTCTGCTGCCTTACAGGCACAAATAAAAATACTTTAAAAAAAGATTATATTGAAATACATAAAAAAAAAAAGCAGCAAGCACAACATATTACGCCTTTACAGAAGAGTACCCTTTGAGGAAATTACTTGTACACTGTACATTAAGTGCCAACAATAGGTGCAGTTATGCAGTTAATGAAGCCTCCCAAAAACACCACATGTGATTTTAAAAAGATAAGAGATTATATATGTGCAAAATAAAATAAAAGGAGTCACTCAGTCTGAGGTTGGCAATCCACAAGTTCCAGTGTGCAGGGGTTAAAACCAGTGCTTTCTGAAGGTACTTGTAATGTTGGCTTTGTTCAGGCTCTTGTGTGGCTTTACAGCCGGCTGTTGGCTGCCGTGTTCCTCCCACTCGTAACAGTGGTTTACCCGGGCACAGCTCAGCAGACACGCCAGCTCACCCCGAGTCCCCGTGTAGTGTTCGATCAGCTCGGCTAAGGAACTGAATTCAGCAGTGTATGTCTGCCACAAAGAAACAAGAGGAAAAAATACTGTCAAATCAAAAAAGGTCGCAACCGGGGTTACACAGAACTATCGGTTTGCCAAGACAACTTTAATCAAATGCCAACAATGACTTCATTGTTCTTTGGTTTCCGTGGAGTGGGAGAGTTTGTGGGATTTTGTTTATCCTCTCCAACACCCTCACACCTAATACTCTGTAGATCTCTCAGTTTTTAAATACATCACTGAATTGCAGAGAGATATGTATCCACAAGGAAACCTAGATTCTTTAAAAATTGCATCTAATGTTTATGATGTTCCACTTGAGATAAGCTTGATACATTCTCATTGAAGCAGGCAGATACTAACTACACTGGCTGTAGCTGTGTGGAATGATACCATTTCAAACGTTCAATCCATCTAAGAGGAAATGTATAGAAAGTCAGACTTGTGAGGCAATATTGGTGTTTAATACACAGACAGTACATGCCTTTTATACTAACCTTATTTAAAAAAAGTCAGTATTGGACAAATATCTGCATCAGTGCATCTCTGCCAATAATCATGTAGAACATTCAATCTTGACAAAACAACTATACCTCCAGCAGGAATTTCCCTTTGCAGGTGTTTTCGATGAGGTGGGTGATCAGGCCAGAGGGGAAGCGAATGATGAGAGAGCCACTTTGAGGTTTTTTAGGATGAGGGCACAGGAGGTACGATCCCAGAACATCATCTGCAAGCAGGGAACAGCTGCTGTCACTGAAATACACCACAAGATCACGCAGTTAGAAAACCCAAGAAAAAACAAGGGCCAGGGGCGTTAAATGCACGAGTGACGCTCACGTTGCGATACCAGCCCAACACCACACTTCCTGAGCCAGCGCTTCCTCGGTTTCGGCCAAGCTTGGCGTGCGGGATCTCCTCACCGGCGCTCCGTCTGTGCCCTCTCCTGATTCACACAGAGAGAGAAATCATTGTGAAGTTAGAGGTGTTTTCATGCCAAGTCGAGGTCCAAAGAGTGGAGATATTCCAACAGTCGTGTTTGAGTGGGGAAGCATCCAATGTGATCCCAACTCAGTGAAAGAAATGTTCTTTCTTTAAATGTAACAGAACCGAGATGGAAAAGGAGCAAATGGTGATTAAAGAACCGCTAAAACAATGCTTGTGTTTCAAGGCACTACATCAAATAAAAAAAAACAATCTATAAAATGACCCACGTGAGCCCAGACCATTATCCATCCCCTTATTGAGTCTAAATCCCAAAAAGTACCTTCTGGCACCACAACAGACAGTGAGTGGCTCCCCATCACCAGAACACTGAGGGGCTTTGCTTTACCTAATCAACTCTTTCACTTTTGAAAGCACTCTGTGAACACTCGCCCCACCTTGTGACGCACTCAGTCGCTCCTGAACGCTGCGCTGTTTGAGCGGCGTGAACGTGAAGGAGCGGTAAGCCCCGGAGCGCAGCGCTTTAGTGCGGATGGCTTTCTTTCGCACCAGCGAGGGGGAGGAGGTGGGGAAGACTTCATCGGGGCTGCTGTGCAGGTCATCGGAGGACTTTCGATTCTTCTATATAGACGGTCGGGGGAAAGAAAATGTAGGGGGAAGCACTGGGGTTAAGGTGAAAAATACCATGGTGTACGAGTCAGTACAAGAAGTACATTCAAAACCTTAATCCCCGGCAGCAAGCCCTGGAAAGGGGCTCTTCTGAAGGAGACCAGGGCGCTGACGCTGAGAGGGAAGCCGTGGTTGAGCAAGGAGTGGTTACGACGAGGCATTGAGCCGACGGAGTCTTTCTGGGCCTCCTCTGGGTGCTTCGCCAGGTAACACAGCTGGAAACAGCGGCACAGCAGCAGGTTCAGGAACTGCGCCTACAGGAGGGGACGTGGAAACAGTTACAACCAAGTGCTGATCCCACATATTTCATAGCCATGTTCCAGATCTGCACAAAAAAATAAATAAAGATCCAGACACGTTGGAGCTGTAACTTTCTGTCTAAATACGACAGCAGACCCAACATGATATCGGTCACGTCTCACCGCTCTGGAATGCCTGGCTTGGAAGACGTGGCAGTACAGCTGGGCATCAGCGCTGCCCGGGTTGTGGGAGACGAAGGCAAACTGGGTGTCGAAGGGCCGGGCGGTGGACAGAGAGACTCTACGCAAAGCGTGAGCCATCAGGAGGGTCTGCAGACAAGACCACGAACACATATTTTCATCTTTGATGGCTCCAGGTTCAAAACACACAAGACGTCCATGGACATTTGAATGTTCTCATACGTACCGTTTCATCCTCGTCATACATTTTCACACCTTTGATGGAGAATTTCAGCGATACAGGCCTCCGTCTTTTGCAACTCTGATTGAAGACAAACAACATATTCTGTGTCTTACTCTGAATGTTACAAGCAGTTGCTTTATTTGGGACACTGATGAGTCAAGGCCCAGGACTCACTTTGAGGAGCTTCAGCTGAGTGTGCAGTTGCTCTATCTGATCATCCAAGCAGCAGTCATCCACAGAAAATGAGCCTACGTACTTCACAGCAAAGAGGCAAGTTTAGTCAAAGCACAAACACATGTGGGGAAAAAAAAAGACCCAAATGTAGAAGATGAAATCACATTTCTGGAGTTACCTCTGCTGATCTCATCACTGTACCATCTTCTCTGACCTGTGCCTCGCCCATGATGCCTGTCTCTCTCTGTGAAACCAGACAGCAAATCCAGTACTTAAGAGAACAAGGACACCAAGGTTAACAATAACACGGATTTAAAACGCTTTCAAAACATGCACACATGTAGCAAACTAAAGTCAAACAATCACAATGCAGTGCTACAGGAGGCTTGGAGAAAAAAAGTCCAATAAGAGGAATGTGATTTAGCAGTGTTACCTGTGATTTGTGTTCGTTAGAACAGCGTCAGTCTACCGTTTTGTGTTGCAGCTCATTGCCTCGTTTTTATCAACTCCATAAATGCGTCAAAGTCGTTGCGAGCACGCGCGGAAAAGTTATGAGCTCTGTTTTACTAAAGAGGTCTCCGTTTTCCAACAGTGGGACGACATCCAAAAATGAGAAACTTCTCTCGGACTAATAAAACCTTTGCACCGTTTCCGCCCCTTGTGTGTGTGTGTGTGTGTGTACGTGTGTGTGTGTGTGTGTGTAGGCCGACAGCGCACCGGACCATATCGACTAAGAGCTCAGGTTGTAACGACGCTTTGGAATCGCAGGAACTCACTTTTCGGAGTCGGAGAGCCTTTCACCAGCAGACAGCCCGCGTCCTCTTCACACGGAGCCGCTGACGCCGACGTCCTTCCTCAGCCTTTACCTGCTGCCGCTCCGTGGTGGTCCAGGTGTGCTGCTGGTGCCCGAGGCGGGGCTCGAGGGGAAGAAACCCGGGGAGGGGAGGAGACATTCCTCCTTCTTTTCTTTATTTTTTTTAAGCTCCACAAATTCCTGCTGATTGCACAATTAACCCGGTGACGTCACAAGCCAAGTGGTGGTGGGAAAGTCAATTCAACCAATCAGCCAAACAGTTTCACTCATAAACACAACTGTCACGATCACTCAGTATAAGTTTTTACTTTTTCTCTTCAAATTTAACTCTGTTGAACAAGTAAATGATGAAATCTCTTTCGCTAATACCTCTGGGTGAGTTTGTTCATGTATATATGCTCATGCTTTTATGATTCAATAGTGCTTTAATCGTATTTATTGTTTGTAAATATGTGTTTGTACTACCTACATGTGTTATGAATGTGCTGCTAATATTTACCTGGATTCTTTGCATATTACATTTTGTAATTTTTGTCAATTCAATTCAAGAGGCTCTATTGGCATGACATGTTGCCAAAGCACGATTATGAAATATAATGAATGAAATAAACAAAAATAATTCAGAGCGGTAAAAAAATACAGCAAATAACAATGTTATACAATAAAATAGATAATGAAATAGGTTCAATAAAATTATATATATTTTCAAAATTCACAGTCCCAAAACTAGAGTGCTGAAATTTAAATGTGTGATGTCATAAAGTGTGGAACTGCTCCATAGACGGTACATTTGCTGTTTCAGAACTGAAGACACAATAGAATAAAGCTCATCTGGCCATTAAAAAGTAAATAAAATCAGTCTCCCATTCACTGTCTACAGAGCAGCTGTGATGGCACATTTCCACTGTGACTTATCTGATTTATTGTCGGACCACTCAGTGTTTTGGCCCTTTTTGTCTAAACAAGGAAATGAATGTCAGACCTGGTCAGCGAGGGTCCTCTCAGGTTGAGTAATATTGTGTGTGTGTGTGTGTGTGCGTGCGTCTTAATCAGGGGCATGATGTCAGCTTAGAGAAGGGGCTGGATGGCGATGCAACCAGTGGACCATTCAATGGTTGTCCAGATGTCCTTGTGCTGAACTCCTGCTACCCACCATGTGCTCAAGGCCTCAAACACTCTGGGTTCCTTCCTCCTTCAGACCGCATTGCATTCTATAAGATGATTGAACCTTCTCTGCGCAGAGAATAAATACTTTAAAGACAAGCTTCTTTTCTCAATCTTTCTTAATTTCAGTATCATAGGACTCACTCTGTACTGTTCAATAGTTTCATCCAATGTTTTCTAGATCACTAGATACTTTCTTTGGGGGGGGGTTACATATTGAATGCTTAAATACATAATTTAAACCCTTTGAGAAGTTTAGAGAGGAAGCATGTGTTTGGTGCAGCTGCAAACAACTTGTATAGAGATCTGAGACGGAGACGAGAGGCCTCAACCACTCACTGATGTTTAGCGTGGGCACAAGCCAAAGAGGTCAAGAACCACTGCTTTAATTCTTTATTCTAAAATAATTCTTATTTTGTTAACTTTAAAGACATTTTCAAGTACAATATATATCTGTAGCGTAACCAGTAATTATAGCTGTCAGATATATATACACACATATATACACACACACACACACACACACACACACACGGGTAAAAGGTTTAATATTTACTTGTGATTGGTTGAGTGATGTAAAAGGTAGTATGAGATGGACATGCCATAGTAACGAATAAATATAAACTTACTTTACACCAATGCACATTTGAACCTCTCTCCCACACTGAAACATACGACGTAGTTTCAACAATTTTGAAATAAATATCCAAAATCGAATGCGTCAATTAAATGAGTAAATCTCCAAACTTCAAGAAATGAAACAGAACAATGATTATCTCCACTGAACAATGAAGAGGATGTTAAAATGCTTGATGTTTTTAGTTGAATATGTCCCCTTGTGTTTTAAACAGGACACCTGCTAGTCTCAGCTCTGACCGTTACATCTTTAAACAGAACCGTTTAGTTTTGTGCAACGAAGAAACCTGGAAACCAATAACTGATACATCTTTATATTCTGGAATCTGGAAAGTGTGCTGTGTGTTTTGAAATTCTCCATGTAAATAAAAAAACAGCAAGAGTTTACAAATATAGCCATTTTATTAATGACTTCGGAAAAAAGCTTAACAACACAAGGAATACATGCATGCAGGGTACGTATGAGCTATTATCCCCTTTCTTCTTAACATCTCGTACAGTTTGGTACTGCGTTACAGCTGTGGAGCAATAAAACCAATTCATGTATATTTTTTGTTACAGACATGTATCAAAAAGACATTCTCCCCCAATGTGTGTTGAAATGAACACAAACAAGTGTTTTCTCCTCTGTTAAGTCCTCAACCTGTCAAATCTTCTCAGGGCATTTTTTGTTTTAAATAAACAAATATCAATCATTGTAAATAATAATAATTAACAATATAATTAGAAGGATGGATACAAATTCAAATTCTTATGCAGTACCGCACGGTCAATAACATTGTTTTATCCCACGATACAGGGCAACAACAGTAAATTCTGTATTTTATAAAATATTAGGAACGGTTTAAACTTTTCAACCCATATTTCTAATTAAAATGAACCCTCAAACACTGATCTCTCACTTCATTTGATATTCGGAACGTGTGCCACCAACGACTAAAGAGTGGGTGTGGGACAGATATAAAAACGGAAGTCACTACCTGGTTCTATCCATCTTTCCCGATCTGGCAGCTGGTCACACATCTGTTTTAACGGCAACACTAACTGAGCTTTTCTACACATGGTGATTAAAAAGGAAATCCAAAAACTCTCAGAGTACAGTAAAACTTGGAAGGATAACATTGTTAATCTACAATAGAAATAAAAAAATAAAATCAAAACTACTGCCCTGTTAAAAAGGGAGGAACTGATAAAAGAGAGCATTGAAACAACGCGGCAAACTGCTGCAGATTCAGAGCGGCCCAGTTCATGAAAGGCTCTCCTGGGCTCAGTATTTCCCTCTCTTGGACTTGCGGGTGGACCGCTTGGTGCTCTTCGCTGCCCCCTTTTTGACTGCTTTTGCTGGGGATGTCTCTTCGGGCACGGCCCGCTTGGACCCACCTTTGGTCGCCACCTTTTTAACCGCAGGCGACGACTCCTCGGGCTTCGACCGCTTGGACCCGCTCCTCGTCGTCTCCTTTGTGACTACGGCCTCCTCGGGGGACGACTCTCTGGACACCGGTCGCTTGGCCCCCCTTTTGTTCAGCTTCTTAACAGCTGGCGTTTTGGGCTTTCTCGCAGGAGCTCCTCTCTTGACGGGTGTGGCTTTAGGAGGCGGCGTGGCTTTAGGAGGCGGCGTGGATTCCTTCTTAGAGGCCGATGGTTTCCTTCCCCCTCGCTTGGCCGAAGACACCGCTTTCTTGGCGGGAGACTTCTTGGCGGGAGACTTCTTTGCAAGGGAGCGTCCCCTGCCTTTAGCTTTCGACTGACTAGAGCTCCGGGACTTCTTGGCCGGTGGGGGACGGCGAGCCTTGGGTGGAGGCCTCTTTTGAGATTTTCTAAAAGCAATTTGAACAGGGAGCTTTAACTTGAGTAGAAGTAGCGGGACTATAAACATCGCATGTGGCTGCATGAATTAAAAGAGTAACGCCTGCACACGGACTCCAAACCACACATTCATTTAGATGGACAGCATTTCGATCCCTGTGGGATCTTTGTCAGGTCAAAATGTTCAAAAATGGCTGTCGACAATAAAACTCTTCCACTCCAACAAGTAAATTTCAGAGGTCTGAACAGAACATATATGGTGTAATATTAAAATATACAGCTTCTTCTGGTAATTGTTCACAGCCTAAACCATAAAGACATTTACATCAGTGTGTAATATGATGCATGTGTGTGAAAATGTTCAGGTTTAATACCCCCTTTTGTGCTCAGTCATTTAAAATATTTCAATGTTTCGTTTCATGCAACTTAAAACTTCTCAAATTTGTATTTTATTTTGAATTGTTGATTGTTCTGAGATGTGATTCACACCAGCCTCCTGGTGCACATATATAGACGCTGGAACCGTTTGGACCCGATGAAGCTGTGACCGGGATCAAAAAGTCCACGTAGATTTGTGGTTTCGAGTCGGCGTTCAGGCATTTCTCTTTTCAGAGTGTCTCTCTAAATGATGGAGAAACTGCCTGCACAATACAACCCTGTGTTAAGGATACTAGGTACAGATTTATTTTGTTTTTCACCCACCTCCTCCGAGAGGGCGCTTCATCCTCAGACTCTTCTTCTTCTTCTTCTTCTTCTTCTTCTTCCTCTTCCTCCTCCTCCTCTTCTTCCTCCTCCTCTTCCTCGTCAGAAGTTTCAACCGTCCGCCTCCGCTTGGGTGGTGGGTTTTTCTTAGAAAGGTCGTTGAACTTGTCTGGGTACAGGATGGTAGGGCTAAAGAGAAAAATAAAATCATCAGGGCTTTCATTCTGTTTGGCGAATATTTTCTCCAAAGCTTCTCATCAGCTGGGCTTAAAACCGAAAATATAAATTTCACTTTGTCACATGGTTAAAAGTTTCTTTAGTCAATACAGTAGGCTTTCCATCCAAAGTGTGATGAAGAAAAAAGGAACTGTGAGCATGAAATGCTTAAATAATGCTAAATGTAGCTGGCGTACCTCGGGTAGAAGGGGAACGAGAGCTGGTAGGTTCCTGTGAAGCCGTGACCGGTGATCTGCTCCATCCAGCCGAGTACTTTACACTTTGTCAGGGTCCTCCTCAGACTGGCCACTGAAGAAAAGAGTTCTCCTTTCAGGGCACGATTTAGGATCCACAAACCGTGGAACCAAAAGCTCATCGAGCAGCGCGTTTAGGTTTTAAATGTTAGAAAATGAAAAGAAAGCACACTTCACAAAAGAAGCCCTTAAAGTGACCTTTTCCTACATCAGCCTCTTGTAAGCTGGAAACGTGAGAGTAAAAGTTAGTTTCTTTCTCTGCAGGGAACAGCAGCTGTGATCAACTTGCCTTCATGTTGGAATAAATAGTTTTCATGTCAAAACCATCTACAGACACCTTCACATCCATCCTGTGGTATCATCAACTTCTTTGAACTGTAACTTTGATTGTTGCAGAATCATCGAGACAATAAGAACATGTGTTTTTAACATGTGGCTTTAAGAGTGCTCGCTCGTCTTGCATGTTGTTTAAAGGGCAAATAAACAAAAGGTTTCGTAAGGATGCACGAGAACCAAAGCACAAAGCAAACCTCCACAGGATCCTATGCTCATGATTAATCTTGTGTGCCGTACACGTAGGAACAGGTCTTCAGCTGAATATACTGAATCACCAATTTCTCAGACAGAATCAGCAGCTTTTAGGAGTGGACCTCCTCCCTGGTGGCTCAGAGCACTTCGCTGAGATACACAGTTACTTTACTTCCTCATTAACACATTGCGATTAGTCCAAAAATAAAATGGCTGATTCACTTTAAAACGGTGCTTTTATAGTTTGACCCACCAACTGACTGAATGTACCACTGAACTAAAACCAGTCAGAATCAGCGTTATGAACAGTGCTGCGTTCAATGACTGGTGTGTGTACTGAAGTGAATTTGAATGGTGACCTTGTGAGTGTGTGGGGGTTTTTAGTCAGATGCGGGTGAAACTATGCGCGTCTTCAAAATAGCAACACAGTGGATGGACAGCAGAGAAGATTGTGCTGCTTTTGTTTACTTCCTTGATTGAAAACTGTTGGAATCCATTATACTTAACATGAAGATCAAACAGCACAATTTTGCGTTCTTTTCCAACTGAAAACTCAACACGTTGTTTTAATCACTTGAGGAAACAGTCTGATGTCAGCAGCGTCCCGCTAAGTCATGTCAGAGAGAGAGAGAGAGAGAGGGGAGTCTTACCTAATTGGTACTCCTTTCTATCCTTGTTTGCGTCCACTAGGTATCTGCGCAGAATGGTGGTGCTGCAGGTTTTAGGTTCATTCATGGCTGTGATGGCGGCTGTGATGGCTTCCTCCAAGTTGCTGCCCTTCAACAGGACCTGGTTACCAGTACGTTTCAGCTGTGACAGTCGGGATATGAACATTTTCTTTAGGATTTTGGGCCGTAAGCCCGTCACTGAATCTGTCGCTTCAACCATGTCGTAGAGAGCTTTACCTGGAAAGTCCCATTGGCTCCTTTCCCAGTGATTTGGTCCAGATGTCCTTTCTCGACTGCCCTCACCAGGGCTGACTTCAGTAGATCTGGCCTGAGGGCGGACCGGAGTCATTAAGTCATTAAGTCATTAACATATCCAATAATCATAAACAACAACACATTATACACCCATTTCTATAAGTTACTGAGCTTCTAAAGGAGAGTATGTAGCTGTGTATCTTTGAAGTTTAAACATTTTAAAAACATTCACTGAGCATATATGATGTTGTCTGTAGTTCTTAAAAACTTTGTTTAATTGATTGACTGTTAATGGATTGCAGTTTTTATCAGCTATGAATTAATCTATAATTATGGTAAATATTTAATGTTTGCAGGTTACAGCCTCCCAAATACAACTTGCTTGCATCTATTCCCTTCAACATCAATAGTTCAATATGGTGAGTTTTGTGATGGTTGGTCAGATTAAAACTGAAAAACCTTTGAAACTTCAAAAGACTTGTTAGAATTAAAAAGAATAGATTGTTAGCTGCAGAGTTCCATAAAACAACATTCGACAGGAAAAGAATGGTCAGTACCTGGTTTTGATGTTTAGGTTGGGGAAGTGCTGCTCCAGGTATTTCTTGATCAGGTAGTAGGAGGCCTCTTTGGGCTCACAGAGCCGAGTGATGATGAGAGGAAGAGCATCTCCCAGAGCCTCGGCCCTCACAGCTGGTTTCTGCAACACCATCCGGTAACATGAATGACAATTACAACCAAACACACCCGAGACTCGTACTGGAAAATGACAAAAGGACACTGTTGACACTACTCCAGTAACAGAAGGATTAGATCTATGAAACTAGTGCTGGGCGGTTTGAATTTCCCATACGATATTCATTTTTCACATAGTGCCACAGGACAACAGCACTACAGCAGATTGAGAGGGGATCCATAACTGCGTACCCTTCTTGGTCATGGTTACAACACAACAGTTAATAACCCCCAGACAACTATTGTCAACAGGGTGAAACACGATCGCACACGACACAATGTGACGCATAAACATTTGGTGAAAAGCTACAGACAGTCCAGACGATTTCAATGATTCAAACACTGGATTCAAAGGGAAGTTGAATCTTTGCTTCAGTCAAACTCTCATCCTGACATTGTACCAACAGCACCGACGTACAGTCGCACACTTTTCAACAACAGGCCTGTGGTCAGTATTTAGTGTTACTATATTTTAATCATTTGTTTTGAAGAGAAATAAAAATAAAAATAAAGTATTTTGATTTATTTTTTGGACTATGCTGCACAATAACAATTGTTTACAAGACCCAGTCTTGCCACAAATAAAAAATAAATAAACCTGTAGATATATCGATAACTGTCAGAATCTTAAAAGAACACTGCGATACAGATGTTTGATCTCACCGTCCAGCACTCTGATATATTCTACTGTGTTCTACTACTTAAGGTTCCTCAGTCCTTTAGATATAGTTGGACATCGATGAGGAAACAATGCACTTTGGGAAATACGCTTTCTTGCCTTAAGATGAGAGGAAGAGCAACACCACTGTTATCTCTGTCCATTTCATATGAAGCTACCGCCAGCAGCTGGTTAGCGTAGCTTAGCAAAGAGGCTTGAAACAGGCCTCAGCACCTCTGAACCCTCTAATTAACTCACGTTTGTTAATTCTGTACAAAACAAGCATGAAAACAACCAGCAGAGTCTCCAGGAAGTTGCTGCTCCATGCTGAGAAACAGGCCGGCACTTAACTATTGTACATCAGTACCGACCTTTGCTGTGACATACCTTAGTGGAGGAGGACTGCTTCCCAATGGCGAAGGTTCCTGAAAGGCCTTTACCCTTCAGCTGTGTGAGAGACAGATCAATAACAAGAGTAAGCAGACCCGACACACGCCTGTGTTCCTTCACACTTTAATTAATGAGCATCTGTGAAATAGACCAATCTCTAAAACTGTTAAGCTTTGGATTTCACCAAAGGTTGAAGGTTACAAGGAGCTCTGAAATGTAAAGTTTGTGGAGTGTTTCAAACCTTTCAAAACTAGAAATTTGTGAGCAAAGGCCCAAGTAAAGGATTTTACGGTGTGCGTTTGCACTAACGTTAGCTGCAAACATTAGTCCAGCTAACTATCGTACAGCCTACAGAAGGAAGCGCTACTTTCAAGACTGAGCAGCATTTCAAAAGACATGATTTTGTGGAGTTAGAAGTTATGTTGAACCTGTTCACATCTAACACAGCCACCATGTAGCATTTCCCCACCGAGAGGACGCTGGTCGTGGATGCCATCAAGCGCTGATGCTAACGTTAGCAGCTCTATCTGGCTCTTTAGTGGATTTTGGGAGGTTTACACTGCTTTACACTGTCAGAAACGGAGCAATCGGTTGCATTTGTATCTTATTTGTTCTCATTAATGCTCCATGAAAAGTTCCAGATTTGAGCCGATAACTTTATCTATATCTTTGCATGGGACAAGTACGAAATTAGAAGATGTTTTGCCCCCAAATATCATCCTGTACCTGTTTGATGGTTCCCTTCTCCAAATGTTTCTTCATTGCTTTCTTGAGGAGAAACTTCTTCTTGTTGAGCTCCATCTCCGGGTATTTGTTCAGAATATATTTCATGAAGGACTGGTATGAAACTCCAGACTTGTCATTACAAGACTGTAAAGAAAGACGACAAGAAATGAGATTTAAAAAAGAAAAAAGCGGTAAAAAAACAAACAACCCCTGTGAGCGACTGCGTTGATGGATTTACAGGGTTTCTGCACACCGTAATAGCTTCGATGAGAATATTATCCACTTTGTATTGAGTGCCTGCAAAGTTGGAAACGGGCCGCTTTTTGCTGCCAGCGACGCTAGCCCATGCAGGAATCGTCCGTTTCACCTTCTTGGCTTTGGCTTTCACGTACTTGTAGCCATCCTTCAACCTGCCGCCAAAGAGGAGGAGCAAGACACAAGTTCAGTGAAGTGGTTCGATCCGTTGGAAGCGATATTTCACTGTGATTTTTACCACCCTTATCTATATCACATTCTCACCTTGGTAGGAGAACATAGCAGTGTGTTGAACACTGTCCAGCCGCGCAGTCCTTGCATTTGTCCCTTTGTCACCGACGGGAAAGACAAAATGAAGTTTGAGAACATCTGTCTTAATGATCACCATGTAATTTGACCCTCCCTGGAGTGCTATGCTCGTGTACTACGTGCAGAAAAGTCAATGTGTGCTTAGTCTGTGAGAAGAGATGGAGGTCAAATGTCACTAATACCTCAACTACAGCTCAATGGTAGTTTCCCCCACACTTGTTTCTTTATACTGTTTTTGAGAAACGTTCATAACAAAGTTCATTACTTTGTTACGAAGAAAAAGGTCTACAAGGCTTTAGAAATGTTACCTACAAATGATTATTTTTTTTTTAAATCCAGAAAATATTTTGCTGAATTTCTGTGGATAAACAAAATTCATTTTAGCATTGTTCTGCATGTATATAGATAACGCCGTCCTTTCTTTGAACTTTTCAGATGTGTACTGAGCTGGTAACAAAGGGACCGATACATCCGTCTGATATCCATCGAATGAATGCGGCCGTGCCGGTCACATTTAAATGAAAAAGACAGGAATGTCTCTCCGTGTGTGCTTCGCGTATCTCGAGAACTGCTCATTCGACCCACGTCCCACTCACCGGGTGTTTTGCTGGGGACTCAATGGACAGCTTTTGTCAAATTGTGTGCAATTTGGACTCGCGACACGTTTGATATTGACGAACTTTGAACTGACATGCGAGCAGCGCTCTGTTCAGCAGCCGGGGGCGGGGCTTCACGGCTCTGCAGAGTCCGGCATGTCGTCCGCGGCTCATTAACTGCAGTTCACTCTAAAACCAAACTCTTCTTCACTTTCCCTGGAGTCGACACAAGCGCACAGCCGACTGGAAGCAAGGGCATATTCTGTGATTTGGTTTCCGCCGTCTAGCTTTACTTCTCTCCCTTTTCTCTCTCTGGGAATGTTTGGCAGTGGCAGAAGAAGTGGGCCCACTCAAAACATGTTAAACTATTAATAGTCAAACTATTAATACAGTACAATAAAAAGTACTGCGTTAAATGTTTACTTCAAGTGAAGAGTGAAAGAGATATCAGTACAATTAACTTGATTTTTATTTAACTGTTCATGGCGGAGCTCTAATATGGTGCTGGATAGTTTGATGAATAACAATGCAGCATATTTCATGTAATTGTTATATTTTGTGCATCAAATCTGAATCTTAACCAGTAGCATTTCTCTGTCAGGTAAATGGTAGTACTACAATGTTTTCCTCTGAAGTAGAAGTACACATTAAAGTACTAAAGGTAAAGTATAACGTTATCATGATGTGTTCACGTGTGATCTATAAAATGTAGTGTTAGTGAGAAACTTGAACAAATCCAGCTGTTTGCAGGAGATGTTTTCACAACAACATGAACAGTTATTAGAGATGAACTATGACCCGTTTACACTAAGCAGATTCTACTACATCATTAAAACTACTCATGACAAGATTTGTTTTAATCCAAAAAAATACAATATTTTATGAAGAAAAAACAAACAAACTATAGGTCAAAGTAAAAGGAGAATTTTTGATGGTTTAAACTGACTTCAGAGCAGTTGAAATAATGTTTGGGACGGTGGCAAAAAAGCCTGGAGCCTTGTAGACCAGCAGCTATAATCAAACAACAACGGGATCTGTATCTGCCATTATGGATCATCAATGATCACCAATTAGTGTCAACGGCAAAAGAAAATGTGATCAGGGATCTGTAAAAGTTATATTTGCTCCCTTTTTTGTTTTGTGTAGATCCGATTTTTGACCGAGAGGAGAGTATGATCCGTGATACGATCTGAACCGGGAGTTTTATGATCCGTTGCACCACTACTTGGGTGTGTGTGATTCAACTAAGTCACGGCAGATGTGTTTTTTGTGTCAGGGCCCAAAGAAGCGCCGGGTCGAGTGTAAAGTATTTTGTATGAGCGGTTCTCGAGGAAGCTGCAAACAGCAATACCACAGGCCAAGCCCCCGGCCCGTTCTGAACAGGCATGTTTTTAAACGGGCACTGCGCTAGTCCAATGCAACACTGCAACCGTGAGAGGAGCAGCCTGCTGTTATCCAGCAGAGGTAAGGATAATATAAACAGATAAAAGTGCTATCAAAGTGAAATATCGCAGCATTCACAGTTGCACACTAGCTCTCTGGTGGAACTCACTCTTGCTTCTCTGTCCCTTCTTCTCCCTTCTCCTCTGCGGGTTCTTCGGCTTTCTCCCCATTCTCTGTGGGCTCCGTCTCAGCCGTGGCCTCCTCTTCCGGCGCGGCTGAATGTGCAGCCGGCTCCTCTTCGGCGGCGGGTGACTCTTCTGAGGACGCCTCAGCCTCTGTGAGGAGGAAATAGAGTTGTGTGAAAAAGTGTTTGCCCCTTTCCTGATTTCTTATTTGTTTGCATGTTTGTCACACTTAAATGTTTCAGATCATCAAACAAATTTAAATATTAGACAAAGATAACACAAGTAAACACAAAATGCAGTTTTTAAATGAAGGTTTTTATTATTAAGGGGGAAAAAAAAAATCCAAACCTACATGGCCCCGTGTGAAAAAGTGATTGCCCCCCCCTGTTAAAACATAAATTAACTGTGGTTTATCACATCTTTGGAAAGCTGAGTTCAATTTCTCTAGCCACACCCAGGCCTGATTACTGCCACACCTGTTCTCAATCAAGAAATCACTTAAATAGGACCTGCCTGACAAAGTGAGGTAGACCAAAAGATCCTCAAAAGCTAGACGTCATGCTGTCAAATTCAGGAACAAATGAGAAATAAAGTAATTGAGATCTATCAGTCTGGAAAAGGTTACAAAGCCATTTCTAAAGCTTTGGGACTCCAGCGAACCACAGTGAGAGCCATTATCCACAAATGGCAAAAACATGGAACAGTGGTGAACCTTCCCAGGAGTGGCCGGCCGACCAAAATTACCCCAAGAGCGCAGCGACGACTCATCCAAGAGGTCACAAAAGACCCCAGAACAACATCCAAAGAACTGCAGGCGTCACTTGCCTCAATTAAGGTCAGTGTTCATGACTCCACCATAAGAAAGAGACTGGGCAAAAATGGCCTGCATGGCAGAGTTCCAAGACGAAAACCACTGCTGAGCAAAAAGAACATAAAGGCTCGTCTCAGTTTTGCCAGAAAACATCTTGATGATCCCCAAAACCTTTGGGAAAATACTCTGTGGACTGACGAGACAAAAGTTGAACTTTTTGGAAGGTGTATGTCCCATTACATCTGGCGTAAAAGTAACACGGCATTTCAGAAAAGGAACATCATACCAACAGTAAAATATGGTGGTGGTAGTGTGATGGTCTGGGGCTGTTTTGCTGCTTCAGGACCTGGAAGACTTGCTGTGGTAAATGAAACCATGAATTCTGCTGTCTACCAACAAATCCTGAAGGAGAATGTCTGGCCATCTGTTCGTGACCTCAAGCTGAAGCACACTTGGTTTCTGCAGCAGGACAATGATCCAAAACACACCAGCAAGTCCACCTCTGAATGGCTTAAGAAAAACAAAATGAAGACTTTGAAGTGGCCTAGTCAAAGTCCCGACCTGAATCCGATTGAGATGCTGTGGCATGACCTTAAAAAGGCGGTTCATGCTCGAAAACCCTCCAATGTGGCTGAATTACAACAATTCTGCAAAGATGAGTGGGCCAAAATTCCTCTACAGCGCTGTAAAAGACTCATTGCCAGTTATCGCAAAAGCTTGATTGCAGTTGTTGCTGCTAAGGGTGGCCCAACCAGTTATTAGGTTTAGGGGGCAATCACTTTTTCACACAACTGTATGTGCAACAATGCTAAAGAATATCACTTTTTTTTCTTCTTTCTTTTAAATTTAGCAGTTGACTGACCATTCCACCGTGGAAGCATCTTGTCATTTTCTATTTTGTTCTGCTTTGGGAAATCGTTTGAAATAAAGTCATGGCAATTTATAAAGAGAGCCACTGCAGGAGCATTTTTCACTGCAAAACACGGGCATGTGTGTTAATAAATGTACAAACACATGTTGGGTTTATAACGTTAGAGCCCACAAATAAACATTTGCAACCCATGTTGGGTCAGGACACTGTCGGGTTTACAGGACAGAGAGAGTCTACAACATGCAACAAAGGTCTCCGAAAATGTAATGTGCATGTTGCCATATTTTCTCCTAAAAACCCAAAGGTTGATGTTACTGCTCTGGTTGTGCGGGACTGTTTTGCCTCTCCAGCATGACATTCCCCTTGTTTTGCCTTACTTCCACACTGTGGTGCACTATTCAACCTTGTGGCTGCTGATTGGCCACATCTGCTGTAGCTAAGCCTGGACTTGACTTAAGGGGCATTACTTAATATTAATGTTACCAAAGACGGTTGGGATTTTTGCAATCAAAAAGTTGGACGAACAGCATAAATGTTTTTTCCCTCCCATATTTTAAAAAGGGTTTCATGCAGCATTATGAACTTTTTTTGAATGTGCCATCTTATCAAACACGTCCACATGTTCTACTCAAAGATCATGCAATTCTGATTTAAGTCTGCACGTAAGCAACATAAATATTGTATACGATTCTGACATTTTATCAGTTCTAAAAACAACATGGCCACACATGCCTCTGCAGACTGACCACAGTCACTGTGTGGGCTGTAATGAGTGCCGATGAATGCGCGCTCACGGGTCCTTCAGTTCAGGTGATGGACGACCCCAGCCTTACCTTTCTCTGCTGCAGCGGAGGGGGCCTTCTCCGGGGTCGGAGTCGCTGCTACTCGGCGTATCGGCATTACACGAGATTAACCTGGATGAGGAAAATTAAACACGCACGCGAACAAGACAAAAAGTACGTTAGCACACAACACTGGTTTGGTGCCCATTCCTGTGTACGTGCGTGGTTAAACATGGCGACATCGTAAAACCCACTTCATTCATTTGGGCCCCATTCTCATGGAAACGGCAGAAAGGGTGCTGCACTTGTGATTCGCCAAAAGCAACCACCTTCAATACGGTGCAATGCTCTTTGGCTTAACCGCCAGTCTCTGCCAGTGAATTTCGATAATTTGCACATGAGCCAGAAAATGAGTTGCCAGAATTTTTTCGGCAATTTCGCCATTTTGTCCGTTGGTTTATACACAGTAATGGCGTCGCACAAGGCAGAAAATTCATTTCAGTTGCATTGAGTTAGAGCCAACAGCCTACGCATCATTTCCAGCATCGCATCCGTGCAACTTCACATTTAGAGAGTGACTCAACATAACACGGATCAAACTTACCTCTTACTAGTGGAGAAAAAGTGAGCTACTTTGGAGTAAATTTCTGCACGATCCTTTATTTAGATTTCACTGTTTACGAGCCCCGCCCCATTAGGACCGTTGGTTACGTCACAGCGTCACAGAGCACGTCGAAGGATCCCCACTGTCATGGCCGCCGACACTTACCTTTTAAAATCAATTCTTGACTGTCGTCGCTGCCGTTGTGTAGCCGACCGAGGCTAACGGAAAAGATGCTAGCTAGCAAACCGTTTTTTTTTTCTTTCGTTATCGTTTCTAAAAGCTCAACATTATACTTTAATTGTTTGTTATTTTGAGTTGCATTGATATCGTCTACCGTACAGTTCAACACAATCTGAGTTAAGTCAACCGAGATAAATCAGTTATGAACTTATAAGCATTCAGAAACTACAGCCCTGATGAGGTTCTCAGAGGTAGTCTGTGGCAAAGACTCATGGGAGCTGTAGTTGTCTAACAAAGTTAAAATGAAGACAAACACATTTTCTTTTTCAGAACAGTAGTGGACACACAATAAAATATAGACAGAAAACATTAGAAATATACTTTAGCTTTCTAGTTGCATCATTATGTGTAGTTCAAATAAGGACCATTTCACCACTAATGGTGTCCCATTAAGAATGCAACCTTCTTATATACAGTCTATGGATGTTACTATTTTCAGGTTCCATTATCTGCTTATTATTTTCAAAATGAATGGATTAATCATTTTGTCTTTGAAATGTGTGAAAATTGTGAACAATGCCGGTCACAATTTCCTGATTTGACTTCCTCAAATCGCCTATGCTGTCCGAACATTCAAAAACCCAACGACAGTGACTACAACAGAAAAGCAGCAAATTCTCACAATCAAGAAGCTGACATTTTCGACTAATCTATTAATGGTGTCAGCTCAAGTCTCCATGTTCACAGGGTGCCGAAAGTCATTTGTGGGTGATAAAAAAAATCAAGTCAACTTCCGTAAAGACGAGCAAATGCATGAGCTATGGATAAGGCCAGCCCCATATGTGATCTGATCAGCATGTGATCCCGCAGACATTGTAATATGAATGCCAGTGCATGCCTGACCACATTTAAACACATCTCAACTAGATCTATACACAATCTAGACCAAAATATATATTTATCTAAATACAATAAAACATATTAAAAAAAGTGTAGTCAATTACAAGAGAAATGACCTGCTGCAACTATTTCAAAGCCACAAGTTGGGAGTTAATTCATGTTTGTCGATGCTTTAATTGTCTCAGCAGAACAAATCAGTGGCTCACAGTGACTCCAGCTGCTCCTGAGGATGCTGGGGTGTTACCCGAAAATGGGAAAACAGAACACGCACACACTTTCAAAAGAAACAAATCTGTCAACCTTCATCTTCAAACACCAACCAAACAAATCATGACAATGAGCAATTTCAAATACCTTTTTTGTCTTTAATGTATTTACAAGCTTTAATCTGCTCTGTAGGTCTGAAGTATTACAAGCATTTCACGTTCAGTGACCTTGGCCATTTGCTTTTTAATGTTGCAATTTTTTGCTCGTTTCATTTCAATGTATCCGGTTTGTTCATCTGCATTTGTTTTGACAGTTCTGTGGACTGACTTGCATCGCTTCTCGAATGCATACCTCTGCTTCTCACGAGGTGTATGTACAAATCAACGTAGAGCTAGCCAAGGCTGAGGGAAACACCTTCTGGTTATTAGGAGATAACCTTTGACCTCAAAACGTCATACACGGACAACGTTAATAGCTTCTGTGCATCCTCTCCTTTTTATCTCCGCTTCCCCGTCATCCCAAAATAACTTTGTTTTACCCCGTTTTAAACCAAACAGTGTGGAATCCAGGGAGGCTATTTATTTCACAATTATTATTTTGTTATTATAATTAATTATATTGTTATTTCTGTTCTCATTTGTGAGCATCTGCAAATGTTAAATAACTTTCATATTTGCAGTCCTTAAAAAAATAATAAATTAAAGAGTCCAGAACCTATGTAGCTTTTAAGTCTCTTCTTAAAAAGTAACAAAACAAAAGTAAGTTAAAATTTAAAACAAAAATATTTTCTATGTATAATACAGGTATTTAGTGCTTCCGCCGTTGGAATCCAAACTCAAAATGGCGGCATGTTTTCCGAACCGTACCGCAGAAAAAAATTCCAGCCGTAAAACATGTCGTCCTGCCCACACACCCATTTTGAATGTTTATTTGTTTGTTCTGCTGTAAGGATGCAGTTCTACTACGTCGCGTCCCCCGGGTGTCTCCCTCGTCAATTGTCTTCCGACTCCTCCTCCGCCTCCCGCAGCCAGGTGAAGAAGGCCGTGACAGACTTGAGGGCCACACCTTTACCCTGCTGCTCAGCAGGGTCTTTGCTCGTCTCCCACTTGTAGAAAGCATCCTCCGAGATCACGTCCTCGTCATACAGACAGTCAAAGAACATCCGGAGAAGGTCTGGAAGACAAAAGACGCATCAGTCATCGCTTTGGCTCCGGCAAGGATTCATGAAGTGAAAGAACGTTCTGTCCTGCTGTAGAAGTTCTGTTTGACACTTTTCTTTAAATGTAGCCTCCTATTGCCAATTTCTGTAATGTTACTAAACAAAGCTTTAATGTTACAGATTAGAATAATCTGAATATCGAAGCGAAAAACTGACCGGAGAAACATTTGTAAACTACCTTCTCCAGGTCAACAATGAATTGAATCTGAACTTTTAATCGGACACGGACGAGCAGTCCTCTAAGTGCTCAGGACATTTTTTTATTTGAGCATCTGTAATTCCATGACAACCGGGCAAGCTCCATCTGCTGATGAATATCATGTGACATGATCGATAGCTTCATACCTGCTACGAAACAAACCTTGTGCTGAGATTATATTTTCTGCAATAAGATTGGTTAAAATGATTTATGTCTTCTCTGATGAATCACAGTTCTCTCCTCCTAATGAAACCGAGATGCAGCACTTACTTGGAGGCTGATCGAGGGCGACGATCAGCGCCTGAAGTGCATAAAGTGCTTGCAGCTGTCGCTCAGTGTCTGAGTTAAGGTACTTGAGTAATACAGGCAATCTCCACTGGATGATGGCCGTGTCCACTCGACAGTTGGTGTTATCATCTGTTCGGTAAAGCGGGATGGAGAGTGAGTGATATGAAATCAGTGGTGGCATTTCAGCAGAATAGAGGAGTTTCTCCTCCAGGTGGCGGAGTGCTTACCTTTCACTGCTGCCTTACACACAGCTGTCATCAAAGCCCTCAGGAAGGGAGATGAGCTCATCTGAGATTCATCTAGGGTTGCCTGGGAAATAGAGCACAGAGGAGGAGTGGGGGGAAACACACAATGTGTCAATTTCACATGGTTCAACACGTCTTAGCAGTTATGCTGCAAAAGAACAGGAAACAGCTTTAAGTCTTGTTTTGTTTTATTATTATTAAATGTTTCTGCTCATTACAGGCTGCCTCTCTGAATTTAAGTCACTAGCTTGCAGAGTTTAATGGTTGCTCCTCTAAGAAATGTGTCACTTCTCATACCTCCACCCAGTCAAAGATCTGCTCGTCGCTGGCCATGTCCTCCAGGAGGAGTTTCTCCAGCTGCTGGCTCAGCTCCTCAGGAGACAAGATCTTTTTGGACAGAGCCTCCTCGGGACCGGAGCCGTCCGACAGAACGAACTGGAGTTTCTGTTCGCATCGAGACGAGAGGACATGGACACGATGGGGAGGTGACAATAAAAGAGGTAGATGATGAAATGGGAAAAAGAAAGAGTGAGGAGGGGGTCGGAGGATAATGTGCTCTCTGTCCACTTTTTGTCTTATAATAGTATCAACAAAGCCAAATGTTAGTGACTGAGATTTCCTACAATTTTGATATTCTAGATTTGAGCGGAGGCCTTTATCACAAACCTGTTCTGAGATGAAAGCCTCGACGTCCTCTTCCTCTGGCAGGAAGTCGGTGCAGTCGAGGCCAGATTCCCTCCACAAAGAACCCACAGACCTATGGCTCTGTGGAGACAGGAGGAGACAACATTGCACCTCTCTTCTCTGACAGAACTTATTTTTATTTCTCTCTGGTCTCCAGGTAAAAAGATTTCAACGAGCCGATTCAGCCATAATTAGCTACAAATCAACCATGTCCATGATTTGATTTATGTAGTAAATAAATGGGAGCAACAATGAAAGTGCATTTTTTCTGTCCTTACTCTTGGCTTCTACATTCAAATCCATTTCACCAAAATATCACCGATATAATCACCTTGATAGACATTTAAGTGAACATCATCTATTACACGTGTACAACTACAACGGAGCTATTGATTAAAGCCCACTGGCTTTATAATAAGAGCAGGTAACTTAATTACTCAATTGAAGATTGAACGTGTTGCTTACCATTTGTTTGCATAGTATGTGCAGTATTTCAGAGATTAAGATCCCAGCTCTTCCCACAGGAAGCAAAGGTTTGCTTAATTCACTGTGAACAAACAGATGAACGGAGAAGTTTAATAACACAATGAAACACTTGAGACTATTTGCTGTGCAGCCGTAAGGGCCCGTTAAAGTTTCCTCCATGTATCTTAAACTTTAGTAAAGCCTAAAATGAATCCAGGAAATGAGAACAGAGAAGAGGAACATGAAGTAGAAAAATGTTGCGCGAAGAACAACAAACATGTAATTATGTTCATCAAGGAAAATATTGATCAAAATGTTGTTCTGTGGAGGTGAACACAAATTTCATCTGTGCACACGAAGCCAACACATTGGTCTGATATATTCTGAGCAAACACTAAATTTGACTGTATTTTTAGTATGTTTTCTGCTGGAGTATGCAGCGAGTGACGGGTGTCGTACCTAAAGAGCTCTCTCATAGAGAAGCCCCCTTCCTTCAGCACCGGAGTGAGCAGCTCGCCCAGGTACAGCCAGATGTGGGGAATGTCGATGGACATGTCGTCCGCTTGTTCCAGCATGTCTGCAAACCTGAGGAAACAAAACGGATGCCGCGGTGGTTAGGAAGCGAAGTACAACACAATGATGTAATTGTTCCTCTTCCATGTCAGAGGATCAGTCATGTTTAACGGTGGATAATTGGCTTCTTAGAACATGAAACATGAGGTGGTCGGATGTAATGTGATAAAGTAGATGAACAGCCTATATGTGTTTTGCCTAATTATTTCATGTAAGTAAAAAAGAAAATTGTTTTAAGGAAAAAGTACTGTTTATTGTTTGTTACTTACCACTACATTGGTATAAATTCTTATTAGATCATGTGTATATATACAAAATTTAATTTTGACACACTAGACGTGTACAAATGATATTTAAGCACCAACAAAATATGGATTTAAACTCAAATTCGTTTTCAATTGTATTCATCATGGACCAGAAAAATGTCCCTCGCACAAGAAGAACTACACTTCCTCTTCATTCTTTGTTTCTACTTCTACTTGGCATTCATTTAAAGTTTCCCTTTTGAGTTTGACAGTTGTTCTGAATTTGGGTGAAGTGACTGCACTGTTCTGCTCTGGAACGATGGCTGACCATCAAAACAGTTTTCTTTTAACCCCCATCAAGCAGAAACCTGGATTCAAAGTGTCACTTTAGGCATTTTTAAGTTATTTGTTTCAAAATTACAGATTTTGAAAGTTGATTTTAAAAAGCTATTGGACAAAGGAATCTACATTTGATTGTTATTTACAAATACGTGAAGTTGCATGTACTTTGTTTGATTCCAAAATCAGAACCGGTAGCAGATTTTCTCATGAGCAACCACGATACAAACAAGAGACTAGTTTGTAACAATGGATTAACTTAAGAGAAGTGCTTGAAGCCGAGTTAAAAGGCGGCTGATACGCATTTGTTCATTAGAATATTTACAGTTAAAGCAAGAAAAGCTTCTTGGCTGGACGAAGAACAGAATGCCGAAAGCAGCAATTAAGGCAAGAGACAACAAAAGGTGGCCATGAAGTCTGGTGATGCAGCTGATTGGGAGTCCTACTGAGAAACCAATTGGAGTAAGTGTGACAGTAAGAAACTCTGGAGAACTATCAATAATATTCTGGGTACATCTGTGGATAACACTGCAACAACTCATGGGGATGCCAATAAACAAACATTTTAGAATAAGAAACTGTGTCTCAATCAATATTCCCACTTTATGGGAACACGGCAGTCACAATAACAAGAAGCAGGCACAGTCGGTTGCCTGGCTTTACGGCTGAGTGCATTAAAATAAGTGGGTGAACTGACCCTTTGAAGAACTGAGGTTTGGGCAGGATGCCCTGCTGCACCAGCTGGAAGAGGAGCTGGCCCATGTGGTCCCGAGTTATCTGACTCCTCTCCAGGGTCGACTCCACCCCGACACGCACAAAGATGTGCAGCTGAGAGCCCAGGTCGAGCTCGTCCACACACTGAACAGCCTCCTGCAGAAAAACAAAGGAATACAGTCAAGACTGAAGCTAGTGAGAGAAGAGGATCTCGAACACTACATGCATCTGAATTCTATGAGTTGTTGTCGCATGGACAGTGGTTAAAGGACAACGATTAAAGCTGTGGGTCTGATATTAACAACGTTGTCGTTAAAGAGCAACACATTAAAAAGGGACAGCTTAGATTTTTTTGAAGTGGGGTTTAATGAGGAGGAGCAGCATCAAAACGTATTTAACCACCTAAAATAAATACAGTTTATTTGATATGTTATAATTTAAGTGTACACTATATTTAGAATATTTCCTCTCCTTTACTTTGACTTGATCGAGGCAGCAGTAGACCTGCAAGTCCTGAGTTGTACGAGGTAAAATAACTGTTTTTGTCAAAGGAGTCAGTAGCTTTGAAGAGAACATAGATGGATGCAACAGCTTCAGGTCCACGTTCGAAGGGCTGTCTTACAGCAAGGTAAACATAGCGTACACTTAAATTAACATCAGTTTTCTTTTAGGTGGCTAAAATACGTTTTGCTGCTGCCTCCGTCCACAGCAGTAAATACTTAGTTTCCGTGCACGTACTCCTGTCTGTTCCTCCAATCTACTGCAGGTAAAACACCGACTACGGATAACAAACTCATACAACCCCACCGCGCAAAATCAGAACTATCCCATTTATCTATATACTTTAAAAAAGTATTTTACAGAAACAAAAACTGAAAATACTGATGCATCTACTGTTGATCTCCTTGTGAATCTCAGTACCTTGTAGTCGTTTATGTGCAGGAACTCGTCGATGATGGACTTGGACTTCCTCTCCGTCTCGTCCTCAGACATAGGAGGTCTTTCCGAGGTCTGGACCACTGGCTCCGGTTTCACTGTCGACGTTAACAACAGTCACAACAGTGTCTGTCTGGATAAAAATCCATGTTTGGTCTACTCTGATTTAATCACATAAGCAACAACTTACTCTATTCCGACTTCAATACATATACTTTGTTTAAAATCTTTAATTTATTATACTTTCAAAAAGGTACAATCTTTTTTTTAATCTAGATGTATGTTTTTAGGGACAGTTTATCTGAGAATATAATATTCACTGACTAAACTAAAAGACACGCATAACAGCATCACAGCCAAAGCTAATTAAAATGATGCATGGTACAGTTTTACAGCAACAAAATGAGACGCAAGGGCATTAACCCCCAAAGATCACAAATACAACTGATCACAAATACAACAAATTGCCTTTCTAGATCTGCGTGCCGTTAGTGAGCCGGTAGACTACATTGGCTTGTGGCCCAATATTTAGTGGCCAGATATATACTCTGTATTTGCTGGAGAATCCTAGTGTGTAACGTCACACCAACGAGAAATCATAAGCATACAAGCCACCGGGGAGCTACAAACACAAGCATTTCTGATCATTCGTAGACGTGATCCTTTTGTTTTCAATCTGCTGTTATCCTAAATTGATTGACACATGTTGTAATACAAAGAGAAACAATATACAATGCATGTAAATGAGGTAAGAGTTACAATATTTATGTTTTCTGATGTCATTAATGGTGCACCAATGGTGTATTCAGGACATCTGATGCCAACCCAGACTAGTTCATGGCTTAAATCTCAGAACCAGATCATCCATGTGGTGTCACTAGAGACAGTTTAAACGCAAATATGCTTTCAATGTACGTCCAAGTGTTGTGCAGCGCCGCGTGTCTCACCAGGTTCCCTGACTCGGCTGCTCTCCGGCTCCGTTTTGTCCTCGGTGACACTCAGTCTCCAGGGCTCGGCTCCCTCTCGCTCCCGGTCTCTCCGCGGCTCCTCGGGGGTTGGACTCTCCAGCAGCTCCTTCGAACTGCCCCCCCTGGTGAACGGTACGGGCCGTGACGACGGAGGGGCAGAGATCACCGGCTTCTCACTGCGTTCCCTCGTCGCACTGTTACGACTGCCAGGAGAAGAAAAAAGCTTGAGTCAATCAGGATGTTTGAAAATGAGAGCGTAACTACCAGAAGCACGTGGTGTTGTTGTTTACCTTCCCAGAGTTCTCCTGGAGTCAAAGTCTGGGTTCTGTGGAGGAGTGGTGGAGGGCTGAGGAGAAGGCGTCGACTGCAGCGCAGAGTAACGATTGAGGCCAGCTGTCCGTGATAGTTCTGTTATGAACAGAAAGGTTAGAAGAGACACAAATGACCAGAAAATGAAGAGTAATGCTCATGGATCAATAGACTTCAGGTGTTTGCAGTATCAAGAGGGAAAGAAAATACAAAATTCAATGCTGATCAATAGGAAAAACAATCTCTAGTGAGCTTCAGGATCAAACTAAAAGCATCAGTAAGAATCTACAGAGGCGCTAAACCGATATTTGATTTGACAATTTCTGTAACTTTTGTTAAATCTAACAATGGCCGTTTGGAACAGCTATCAACATTTCTGTCTTCGTGGTCGTACGACACATCATACTTCTTTTAAGGCATACTGACACCTTAACCATGTGACAGTTAGGCAAGTTGCAGCTACAATCTCAAAGAAGTTTACGATTGTTACAACTCAAACATTGATGTCAAAAACCAGTCATTAAGTAAAATCTGAGCAGAGGCAGAAAGAGAGAGAGAGAGAGAGAGAGAGAGAGTGCTCCACCTCTGAGGCTCTTTCAGTGTTTTGCTTCTTTGAACTGGCCTCTCAAACACAAGATGAGATGTGCTTTGCTGTGTAATAAACACATATTTCCCCCGTCACTTCAGGTCCGCACGATATCTCCAACTCCTGCTCATGCAATTTTCCTGTGGTCTTGGATCAGTTACTACATGTTTTCTTACCTGAGTCACTGGCCTTGGCTCCTCCACTGCTGCCCTTCCCCCACGTGACTTGAGCCCGGGGGCCCAGCTGGATCTTCTCATCCATTTGAGGCTGCAGAAAGAGAATCATTTAAGAACAGGCTGCAAGCACACATGGAAACCATCAACAGCAAACAGGCAAACGAGGACACCGTTTGAGACCAGATGAATGAAGCAGACATAACCCTGCAGGTACATTTTGATTGTCCGTTTAACGCTCTGAGCTGCCAGAAATAACACACATCAATCAGCGTAGATACTAATATACTTGTGTCATATAACAGTAACAATCTGCTGACAGAGCCCTCCCTGATATATCACTTGCTCACTAATCATGCTTACGTTTTGTTTACTAAATTCTTCTGTAGTGCATCTATCCATCTTTTACACCGGTTTATTTGTATTCAGGGTCTCAAGAACGCACTGGTGAAAACCTTTGATTCAAGATATAAGTAGCACACAAAATGCAGTGTGTGCCATGTAGTGTATTACAAGAACTGTCAACAAGGATGACTGTTCTCATATTGGACCCAACACCAAGAACATGGCAGAATTCCTCCTGCAGGGGGAACTTGTTTTCTTTTTACAAAGCAGTACCACGTGGGTCCAACAGGGGGACGGAGTGCTACTGAACACTCACCACCATAATGTGGATCACAAGAGGACAGGGCCAGTGAATAAATACACATGATGAAACACAGGAGTTCTCTTGTTGTTGTTTTTTTTTACCTCCTTGTCTCAATTCCTAAAATGCATCTCGAAGAGATAGGAGGCTTGCCGGAGGGGCCATGAGCGAGGATGCACATGTGTACACTTTGCAAAAGTCTTTTTACAGCACCCGAGACGTATAACAGAGGCGTGGCATATTTTTGTCACATTATGCCACGTTGTGAATTGAATTAAAAGTAAATATATAAAGTTGTCGTGAACACAGTTCTTCTGACAGAGATAATAAAATAAAGCGGTATAACAAAACAACGCTCGCCCTGAAGCGTAGATGCATTATTTAGTTAAATGCCCGTTTTTCCTCGACTCCTCTCTCCTTGCCTCCACCGCTCGCATCCCTCAGTGGGAAGGACTAAGATGCGAGGAAAAAAGGCGAAGAAGGGCATGTACACATCGTGAAGTGAGTAGAACCCCCCCCTGTATTGTAGCGCTTGCTTGGTTCATATGCAAGAGGCAGTAGCATGTCTCACCTTGGAGATCTTTGGGATCTTGGTGGGGTCGATGGTCCTGCTGTTCTTTGTCACGGGCACAGTGTTCCAGGTCTCTTCTCTCTGCACGCGCTGATCTCTCTGTTCTCTTTGCTCTCTGGGATCTACAAGGCCAACGCACACACATACGCACACTCAGTGGAAATCTAATGGTATGTCATTCATTGAGTAGACAGCCAAAGCTGACAAAATTACATTTTTGACGGTTTTGCGCTAGACATGATGAGAAATGATAGGTCAGCTAACAGACAGAATGGACCGGGGGGGCTTCCTGTCTGCTGTTGGGCGCAATAGCACCTCTACAGTCCATAGGGACAGGAAATCTCTCAGTATGCTTGCAGGCTTCCTGAGTCGCCGTCGGTGTGCCGACTGTAAGCTCTAAAGAGGATTTAGACCGCGGGTCTGACCTGGCCGTCTCTTGCTGTCCTTGGAGAGCATTTGCTGGTGCACTTTCCTCTGCTCCTCCTGCTCTTCAATCTTTGCCTCCTTGTGGATCTGCTCGATGGTTTTCGGGCCCTGGTCGGCTCTCCTGGACACCCAGTTGTGCTGGAAGAATACCGAGAACCACAAATGACCTCAGAACTGACTCGAGCAGTAGTGTCAGCTTCAGCAGTTTATCACGGATTGATTTCACTTGAGCCGAGCCGTTTCAAATGAAAGCCCAGATTATTGCAGAGTGTCGGAGGGTTTTATCAAAGCAGATGTATCAGTTCAGATATAAAGACGTTTTTTTAAGCGCAGAGGAATATTGAAAGACTGTCAGTTATGATCATTGACTAACTCAGACACATGTGTTAACATTATCAGTTTCAGCTTTCACTACGACCCTTCATTTGTTTCATTCCATGATGCTGAACATGCCGTTTTTGTTTTTATACACTGCGCAGCCCAAGCAGCCTTGCTCATTTTAATTTGACAAGAGCGCAGCACGGCCCGGCTCAAATGTGTGTTTCCACCGTCTTGCAGGAGACAGTGACATGAATTCAAACAGCTTGCGTTCGGCAAGAGTTACTGCAGGAGAGAATCACAGTGCAGATGTCTCCGTTGGATAAAAACGGACACGACACTCGTCATGTTAAGACGTTTGCCCCTCATTTGTCTCTGTGGGAGCCCAGGAAACGTCCATGTGCCCCTCCAAATATGTGTTCAATAAACTAAACAACAAACTGCTGAAACAGAACAGACAATAGACTGTGTGCAGGTGAGCATTCATGTATGTAACATAGATGACTGTGTATTGACATACAGGTGCAACAATATTTTTTTGCAGAGAAAGATATTGATTAAAATAGGGGAATTCTCTTGTTTTGTTGTCATATTGAACAGCCCTAATCTGACTTTACACCTACATACAGTATATATGGATTAATGCACACTATGTCTGATGATTCCTGTTTAACAGCCACTGGCAAAACAATACTAAACACAGAACTGTGTGCAGAATATGTGATCACATTGTACTGTGTGGACAGTTTACTTTCCACAAGAAACTGTTCTGTGTAAAAACAATAAAGATCAACACAATCACATGTTAATGGCAGTTGTTGGTGTTTTTTAAAAATTCATTCACCATTTTAATCTATTAATAGACGTACAGAACACATTTGTGTTTAAACATTGTAGTGCCATCAATTTGTTTTAATATTCTAGGAAACCGATATGGGAAAGTTGTATTCGTTTAATGCAGCGCTATCTGCTGTCCAACAAACACAAACACACACACACACACACACACACACACACACACACACACACACACACACACTCACCAATCTGAGGTCCATAATGTCTTGCAGCATGAAGCGTATCCGAGATGACGTCTTCCTCTCCTTGACGATCTTTTCCATCTGATTGAAATACTGATCCATCCGGGGCTGAGGGAGGAGGGAGAGAGCGAGAGAGAGAGCGAGCGAGCGAGAGAGAGAGAGAGAGAGGAGGTTCATTTCAGACATGAAGGTTATTTTCTCAACCTCTCTGTTGAATCTAATGGACAGCGAGTTTCAGGGATTTCCACATTATTACACTAAACTGACTGATTGGTCCGTTTGTTACTCGGAGCAGAGGCCGTCCGGACTGCCCAAGATGAAATTGGAACAATTTGGGAGACGGTTGAACTACAACTGTAATAGCCCAGAAAGCCCAAAACCAATTCACTGTAATTGTCCGACAATAAAACGCCCATGTTCACAATATCACCAAAGTAAACAGGATGAAACTCATCTGAAGGACAAGATGAATTATTAACGTCTAAAACTGTGCTTTTTATGTTGGTAAACAGTGTAAAACTCCTTCAAATGGAAAGTGAACCAAAGCAGAATTAAGTTGCTATGCTGAGTTCCTATCAGTCTCTCTGCTGGTCAGAGGGCTTTCCTCTTGCAGGGTGACTGCTGGAGGATGAGGATCAAACCACACATCGCAGTGCAGCAGAGAGAGAGAGCAGGAAGGCCCTCAGGTCTAGTGTCTCTCCAAGCATCTGAGGACTCTCGCTGTGTCCAGCTGGGTGTCACTGATGTCAACAGGAGTCAGTCAGACAGAACAAAGCAGAGCATCCACTGTGTGCCTATTCATGTTTCCTCAGAACATACATCAACATTTTCTCCTCCGTCTCTTGAACTGAAGAGAGCCCGGCCAGCGTGGGACCTAATCCCACCACAACTTTCTCTTTCATGCCTCTCATACCTAGAGCTGGGCGATAAATCAATTTTAACAATTAATTTAAATCCATGATGTTAAAAAAAGGAAAATCGATTTGCACCTCAACTTGGGTAATTACGGTAAAGAACTGCCACAGCTTCCTTGAGCTCCTGTAGCTCATAGTAAACAGGTGAAACACCAACATGGCAGCATGGCTTGTTGTCGAGGGAACCAGTGAGACGCTAACTTCTGAGGTTGGCCTGCAAAAGTATCCCTGCAGCACTCTACACAGAGGCATTTATGTTCGTGGCATCTTAGCAGAGCTGACATGCTGTGCTCATGTCAAAGTGCTACTGAACAACAGTTCATCTTCTGGCTGAATCCTTGTCAACCATCACTCTCTGGCTGCAGTAAAACTTGTTTTACTTGCTGGCTCAGAAACAAAACATCAGGTCTGCTTAAAGTGCCAGTGAGCCTCTAAATATGTTAAATATTCCCTCTTTATATTGTACAATACATAATAATATTTCATTATAATTGTTATAGGAAAATGTACCCGTTTCCTGTCTTTATGCTAAGCTAAGTGAACTTGCTGGCAGTAGCTGGGTGGTATCAATCTTCTCATATAACACTCAATTAAGCAAACAAGCGTGTTTCCCGAAATGTAGAATTCGTTTGAACTACTTAAGCTCTCTTAATAAATCAGCCTTCTTCTGCACCTCACCTTGGCCTTCTCAAAGTCCAGGTCCTTGCCGATGGTGGTGAGCAGCCTGCACAGGCACTCCAAGGACTCCTCGTCGTGGTTCTTGAGCAGCTTGACGACGCAGTCGTGCATGATGGCCTCCGTCAGCATCTTGAGCTTGAAGAGCTCGCCGATGAACCTGATGTTGCCGATGGAGCGCCGCCGCGCCAAGTCCTTGGCTTCCTGCAGCTCCGCCTGGAGCCGCTCGCGCTCTGTCGTCTGAGGAGACCAATGGAAAAATCAAACAAAAATCACTCACAACACGTCTTTGCTTCGAGTTTCATTCTCTCCCCAGCACTGAAAATGCTTTGGCACAGCCAGAAATCCAGTGTCACGCTAAAGTAATTCATTGAAAACAAACCGATGCAGCAGAGTCCAGCTCTTTCTGCTTCCTCTCAAACACCACGTCGTCCACCTTGTCTTTCTCAAACTCCTTCTGGCAGCGGTTTAGCAGCAGCTTGCGGAAGTTCACTGTGGTGTTGGGTTTGTCTGTCATCGGCACCTTGAGCTGCACAGGAACAGTAGACACGGTGGATATCGTCAAGAAACAGAAGTATTAACACAACTTAGGTGACAAACCTTTAAAAATGTTTAAAGGAAACTTCTCTTATTACCGTAAAGCCCTGTACGTATGCTAAATGTATGGTTAGGGTTACCAACTGATAGCTATCATGTTTCTTTAAAAAGAAAGAAAGAAAAAAAAAAAAACTGTTTCTTATTGCAGAAATGCATATTACATGAATAGTGACCCATTTAAAGGCATCATTAAGAAATGATGTATTTCATATTTTACAACCAACAAATTCAATCCAAATAGAAAAGACGGCCCTCTTTCCACCTCCCTCTAATATAGATTAAGGGTGTAACACATCTCACCATTTCATCACAAAATGATATTGTTCACACTATATCACCGCATTGTATTGAACTGTGTTGTATCGCACAGCATTATGTTGCACCAACGCGGTGATGAATCTGAACCCATCGATCCGCTTGTGGCTGAAACATTTAGTCAGAGCCGTTGACTGCACATTGAGAGGCAAATTGGATTACTTTCATTAAAGGAGCGCACATGTCGAGGAAACTGCACCGTCTGGGGATTTCAGAAAAGTTTACTTATTGTCGTGCTAGAACTCCTGAGCTGTGAATGAACCACAGATGAGGTGAGATTATTCATTCACTTCCTGCCCGCTTCTCTGACCTAAAGTCGACACGGCGGCCTGCTTACCGTGGCGAGGCAGCGGCACATGTTTCCATAGGCCACGGAAAAGCTGGGCTCATCGATGGCCTTCTCAAAGACCAGGTCGATGACCCCTTTGAGCCTCTCTTCTGTGTCGATGGTCAGGTCCGTCACCTGCTTCATCAGCTGGTTGAACTTCTGAGGCGTCAGCTTGTTCAGGATGCTGCGGACCTTCTTGAAGAGCTCCTGAGGGCAATCAGTCAATCAAGCATTGTATTTAAAGATTATCTTACAAACTAACTAATGGCTTGCAATTATTATTGTTTTTTGACAAAGATACCATTTTAAGAAATGCGTATGTTCCATGATAACCGTCTATTTATTACGTAAAGTTGTTTCACACCGAAGTAGAGCAAATCTTCGACTGAGAAATAACAACACAACTCTCATTTTGGTTAGTTAGATCAGACGATTGATTCTGCATTTTTCTAAAATGTAAAGCTCTTCACTCCAGCGGATTTAAATTAATAGAAACAAGTCTGGTAAACTCCTCTCTTGTGTCATCTTTTCTGTGTTTGTGGACAGGCGTGTGTGTATATTTGGATCTACCTGTGTGTCTTGCACCGCGGGATCGTCTGCAAGGACCTCCGCCCTCTTCAGGCCCGGTTTCCAGGCATTCTCAGATTTTTTCAGCTGAATCTCATCAACCGACACGTTCATGATGATCTTCCTGGGTGGAGGCCGCCGAGCCCCAATGTTCATAAGCTGTGAACGCAGTGAAAAGAATACAACGCGTCAATATTCCTCGTAGCTACAAGTCAGTCACAACAACAACAACACATCGTCTATTATAATGAAAAACAACAAAATATAACATAAAAACTGAACATAAAACAAAGATACATGACTTGAAAAGGTAGCTGCCACTTCCTTGTAATTGTAAGAGCCATGTGCAGACAACAATTCTCGGCCAAATGAGCGCCTGTGTCCATATTGTGTCTTTTTCTGGCAGAAAAGTGCTTGCAGCGCGATTGGGGAGCGCACCAACCTGAGGATGCTTGCCCTCATTCTCTGTCTGGATGAGCTTTTCACTGCTAGATCTGACAGCCGTAATGTCAGAGCAAGGAGGGAGATCAGTCAGAGACAACGCGTCAAGCGATAAAAACACTCACCAGCAACATTCTGTGTACGCCTGGCCGATCTGCTGCCACAAATGGGCTTTTTAGTCTGTGTTAAGATTTGTTAAGTGTCTGCGTGACATATAAAGCTCAGGATGGATATACACAGCCAAGCTTCTCCTCTATTTTCTATGGTGACGTGTCACCAGTGCTTTTCTGAAAAGTTCAGAGACTTTCAACTCGCCGCGCTCGCTCAAAGCGGCCAGACAAAAAAAAGGCGGAACTCTCTAGGCGGCCGCATATGCTCTCCCTTCATTGGGATGAGTTGAAAAAAGACAGATGAAAAATGCTTTATGGACACAGGCCCAGACTCTCCACATTACTTTGTGAAATAAATATGAAAATAAAGAATGTAACAATCTGCTGGACCTGAACTGCCTCTGCATTGTCCAGAAGAACAGATGCACTCTCATGTGTTGCTGCGTACGTTTATTCCAAATCAGACAATTCTTGACTCTGACGATGGTACAAATGTGTTTGGAGTGGTATATCGGAGGTTTGCTGTGTTGAATCAGCCACTGAATACTTATGGACTTTGGCTGAAACCAACTGGAACCAAGTACCTCAAATCATATCCCATTATCCTCAGACAATTACGCAAAAGTTTGAAAGATGTGGCGTATCCATTTAATGTTTTCCCCACTGAATTTCTCAATTTGACCTCATGATTACGAGACAACTAGACACATTTTAAGAAAGTTGGAATTGGAGGAGTGTGTGTGACTTTATGAAAGAGTGGCGGCGCGCGTGTGCGTGTGACTTTATGAAAGAGTGGCGGCGCGCAAGTGCTCATGTGACTCACCGCAGCGCCTCGTCCTCCGGTTATCTGTCTGCCAAAATCTGCAAAAGCAGGTGTGAAATCCGGTCCCCTGGAAATCACCCTGGACTCCACCACTCGAGATGGCAACTTGTTTTGGTTAATCTGCACAACACACACACGCACACGCGCACACACACGCGCACGCACACACACACACACACACACACACACACACACACACACACACACAAAAAGTTGAACAGCAGGGGGAGCAGTGATCCCCATAACAATAGTGGCAATAGGGTAAAAGGAGTCTGGTGAGCGTGCATATGTGCATTTCTAACCCAGTGGTCCCTTAAAGGTGACCCGCTGTAAATGACAGTCATAATACATTAAAGGGCTTTTAGTTTATGTATTTTCACTGTACTGGTGATAAATTCTGCTCGGCGGGATTAGCGGGGCCATTAAGAGAGAGAAGTCAGGACCAGATGTGGAGGGGAAGGAAGGAAGAAAGCGAGAGAGCAGGGGGGAGATAGTTGTGGGGGAGGAGAGAAGAACAAATCCAGCTCTTTGTCTTTCAGCTGTCCTTGACTTCCTCGTTCCCACTGAGATTTCACTTTCTCCCTCAGAGAAAATGAGACTTTGGGTTTCTGCATCGCAGGTCTGGTGGTTCTTTTTTGGAGAGGTGGGGGAGGGGCATAGGCTCTCAACGCTGCCAAGTGTGACATAATAGCAATGTGATTTTAATCAAAACAGCATTTCGCCGGGCCATACGCTCCACCCATACACTTGTGTGGATCAGAGGAATGAACCAAACTGTGTGCTGTATCTTTGATCCAGTGCACTCAATCTAACGGACTCAAGTCGGAAACAATGCCTGTTGCTCTGAGCTAATGATGAAGAACCCCATTTCATCAATCTATCATTTAATAGCTTAATTGCTTACGTTTTTAAAACCTCAGAAAAGTCAGAATCATTTCCAAGAGCCTGAGGTGAGATTTTTAGCTGTATTCAAACTGGCCTGCTCACCTTGTCCAGCACCACATCACTGATGGGCGGGAGACCCTCGGGCTTCTGTACGCAGGCGGGCATGAACTGGAAGCCCAACAGGAAGTCCCTGTTGTACTGACGCTTCCCACTGGACTCGGCCAGGTCTGGACCACCAAGCAGGGTTTGAGAGACAAAGTGCAAATATATTTAAAGACTGAACTGAAAATAATTGAAGCAAAAGCTACACTGAAAAAAGACAAGTTATGCTGAAAATATGAACGTCAACACACACAGAAATCTATTTACAAAACTGCTGTATTTTTACATTTAAGTTTATAGTAGCTATGTCAAAAGAACGGGGCCCTTCTAACCTTCCATGTCCTGCGGGGCCCCTGTGGAGTTCTCCTTCTCTCCGGAGGTGACTCCGCTGTCGCTGCTCTCCGTCTCTGAGGTGTGACCTGCCCCGTTCCTCATGGGCTCCATCTCCGCCTCGCCGTTCTCCTCTGGGATGGCGGCGGGCTTTCCGTCAACCTCGGGGCTGCTGGCAGGAGCTGGAGCAGCGGTGGAGGTGAGGACGGATGGCAGCGGCACCGGGCTGCTGCTCACAGGAGCCAACTGCAGGTCCTGGTCTCCAGCAGGCTGCTCTACTGGCCTGGGCTCGTCCTGTGCGGAGGCAAGATTCAGTTTTCAGATGATCAAGCAATACATTCCTCAGTGCCTGCTATATTAACCGAGAAAGCTAATTTCTCCTGCTCGCACGGCTGTGTCAGCAGTGCCTACATATACCAGGATGCATTGGGAGCGAGCTACTGGACGCCTGGATGGTTCCCTCCGGCCGTATCCTCTGGCACGGCTAATGGAGCTGCATTCTCTGCCTCTCTCCGCTGCATTTCTTCAGCTGCTGAATATCTTAGTCAGCCAAAACACTGTAAAACATCTCCCCGTCCAGAACACCCTCTACTCTCATATTCTGGGACGTCAAAACAACTAAAAATTAGATGCAAGAAGAACAGCAGATTTTGCAGCTGCAAACTAAGGTTTCTTGGTCAATCTAGCGTGCACTGAGGAGTTTGTTGATTCAATCCACACAACAGGTGGTCAATTTCCCCTTTAATGGCTGCTGCTGCATAGCTCTCCTTATATTTAAAGACTAGTAGTATTGACATTTCTCCACTTAACACCATCTTTAATTATCAGTTACATGGCAGTAAGGAGGTCATCTGCTAACAGGGTGAAATGGACAGACACATAAAGAAAGGGTTTAACTGCAGGAGGAGAAAATGAGAGAAACAGAGTGAAGGGAAGAGGACTCAGGAATGGGTCAGGTACAAACAAAAGACAGAGCAGGAGGAAACATAGCAGCACAATAGGCTTGTTGCAGTAGGGCTACGCCTATGCTGCTATCATTTACACTATCCCTAGTGTCCTTCTTATATTATCTGTACACGAACACCATTTAAAAGTAAAAAAAAAGAAAGATGGATTATTCTTTAATTTGTTTATGTTGTATAATTCATGTTCTGTGTTACGTGCTCTGTGTGCTATCCTGGCAAGGACGTGCCTGCAAGTGATTTTTCTCAACGAGACAATACATTTTCTTTGTCTTCAAAAATAAACAGCGGCTTTAAGTGGGGGCACTGCATTTAGTCTCCATAGAGAAACAACTGAGTCAATGAGGTCATATTTTGAGTCCAGTGTCAAGCCAGCTTCAATGTACAGCCAAGTAGTATTCAATATAAAATGAAATATTGTGAGACAGAGTCTAAATCCAGAAGATGAGTTGAACTGAACTTGTTCTATGCTCGTAAGATATTTTAGTGTTTATTTTCTGCGTGAAATAACATTTGTTCTTTGCGCATCGTGCTTGTTCAATGAAACCTAAAACCTAAAAGTCTGCGACACCGGTTTGGTGGCGCAGTGAAAACAAGCCCAGGACAAAACAATAAAAGAGAGGAAACGAGAGCGGGGAAAGAGCTGATTTTACATACAGTGGGCTGGCGGAGCAATGAAGATGATGGATAACTACTCACTGTCACTCTTGAACGATAACAACATCCCAAAGTAATTTAAGTCTGCTACCCCCGCCACACATCTGGAAACAGTTTCCACTTTAACTATTGCCCATAATGCACCTTTCCTCTTCTCTCTCTCACACACACACACACACACACACACACTGTCCCAAACCTGAGATACTTTGTAGGCATTTAAAAAAACATTCAAGAAGGTGACGAAATATTACAAATGTATTGGGAAGTAGGTACTTGTCACAGAATATTTGATAATATTCAAACCTGAAAGTATCCATACTTGAAGATAATTTAAACTCAACATCTGTATAGGACTTTCAATACTCACTACAGCAGGTTCACCTACATGGTGAGCCGCTTTGGGCCTCTTTTCTTACCTCATCTTCCTTTTGAGGTGCGTCTCCAGCAGCGATCTCTTCCTTTGGTTTCCTCCAGCTCTTTGGTATAGCAGAAGCAGTCTGATTAACTGCATGGAAACACAAACGCAGGAACATGCAATCAGCCACAGCCAGTCATCAAACAACTCAACCACAATGGATGTAAAAAGGGAATGTGTGTTTAAAACACAATGATGTGCAAGAGAAACATCTGTTTCAACCTAAGATGGATAGCAGATGGGTATAATTGTCAATATGATGAAAGCCAGAAAATGACAGTGACTTTAACTATGGCGTCTACTTATTACTAACGTGATAAACCTCACCCATCTCTGACCAAACTAAAACAACCAATTACTGAGCACAACAAGGGGGAATTATGGAAAAAAACGTTTTTCTTGGCAAATAAATGTGAAAATAATCTCACAGGGAAACAAATGTATTTAAAACTTGTCTCATAATTTCCAGGTTTTTCTGAAGGTGTGGGAACTAAGCCCAGCTCTGACCTTGCTGATAGGTTATTATATTTCTTCTAGAGGAGTTAAGTGTGACAGCAGACTGTTTATCTGCAATGTGTGCTACATGGGCGTTCATAAAACACTCTAGTTATTGAGTGTACCCATAAAAACAGCCTCTCTTTGTAGGCTGGACTGTCACAATGATAGGCTACAATAGATGTTTACAGTAGTTGAATCGCATCTGATAAAGTACCTGTAGTGGGACTCTTCCTGGTGAGTGCTTGGTGCTGGGACTCTGTTTTGCTGTCTGTAATGCCTCCATGTGCCCCTGTCCCCGCCTTGGGGACGATGTCTTTAGTGTCTAAGGACTTGCTCGGCTCGCCGGCCTCTGTCGTGGCCTGCACTAGAGGCGGAAGGCCGAGGGGGAGCGTGACTGGCAAAGCTGGGGCGGGACTTGAGGTCAGGGTGACTGGCACCACGGCCACAGGTGCCATAGGGGCGAGCGCAGCAGCAACGGGTAACTCGGGCCTCACGTCAGAGGGCAGAGTTTCAGAGGAGGCCGCCTCTCTGTAAGCAGGAGCAGAGGCTGGGGGCTGGAGTGCAGCTGAAGACGGAAGAGAAGGCTCGTGAGCCAGGGCGTCCAGCTCGGTCCCGGAGTCCTCGAGGCCGTTCAAAGCCTTGGGAGCCGGCGCTGGCGAGGCGGCCGGAGTTCGCGGAGCGTCTGAGAGAGGCTCGTCTGTGTTGGGAGTCTGACTTGTCGCCAAAGAGGGCTTGTGCTCCCCGACTGCGGAGGAGGAAGAAGAGGCTGAAGCAGTGGACTCCCTGGCTGAGGGACGCTCACTGTTGTTGGCCGCTGACAGAGGGAGAGCGACGGCGGCGGTCACTGAAGCAGGTAAGGGAAGCTCTGGTTCAACAGCAGAAGAGAGCTCAGTGACAGTAGCTTTGGCCTCAAGTCTCTCGACAGGGGCTTCAGGCTGCACAAGCCCGGGCGAGGAAGACTTCTGGACAACTGGCTCCAGTTTTGGCGTATCATCTGGAAGAGGAAGAGTTCAGATAAACACACAATCTAAAGCTCGAAGGGAATATTTGAATCATGCATCTCTTTCTTTAAATAGATAACGTGTGTGTAAAAATGCTTGGATGGATATTAAGTTCATGATTGTGACAGCTCCAGGCTCAGTAAACCAGGCGCCATTTTCCAGCATTTGCATAGAGGGTATCAGGTTAAACTTTTAGCCTTTAGCTCACTAATAAGCGTCTATGCAAATGTAGAACTGGTTCCATAAGGGATGCTGAGAAATGCTGGTGAAAATGTTTCATATAATTACTGGAAAACAAGACGCTCTGACTCGCCTTGTGTGGGAAATGAAAGTGAAAGCAGTCGATGTGCAGCATGTTCTGGGAAAATGAAAAAGCGAGACATAAGATGTGCCTGTGAATCGTTTCAGCAAAAGAGTGCAGGCATGACATTGCCCGACAGGAGGTGACGACACAGCAGTGAAACAGACCTGATACTTTCACAATTTTAACATAAAACTCAGGTTAAAACAGCATTGGTGAAGACTACTGGACTTGTTAGGCATTTTGGGTGTATTTCAAAGAAAGAGGGGGGGGGGGGGGGGGGGATGTTGGTGCAGACCTGGCCCTGGTTTGGTATCTGAAGCCCCAGTGGTCGATGGCTGCTGTGGCTGTTGGGGCTGTGGTGGCTCCAACGTGTAACCTCCAGGATGGGCCTGCTGTGGCTGAGGAGGCTGCTGCTGCTCTGGTGTCTGGCTGCTGCTCGGCTGCTGCTGCGTTTTGAGGTAGAAAATGTGAGGATAATGAGGGTGCGCCCATAAAAACTAGCAACACAGAAAACCAGAGACAGGCACAGAGATGTAGGCACGCACACAAACCAATAAACAAACAAGCCCGAATGTAGGATTAAGCAGAAATAAGGAGTCCGATGGGGGGGGTGTTAGATTAGGAGGACAGCAATGGCAGACAAGACAGAAGATGAAGATTGATATGGGAGGAATAGCGGGAGGAGGAGAAATGGCTCAGAACAATACAGAGAGGAGGACAGAGGAAAAGAGGGAAAGAAATCAAAAGGGGGCACAAAAAGACAGAGAGAGAGGAAAGACTGTTAACATCCACAGAAGGACACTTTGTCTTTCTTCAGAATCCAGGAAAGCTGTTTTTTTGGGCTTGGTACGTTTCATGTAATAAAATGTGCCGATGGCATTCTTACAACGGTTTCTAATTAAGGGGCTTCAATGCAATTTTTTTTTAATGAACAGACCGGATAGATAACAACAACAACTGAGTGGATTCTGTAGGAGGAGCAGGAGAATACAGACATGAGAGCACATGATCTAAGGAAAAGAAATCAGGTGAAAGATCAAAACATCTGTTAATAAGATCAAAACATCTGTTAATATGATTACAGTGAATTCATCAAGAGTGTTTTTAATAAGTCATAATACCCACATGCATGTCTAAATATACATTGTATGTGATATTAATGTGATAACTCGTTTTTATTATTATTCTTCAGGCTTTTTTGACCTAAATGGTCCCAGGAACATACGACGCTCAGCCACATTTATAAAACAATTTACAAAAGTGCCGAGGCGTGTTCTGGACAGAAAACTGTCATGAATTCCTTATGAGAGGGCAAGACGGCCAGATAAATCACCAAAGACACAGAAGCCGTGTCCCGTCTCTCCTCTCCACAGCCGAAGCTCCGGTCTAAATCGGTGCTGTACCACCACGACTGTAACTAACCACGGTGAGTGCGTCGGGGAGGCATACCTGCGGGGGTGTAGGGGTAGAGGAGGGCCGGCCGACAGGAGGCGTTGAATTCCTGCTCCCTGAACCCCCTGCCATGATCTCCTCTGTGATGTCCCTGCCACCCTGATTGGGGTCACGGATACGGATCTGGGAGGACAATGGCACAAAAAAAAAGAAACAGACCTCACTAAAGCGCCCGAGTCTCGGCGCATCCCTGCCTCAGCCACGTCTTACGCATGCTTATCATCGGCAGCGTTACATACCAACAAGAGGTTGGAGTATTACATTAATGCGTTACATTTTGTGACCAATTCACATGCTTAAAGTAGACTTTTTCAAAAACATACTTTGTAAAAATGAATTCCTCATATTACGCAAAATCTTGCCTATTTTATACAAGAGAAGATGTATTCTGTAACTCTAAACACAAAGAGCAACTGGAGTAACTGATTATACTGTATGAAAAGATTGAAAGCTCCAGAGCAGCTACTAAATGAACTTTGAGGGGAGATTGTTTCGTCAACTGCTGTTTACGAGATCAAAACTGAAATGTGAAGCTCGACTTTTGAGCCAATATGGATGAGAAGTCCTAAAAAGGTTGTGAAACAAATGGAAATTTGAACGTCTACATTTCTGTGACAACTGATAGAAATCACTATGTGATGTAAAGCTCCAGAACAACTGCTAAATGGGCCTTGAAGGGATAGTTTGGATGTTTCAAAGTAGGTTTGTATGAGGTACATATCCATAGTCAGTGTTCTGCAGAAGATGGCAGTCACAACGACACTAGTTTGGAGAATCAGACAGGAGAACCGACACTGGAGAACAGTAATGTACTGCTGTTGACGGGGGCAGCAGCTAACTAAAAGAATGACGGAAGCTGTTATCTATGCGCTCTCTCTTCAAGGCCACAGATACCTTTGACAAAAACAGTAATTTTACCTCGCAGAATACAGGAGTTTCTGGTCTACTGCTGCATCGATTGGTAAGTGGTGACTTTGTGTGACTTTTTTTAATCTGAACTAACACTTTAAAAATACCAAACTAACCAACCGATCGCAGCGGAGGCGGACCGACAACTTTCGTGATCTGCGAGGTGAACCAATGAGCCAATGAGTCTCGTGGCTCTGTTCTCCGCGAAATATTCTGAATGTAGCACACACTTATACTGATATCGATTATTTTAGATGTCTTTCTTTGAGGTGGCAAAAATAAGTTTCGTTGATGCCCCGTTCCCAGCAGTACATTACTTTGCTACCGTGCCAATTAATACTCCTGTCTCCTCCTCCAAACTGGGGGCATCCCGACCACCTACTGTTGTCAGTGATACACGGACTGTGGATAAGTATCTCATACAACTCCACTTTAAAACATCCAAAACATCCCTTTTTTTCCTAGTATTCTGCAAGCTTCCACAAGAGCAAGATATTTTTAAACTTGACAAAAAGCAAGATAACTGGAGGCTCAGAGTGTCAAATCTATTGGTAAAAAGAAAAAATAGAAACAGAACTACTAAGGCACTCACTGTTTTCTTCTCGCGCTTGGCTGGTGGAGGTTGCTGTGGTGTAGGCACTATGATGGGGGGTGAGGGGGGATACACACTCTGTCCTGGGTAGTAGGGCGGACCAGCTGTGGGGACGGGAGCAGGAACAGAGGGTGAGACAGGCGGGTGGTACCTGAGGGGATCTGGATGAAAAAGGGCGTAAAAAGGAAAAACAAAAGAGTGGAAAACAGGAATTAGTTCAACACCGTTGCACCCGAGGCTGATTGGTTGTGTCTAATTGTGGTGAAATTGGATTTTAAAAGTGACATTGTACTCGATGTGCGTTTTTGTTGTGTTAATGACTCACGATATGGGGCAGGGTACTCCCCTGGACCTGGACCAGGATAGAAGGTGCCAGTCCCTGGAGGCTGCACAGAGTACTGTTGAGGAGGTCCCACGTAGGGCGTACTGTGGCGATACTGCAAGGAAAGACAGAGAGAGACCGCTCAACACATCATCAGATACTGTGCAAACGTCATGCAAAAACTGCATACTTTTGCAATCACTGGTGATACTTTTTTTCTTTTACGTTTAGATTTAATTTTAAGGGATTTGAATCATCGTCCTGTGAGATTTTGGATACGCCCTTTTTTCAAATTCTGCCATGACCAGTGTTATGAACTGTATTTCTAGTAGTAAGTCAAATCTAAATCAGTGCCAGCTGAGACCAGAGTGTTATCTCTGTAGTCAACAGCACAAAAACAAAATAATTGCAGGTGATCTACAGCAGCAACAATATTTTTGCATAATTCCTGCCTGAGACAAAGGGAGATGCTAATGTTCAGAATCTGTGTTTGTTATGATGAATGCTTTTACATATCTAATGTACAGTCATAACTATACCTGGCATTGAGGTATGGACAGGTGTGGAGCCATGCGTAATAGAGCCTCTGGTATGTTAAAGGAATTTTGGGAAAAACCCTTTTTGTTTTTTTGGTTTCTTGCCAAGAGTGAGATGAGAAGCTTGATACTACTCTCACACCAGTCTGGTAAATGTAAGGCAGCCAGTACAGCCAGCAGCTGGTTAGCTTAGCACAAACACTGGAGACAGGGGGAAACGGCTAGCCTTGCTCCGTCCAGAAGGAAACAGAATCTGCCTCCAGGCGCTTCTGCAGCTCACTGAACACATCATATCCAAGTTGTTAAATTTGTACAATCCAATTTTTACAATGCAATAACTTTCTGGAAAGACAGATAAGAAAGGAAGATACCAGGCAATTGACTGCAGCTTCATATTTAACAAACAGACATGAGAGTGACTTGCATCAATCTTCTTATCGAACTTCTGGCAAAAAAAAAAAAAAAATGAATAAATGCATTTCTCAAAATGCTGCACTACTCCTTTAAATCAGCTCACTCTCACCAGTACCAGCTGCAGCCAAAGAACATTGTCTCAGTATTCGATTAACTACGAGAAAAATTATCAAAACTGCAGAAGCAAATGTGACATCAAGATAAAGTATAATCCTAATGTTCATTATAACACGTCAAAATAAGAGACATGCTTCATGCTAATTTCTGGGAGCCAGTTGAGTGCGTCACCTGTGGGATGTAGTACTGTGCAGCCTGTGGGGAAGGGAAAGGCATGGGCGCCATGGCCATCATGATGGGTTGGTTAGTGGGGTACACGGCCGCCGTGGGAGCCTGTGATCCCGGCCGTATGGAGGCTGTGTTCGTGGGGATGGTAGGCCGCGCAGTCTGCATCTGAGTCCTCTGGAAAAACTGAGGGCAACACGTGAGAGAAACGCAGAGAACACGACAAAATACATTAAAGTAGCATCCCAGAGGCCACATGCTGCCACGCTTTATCTAAAATACAAGCAGAGAGAACAGCCTTTCAGATGTCTTCGCCATTTGGCCTGCACATTTCTCACAGTGAGACAGTCCGAGTACTTATCAGCAGCTTTAGAAAAAAGAAAAGAAAAGAGGCCAAGCAGCAGGACTTACTCTGAACTCTCACTCAGACCGAGGGAAGACATGCATTACCATTTAATGCCTCTATAATCAACCCACACATCAATTACTATATTATTACTTTAACTGGAAAGCATTCTATGAATCAGATGAATGACATCTGCAAAGCAGGTAGCCCCACTCTCCATTTAGACACTTGGGTCTTAATATTTCCTCCGACAATCATCTTATCAATTAAACAGAAGCTTTAAAAGCATGATTCATTCATATTGAGATAGATTTAGTAAAAAGTAGTCTGTAGTCATAGTGCTACAGAGTGAACGGTCTCAAGTCTTCCAGACATTTGTGTTTGTTTTGTTAATAATCTCTAATTCAAGTTTTTATCCCTTTACTTGTTCTCTGTGTTTCCGTTAATGAGGATTTGATCACTATATCTATGTTATTTTAAATGATAAATATAACGCTGGTATGGTTGAGACTTTCTAGAGACATTTCTTTTCCCTGAATGAAACCGGATGCCGTTTGTTACAGACGGACATGGAAGGAGATCAACTCAAATACAGCGTTCTACACAGAGGTATCCCACAGCCACACACACACTGGCGGTTGAAGGGTTTTCCCTGGGGGACATTGGGTTTTTTAATGTCTTTTTTTCCTATGGTTGGATCAGCAACAAAGGACTTCACCCGACCTTATTGGCAGATACCGGCCTGAATACGGTTTCCTGCAGAAAACTTAAAGGGGAATAGCGTGTGTACATTTAATTAATTCTTGTTTTTTTTCTCTCTCTTTGTTTTATTCTGGCCAGTCTCTTTCTAAACGGTAAACATGCTGCACCAGACTAACAGCTGTAGCAAATAAAATAAAGAAGCTGAATGGCTTCAAATACCTCTCTTTGTGCCCGAGCAGCTTGGCCAACTTTGCAGTTGTACCGACTGTGAGGCACACGGCTCTCTTCACCGGGCAGCAATATGGCCTCTCTTTCTTGTGCGTCACACAGCACAGAAAACTTAAAAAATAAACTCATAAAGACTGAAGCTACAATGGCTTCTTACACAGCACATGTCCCAATCAGCTTAAAGTTGAATATTGGATGGGCTTTGTGCTTGGACGGGCCTGAAGAGAGACCACTACCAACAGCTGGGACCGAGCTCAAGCTGGGAATACCCAACCACGGTTACATTGTGAAGGAGAGCAGAATAAACAATGGTGTAAAACCGTCTAAAAATACCCAGGAGGGAAATCACCTTTAACAGAATAAATCATTGTAAATAGCCCTGTGGAAATCTGGGAAACGACCAGGAAACTGTTCATTCCCAGCTACCCAAATAAAAAAAATGATACGAACACATTTCCAACAGGTAAGAGACACTTACGAATCGCATGGATATAAAAAGGAAATACACTTATCTTAGGGAACAATAAAAGAGACTCTTTCATTCCGCATGCAGTTTGGAAATTGTGCAAGCTAATTAAAGATGAATAATGAATGGAGCAAAAACGGCGACATTATGAAGTGGAAAGTGAAGTAATGATCCTCTACGGGATGAAAGAGGAAAGGAATAAATGATGATAAAAGACCTCTCTACTCGGCATTCAGTGCGGTGGAGATGAGGGGGTGCACAGGGTTAAAAGTGGAGGAGGGGGGGTGGGATCATTTAGGGATGATCCTCATCATGCCATGCAGGTCTGCAGAGAGACTTGTGAAACAGAGGTTAATGTTACCTGGATGGGCCTGAATCCTCCCTTGAGTAGTGAAAGCAGGAAAGAGAGAAAAAGCCAATGGGAGACTGTACTGGTGACACTCAATACAAAAACAAAGCCGGCAATCATTCACCCACACACATTAAGGCACAAAACCACCCAATTATTCCCATCCACCTGACACTGTAACTGATCCTGAGACACTTTCATCGGCAAAAATAACTTGTGCGCTAGAAAGCACCTTCAGAAAGATATGGTTTATCCTTGAGAGGGTGGAAAAACAGCTCACAGTGAAAATGTCACATCAGCCTTTGACTTGTGCATCACCAGGCCATAACATGAACAGTTGCACACATACATATATATACCCGCAGGCACATCCTCTCTCACTTTACTTCCACGGGTTGATTCCTTTCTCAAAATCTGTGTGCCAGCCTACCACAGTCTGCTTTTGCCAATTTGGCATTTTCGGAGGAGAGGAGACGGCTAGCGGCCCGAGATGGCACCCACCCATCACTCAAAGTGGCCACACCTTTAATTATGTATACATTTAAGCCTCGATATAATTTAAATGGGTGAGTTACATAAAAATTCACCCCCCGTGTAGTTGTAATGAAGGAGAACCTATAGAGACTAAAACCCTATTTTGTGAAAGGCTGTAAACACGTTTGTTCCTGCTCTAAAGTTGGGCGTTTTAACATGCGGGTCTATGGAGCCTCAAGTGGCCATTTAAGGAACTGCAGTCTTTGGCCGCTCGCTTGAGTCCAACCTAAAGGAAACACTCGAGGCTAAAACTAAGAGAGTCATCTACACTCTGAACAGCTCTCTGGATTGTACAACAACAGTCGTTTGTTTTAGTGTAATTTCCACTTGTTCTGACCTTCTGGTTCACACAATAACACAAACAAAAGCATTGAAATCTCCCAAAAGTCAGTTACGTGGAGGGAAAAAAAATGAAATAATGATGGTGCTTGTGATGGGCCAAATGAATTCATGTTCTGATCCCTATGTACCCTTTACTGTGCATCGAGTGTGTTTCGGGGGGACAATGGCTGTGTTCACCATTGATATAAAAGGCCACTGTTCGGCTTCATCTGCTTCCCGACTCAACTTCCGTGGTGGCACAAGAGATCCCAGCGCCACTTTGTGACAGCCAGAGAATGCACTTTGTATGTGTGTTTGTACACACCAACGTGGGGCGAACACATCCGACACACTTTGACACCACACTATTAATAGTCTGTTAAAAATGTGTCCACACAGAAGCGTCCAGAAGGTGAGGATGTGGAATGCCGAGAATCAACAGAAAAAACGATAACAGCGATTCACATCGGTTGAATGTCGGCACTCAGACATGTCTGAGAATGTTAGCGTCCACAAGGTAACTCACCAACAGCACCACAAACACTGCGCTGTCTGCCAGACAGGAACACATTAACATGCTCTTCATAATCTAATGACATTGGCCCACAGAGTGTCAGCTGCCTAACAGGACACAGAGTGTAATTTACACCAGTGTCTCCCCCCCACACACACACACACACACACACACACACACCGACTACTGTCTGTAGTAGACACATGAAACAATCAGCATCTTTAAGCAATACTTTACCCCCAAAATGACCATTTGTGTTTTAATTACTTACCCCGCGTTACCTTTTTCTCGCATGCCTGAACGAAGAATATAAAAACTGAGAAAATTCTTGATGAAGTAAAACCTAAACCAAAGTTAAATTAAAGAATTCAAGGTAACACAGGGCGAGTAATTGATATACAAATGGTGATTTTTGGGGTGAAGTATTTCTTTAAGACTAATTCGTGCAGCTGTTTGTGTCCATCTTGAATTAGACGACACAATTCTCACCCAAACAATAATAAAAACAGCCAATCTAATTACAGTACCTCGGTGTAATTACGGGGCACAAATGAGAGCATGGTCTCATGAGGGTCTTGTCACTGAAACAAGTCTGAGATTTAGCACAGCAATAACAGCGTCTCTATTTCTGTTGTCAGGAATGAAGCAATCTGCAATGGAGCCAAATAGCCTTGAACACTGATTGCAATGATGTCTCTACTACCTCGGTCAACTTTAACAGTGCCCTACAAATACAAGAATGTTAACTTTCCACTGTCAAAACACTTTTGACTGAATGACTCAGGAAAGCGACAACTGACATTCACCCCCAATATCCTGGGGTGAAAATATATGAACTGTGAGGAGAATCGCAGTCATTAACATCCTGAGCTAGAAACCAAGGACACCCACAAGCTTCATGAACCCTAACCCCGATGAAGACTATTAAACACAAATTAAATTCTAGGAATAAACTCAGATCAATCCAACCGTAAAAATAAACATGAATAGTGCAGGAAGCGGCTCTGTGCACCTGGCTGGATATCTTGATTACAGCACAATCCCATGATAATTAAAACCTCTTGTACTCTATCCAAAGACACATGAAGGCTTTCATATCGGAGAGCTTTCTTTTTTTTTTTTTTTTTTTTTTTTTTAAAGGAACAGCAGACGTCCCACAAACAGCCCTTTGCCAGCAGGTACCAGCAAAAAAACGGCTTTGATGAGGATGATGCAAGAGAGGGAGCAGGAGGGGCCTTCAGCAGGGGTAAATACCTGATGGTGGGTTGGTCGAGGGCCCGTAGCAAACTGGTGGGGGAGGGAGGAGAGGTCCAGCAAGGAGATTGAAGCATTGATGGCAAAGCGGAAGGGGGGGGGGGGGGGGGAGAGAAAGAGCATAAGAGAGACACAGAGATAAGATGAGGGATGAGGGCAGATGCTTGAAAATATAGTACAAAACCACAGAGCAACAAAGCTTTGAGGACACATGGCACATGGTGCAGCTGTCAGACCCGAGCTAATTTCGCTTTATGTACCACTCACTTCTAAATTGTCAAACACAGAAAGGATTGTAATGCTGTGAAGCATACTGTGGTGGGACCAAATTAATTTCAAGTTTCTTATTTGGCAAACCTGCAACTGGAACCACACAGAAAACAAGACGCATGAATGTGTGTGTGTGTGTGTAGACACTGACCGAGGTCTGACAGCCTTGCTCTGCTGAGGGGGGGCTGGGCAGGAGCCAGGCAGGATTAATAAGTAATGCTTACTGGGAAGAGTGTGTGTGTACAGAGAATGCTGGCAAATTACATGTAATATTTGGACATTTCTTACTAGGCTTGTTGTGGAGGGAGTTTTTCACAAAAGAAAAGGTGTTGGCGATCTTTACGCAGCTTTCCTTAGGCTACACTAACACAACACTGTAAGATACAGCAGCTTGAATTGACAATTAAAACAAAAAAAGACAATTTAAACGGACGTAAGAGAACACTGACACGGGGAGCGACCTTCTAACTTTAATGCTTCTACTACTCCTAGACTCATGAGGGCGCTTTAAAAAGGAGACAAGGAAGGAGACCTCATTGAAAAAAAATAAGCTAAACTGCTTCACTGCCGTGAGCAGATCGAGATCGGTCAACATTTCTGGAGCCACTTGTGACTTCATAACACCAGGACCCTGCATCACCGACAGGCACAGTGAACCACAAACTGTTTGGCCACTCGGAGGCGGGCGTGCAGTAAATCCACGAGCAGAGGGACACTCACCGGGCGACTTTGTGGCTGTGCATTCATTGGCTGTGTCTGGGGAGAATACACGAGAGGGGCGGAAACAGCATTTTGTCCAGGGTTGTATGGAGACTGTCGAAAGACAAAAAAAGGAAAGACGGAGAGAGAGAGGGAAAGGGTTCATTATATACAGAACAGGGACTGTGCAGAAATCAGCTGCTGGTCATTTCATTGAGACGTTTCACTGACCAGCTGTAACCCCAACAATACAGCAGCAACACCAACGTACGGCGGTGATGGTTTACGTTTGCGTCTATAGAACGCTGGTGAGAGACCAGAGCTTTAGGGTGAGGCAGCGGGCCAGTAACGGTAAAGTGGAACGACTAGATTCCTCGCAAGCATGCTCGCATACTTTCAAAGAAGCGGAGTCACGCATTCAACACGCTTGTAGGCGGAGAGCAGCAAGGCGATCGGAGACGACAGTATCCCAGCAGCAGTGTCACTGTCTGACAGTGAATTAGTGATCAACCGATTGGATTGGCCTTTTCTATCTCCAACCCATGTGTATGAATCTCACAACAGATATGGACGGAGAAGGAAGTCCCTATAAAAATGAACCCTTACCTGACCCCCACCATCTCTAATCCTAATCAATTAAATAAACCCAAGCCAATCACGGGTTTGCGTTCACACCCACTTTCCCTGTTATTGTATTCCCAATCCCAATTAATCATTTGCCACTTTGCATTTTTACAGAGCTTAAAAACATGTCTTGCAATGTTCTGAAATGTTACTCTGATGGTGTTAACCTGCAGGCTAATAGATCTGGCTCCAATATGTTAAAACAGACCTACCCATTCTGACTAATCACATAAAAATCGTAGCCTCGTGGTGAAATAGCCCGTCATGACTGATTCCTGTGGCGTTGTTTTACTAATGCGTAGGACATAATGGAGTGTTCCTCCCACAGTGACACAACCTTTTGCAGCTGTACAATGTAGCTGACAAACCACAGTGAGGGTTGGCTCGTACATCCAAACATTCCTCAATCCTTGTGGTGAGTACCACAACCCCACGGCAAGAAGGTTCTGCGTTTAAACCCATGTTCTCCCATTGTTCATACGGGTTCCCTCCATTCCTCCCGTAGTCTTAAGGCAAACAGGTCACAGAAACGTGTTTGTGTATATATGCATTCGGCCCAGGACATACTGTTTATTGCTATTTGGACACATGCATGCAGGGCGTGCCCTCTGCAGACCCTCAACAGGAGCATACAGTGTCTATTAGAATTTTACTTAGTTTTAACCATATGTTCATCTGAATTTCATCACAAACAATGCAATCATGCACACATGGAGTACTGCTGTGTAAAAGTAGTGTAGAAGAAATGAGACAAACAGGGAAATGATGAAAGTAAAAAGCAGATGTAAGAAAAGTAAATAATACAGGTTAGGGGTCGGCCCAATGGGCAGAATTATTGTCCTACATGACAACGGGTAAGTATTCAAATTCATTCTTATGTTCGTCAAAATGATCTATTTTTACCTAGAGCAAAAATCTAAACATTTAGAAAAAAAAAAAAATGTGTTCAAAATCTGGCAATGTGACAAATGTTGGTACAAAAAAAAGAACGTCATATTTCGTCATGATGAAATTCTACTGAGAAATGATGAATTCTAGTGTTTAATTGCCGCCCAGCCCAAACACAGGTCACCCAAAGCATGCAGACACAATGGACAGATGAAGCATGAAGATGCAGAGAGGTTGACGGCGGACACAGTGATGAACTCACCCCTCCGCCTGCCTCCCAGCCCTTAGGGTAGCGATATTGGGAAGCTGTGGGTAGTGATACCTGAGAGAGTGCTGGGGAGTGGGCATGACCGGGTGGGGTGCCCGCCAAGCTAGGGTGTCCCTTTGTGATGTCGTGAGCAGTGTACGGAGGGCCAGCATGCCTGGGTACCTGTAGCACATGAAACAAGAAGGTTAGACACAAAAAAGGGACATTATGTCAGACATTATGGGTGGGTGGGTGGGTCAACCCACCCACCCACCCACCCACACACACACACAATAAGTCCTCCCTCCTGCTGAGGAAATTAAGCTACAAGCTCAAGGATTAGCCCCGGTAAATGTGCGCAGAGGCGAAGACCTGTGCTGTGGATGGGTGTTGAAGCCTGCAGGGGTTGGCTAAGACTGGCTCTGGCCCCTTCTGCAAGCCGCTGTGCAGGAAATACTGGGCCTCATGTTGCAAAAACTGGGTCAAGTAATCACATTACAACCCCGCTCGCCTGTGATAACAGAGTGCATCTGATACAATAGATACGAGCGAGAGCATGCTAAACTATCCTTGTCAATATGGGAAAGCGAAAGGGGCTCAGGTTAGGCACAAGGCGTGCGAGCGGTATCGGGGGGGGGGGGGAAATTTGACTCAGCCTTTGGTGTCAGAATGGGCCTTGGCTGCTGCAGCTGTGGGCTGGCACAACTGCAGGTGCTGCTTGTTGCTGCAGCAAGCCCGACACTCCAGGGAATGAGACCGGATACTGCAGAAATAAGCAGGAGGCACGGACACTGAGACGGACTGGAAAAACGGGGAAACCCACCTTTTTATTTTTTTTATCTCGACACACCCTGGCCGTGAAAGCTTTCCCAGCTCCAATGCTAACATCCCATTGTGACATTATATTCAAATCCACAGGTACTACAGGCAACATTCTGTACAGCCTCTATAGCACCAACCCCGTCTGCTTCTCTCCATCTTCTGTGTATGGCCCACTTCCCTTAGATGACCTGGGATAAACCAACTAAGCTAGCCGCTGTTGCCAGGGGAGGAGCCTGCTCTGCTCCACGCGAGTGACTGATTCTGAGGACATACAAAGTGATGGAATGGGGGAGGGGAGGCAAGCGGCTGTACATGAGGGGAAGGGAGGAGAAGAGTGCACAAGCCCTCTGCATCCACTGCAGAGAACAAGCGTTTCACGCCATGGGCACGGTTTATCTCCACCAGTGTCCTCATGGTTGCAGCCTAATGCCTTAAGACGAACTTCCAGAGCTAGAAAAATCGCATAAAACCTGCGGTGTTTCCGGTACCTTTGTGTTACAGCGGATAAATAAGCGTGCAGCTGAATAGACCGTCTTCACGCTTCTGTACACATATATATACATACATACATACATACATACACATATATATATACACACACACACACACACACATATATATACACACACACACACACATATATATACATATACACAGCATTTTTTTTTTTTTTTTTAAATCACTGAAAAGCATCGTATATGTGGTGTCAAATAATCAAAGTGGCAAATCTACGGTATACCACAACGCTCGTAAGAGCCAGAGATTGTGAAAATAAAAAGCACCATGGGGCTAACAAACACACACAAGCCAATATGTTTCCACATATGACCACCACGAAGCCTCATTGTATCTGTTGTGTCAGCTCAGTGCATTTCGTGTGAAAAAATAAAAATCAATACAATATGATGTGAAGAGGGGAATCAATATTCCTATCTTCTAATTTCTGAACTGAACATTTAATAGTGGGATAGCCACTAACCAGTATCTTACAGAGTCCTCTAACAAATCACTGCCCTCCAGATAATTGCACATTTGGCTTATCAGAGAAGACAAGAATGGTGTGGCAGAGCACCGAGGGTCTGCGAGCAGCTCAGCGTGGATGGTTGTATGGCATGATGCCCTCAAAAGGAAGGGAGGATGCCATTTCGGGTTTGTGTTTCTCTTTAGGGTGATACAGTATGAGTGGCTGGTCACTGACTAGACAATAAATGTCTCCCAGAGTTCAGAAGGACAGCATATCAAACTAAATTTGGGATTTCTCTTTCCCTTTTTTTTTTTTCTGCGGCCAAATCTAATAGTCTTCCTGAAGCCCCTCACTAAATCGTGTGCATATTATCGTGAAAAAGATCTGATACAGGAAATGTTAATTAGCTCCTGAAGGAGACCGTGAATGGCAAAAATCCCCCGAGGTGACAAAGATAACAGCATTATGTCTTCACAAGCATGCCTTCTTATTTACGGAATAAAAATACAAAAACACACACAAAGGATCACAGTGCCTGTAAAAGCTTCTCAACCTCTTGCAGAGATTTGTTTGATTTAAAATAAATACATATATCTTTATATATAAAAATACCTATATAAAAATATAAAGGAGGGCTGAGTAGTTTTATAGGCACTGACATCTAGCATGGCACCAAACCGCTATGACATTTAAACTCAACACACATTCAGTTGCCAGTTCATCAGGTACACGTGAAGGGGTTTACACTTTAAACGAATGCAATGAATCCTACCTTCATAAAGGTTACAATGTTCTTAGGAGGAAACTGGTGCGCATCTCCTGCACTGAACTTCAGTTGGCTCTGCCTCAAAAAAACAGCAATGTCTGTGGCACTCTGTGGTGAGGTCAGAAACAGCAAAAGAATCACCTCATATGTTGATGGATTTTCGTGGGTGGCATGAAGCCTACAGCATGATTGTAAAGGTTGTGATGTTCTGTGAGAGGAAGTTTCCATTATTTTGTCCAGCGTATTTATAGCAGACTCAACATCAGAAACACATCAGATGCAATGCAGTTCAAACAGGTGGAAGAATTACCATGAAGTCAAATCAACACCTCTATTAAAACAGTTCTAACAAAGACTAAACATGGCAACCTTTATGAAGGTGTTGCACAAGACTGCAGTAGTTTGAGCCAGGTCAGGTGGACCTAATAATCTGGCAACTCTGTGTATGTATTATTTGTTTTCGTACAGTCGTGGATAAAGTGCTTGTAGATTACATCCAGTTGGTATTCTAGATCTGTGTGTGCAGTCTGTATCTGAAGTGTGTATTCTCTGCACATGCATTGCAGCATACAGGTGAATGTGTTTTGAGAGAGGGGACTCACGCTGTAGACTGCAGCCACTCCGGGTTGTGTGGGGAAGATTCGGTCGTCCAGTGTCGGCTGAACCCGGGGGATTCTGGAGAGAGCTGCGTTAAGGAGAAACTCTGAAGAGAGCCGGGGGATACCAAAATCCAGTTTCATGCTGGCTCATCGGGTAACATTCCCGTCATGTTGAATGTATTCATGTAAGAGACGGCGTTAAGCAGGGCTGGACGATAACGCAATAGGATGATTTATTGTCTTTCAGTGGAATCGTGATGAAGTCGTACGTCGAGACATGGCGATACACAATTAAATTGTTAATTTAATGAAAAAATAATTTATTTGTCATGTATTTAAAGTCTAAATATTGCTGACCAAACCCTATGAAGAGACGTGATCTAGTGTGTGTGGAAGTTACCCGCTCAGCAAACACGCTGCAGAGATAACTTCACTCTACGCTTCTATGTTTTTATGCTGATTCGGATCCACAGAGCTTTCCTGATGGCTCTGTAGTTTGATTTCAAGGATCCCTCCCCCTCCTCCATAACCACCCCGCTCAAAATGCCCCATCTCTGAGAGTACACTGTGTACCTTCCCCATTTTCCCAAGTGTTAAAGGGAAAATCTGAAATGGATTTCTGGACCACTCCGGGCAAAGGGGACAGCCAGAGCAGGAGATTAAGACAACTGTAGAGGAATAGACAAAGCTATGAACTTCATATATTTGTTATAATAAAAGGTAGAATAACAGGTCAAAGAAAAAAACCTCCGGGCATTAGTCATGCTCTGTTTGAACAGAAACCAGAACAGGAGAGAACTGTCTTTAGGGCTTCTGAAACATGAAATAACGAGCCTCACGAGACATCACTTAGATGTTGGAGGAGAAAGAAGAGGGAATGTGTACGAGCCACACAGAAGAGGGAAGCCCTGTGGTTAGTAACCTGCTCAGTCAGTTGTCTGTGACAGACGGCCTCACACTCACACACGGTCACATGGTTTAAGGGAAACCGAACGTCTGGCTTTCTTCCTTTCACACAAATCACGCCTCCCCCCCCCCCCCGAGGGAAGGGTTGTGTTAGAGAAGAAGTAGGATGTCAATGTCTTGTCCGACCGTGACGTATATCAAAAGTGTGGTTTACAACGGCCACACTCAAAAAGCCAGCTGTCAGAGAGTCTCTCCAGGAAGGAATTCATGGTGTTGCATACGGGTTTTCAGATTTAAAAAAAAAAGTGGCACAAATAGTTGTGTAACAAATGAAAAAAAAAAAAAGTTGAGCTGAGAGAGAAGTTTAAAGCCAGCGTACTGTTTAACCTCCGGACAGCCGGCCGAGCAGGCCGGTAAGTGGGCGTGAATGTCACATCGCAGGTTTCGGAAAGTTACAGGAATGGTCAAGACGCAACATCGGAAAGGTGGGGGGGCTATCCAACCATCCGGCAAGCTGCTCTGACTGAGCAAACTGGCCCTTTAAGCCAGTTCACCCTGCTCCTGCCTGCAGGGGCCATCGTCTCTCCTGGCCCCCTGCCAGCTCGGCTACTAGGAACCGACAACACAAGAGGCAGAGAGCGAGATGAGAGAATAATCGTTTAAAAAGAGGGCCGCGATTCAAAAAGCAGAAGCACAGCAGGAAACGGATTCTGTTTTATTGCCAGGGCATTTTGGAAAAACAACCCCCCCCCCCCCCACACACACACACACTAGGAGTAATTAGAGGCTCAGTCTCTTCACAACTGACACGACAGTATAGGTGAGGAGGAGCATAATAGTACTGTGGGCCACACAGCATATATAATCTTTATGTTTCGTTTTGATGTGCCATGAGTGCCAGACAGGAGACATCTGGGTCTGAAGAAAAAATAATAATAAATCCACTGAAAGTTTTCAGTGATTCCCAGATTACCTTTCCTGATCCGAAAGGCTCTGAAGTTATGTGGAACATCCACTGTCACAAAGCACAGAGTAGCAGGCGAGAAAAGGAGTCGTAATAATCACTTGCGAATGCTTCCTGGTCCACCTGAAGGTCAGGGCAGGAACAGCAAACGCAGAAGTGATCAGGGAAGTTGAGACACGTAAATGTTGCAGGGATTTTGGCAGAACTGATCTTGGTATTGTAACAACAATAGATGATTTTAAATGGCTAAAAGCCAGTGGGCAGATCTCTGTTATCTCAGAAGGAAAACACCTGCAATCACAGCAGAATGTTGTTACGCCACTAACTACACATAACGTTTGAACACTTGTGTCGGGCCTTTAGATGGAATATCACATTGTGTTGAGGGGGGAAACTGAAACGGCAATACTGAACATCAAATCTACTCTAATGAAAACCAGATCCAGTGTGGTTTCCCCTCTGGACAACTTGCAAAGTAATTCTGTTTCTGTCCATAAAAAGGTGTTTGTGTCAGATAAGCTTTTTCAAGATTTCCCTTTGAATATCAATGGACGTCCATTCATGCTGGCAATGTGACGCACTTTCACCGCTTACTTAAAGTTTCTCTGCTGCTGTTGGTAGAAACACTCCAATGTGGGTGGCCCGGTAACCAGATGGATGCAGAAAACGGACACCTTTCAGTCAAGCTCTTCTACATGTTTCAGGCACAACCATGAAAGTGGCTGACCGCGCTAATTACATATCAGTCATTAGTTTGATTTCCATTAATTTTCTGCTTGAGGGGCGACGGCGAGCACAATGTCAACTTAAAAGACTTACAACAGGGACACTGCTTCAGGGAATAGGAGCACCAGCGTGGCCGAGTAATTACCTGCGACGTCTAATTGGACAAAAATGACACCGATGGTGAGATTGGCATTTGACCCTCACTGCCACCGAGAAGAAACGCAGTGTTCAGATGAGGGAACTTCACCTGAAGGACACCAGCTAGTCACACTCAAAGTTCATTTGAAGACATGTCCACAAAATGCCTCACATTTCAAAAAGGGCTCTTACCTCCAAAACAAAGGAAAGGCTGCAGTGTAGTTTATTGTTGACAAGGTAAAACCTGGGCCTAAAGCAAGTCTGCCATCAGTGCCTAAAGCAAGTCTGCCATCAGTGCCTAAAGCAAGTCTGCCATCAGAGCCTAAAGCAAGTCTGCCATCAGAGCCTAAAGCAAGTCTGCCATCAGAGCCTAAAACAAGTCTGCCATCAGAGCCTAAAACAAGTCTGCCATCAGAGCCTAAAACAAGTCTGCCATCAGAGCCTAAAACAAGTCTGTGCTGCTGATTCTTCTCTTAGTAGCTTCAGCCACTCCACCTTGTCCCTCGACTCTACAGTGACCTGCAAGCCTCATTTAGGAGGGGGTGGGGGGGCTTCTTCATTAGCTTACTGTAAAGCCACTAATGTGCTGCTTCTGTGGGAAGACAGCAAGAAAATATAGCCTTACAAATAGCAGGGGTGTGATCCAGAGGATGATTCAGCTCAATAAACCGTAATCTGCCATTACTGATTAGATTAATGAATCACAGCGGCGTATTTAACAATCTCACCCCTGAACGCGTCGCATGAAACATGAACAGGAAGAAAGACGCACGAGAGGGTCAGAGTTAGAGGCGAGCTGGGTTTCTGCCGAGTTAGCGGCTCTGTAGACAAACCTTAAATCAAAACGGTCACGTTTTGCGCTGCCATGTAATGAACACACACAGGGGATTGATTGTCATATAAATATGGCACACGTTTAAAAATACCACGCTTCCTTTGAATGACAACGGTTACCTGGAAATCTCGGTGTGGTGGAAAGGCACAGGTAGTGAGTGGAGACGGCCCAGACACAAACCCTCCTTCTCCCTGACTGACTGACTGACTGTTTATTGTTGACGAGGTAAAACCTGGGCCTAAAGCAAGTCTGCCATCAGTGCATAAAGCAAGTCTGCCATCAGAGCCTAAAACAGTCAGTCAGTTGTTTGACACACACACACACACACACACACACACACACACACACACACACCCTGCTGTTGCTGAGTCTGCTCTTTCACTACAGTATGAACGCTAGCTGTTAGGTTGGTGGATTCCACTCTTAACAACCCATATCTTAAGCAGCAATGGTTGTGGATTTCTGCAGCAGGAAGTAGATGCAGAAAACAATTACCAAAAAAATACCAATTTCAGGGATAAATAAGGTTGTATTGAATGTTCTGTCCGTACTGCATGGGTAAATCCTTGTTCACGTTGCCAATTACTTTGAGTTTCAATTACTAAAAGCCCTTTGATCATGATAAAGTAATGATGACATCGAGAAGCCAAATATCTTTGAAGCCTGAGTCAGTTACACATGGACATAGAGAGGGCTTCTCTGACCTATTTATTTATTTGAGTCTGCTGGTGTCATTCCTCCTAACGGTGGTCTAAAGGCCAAACCAAACCAGGACGCTGCACGGTCTGCTGTGCATCTCTGAACCACGTTAAAACTTCCTGTTTATTCCGCAACCATAGCGGACGCCAGTGACATCCATCTTCTGTCAAACTACTTGAGAAGATAGGAATGAGTTTAACGAAATGTACGATGACTTGTGTTGTTGTTGGACCCAGACGACTACAAACACTCACCAGGAGGAGTACGGCAGCGATACAGTGCTAACAAACAGGAACCAACTGCTCACCAAAGGCGAGTTTCACCATGACATGTTTCTATTTTGTTTTGCATAAAATCATTTCTGAAATGTGCGACAACAAAGGACCGAAATCAAAAACCACTTACTCCAGTAAGTACTCCCTACAGTACTCCACTTACTAACCCGTTTCAACTGCACACAAGTTACGCAAAGTGTTTGGCTGCAGTGAATTCTAACCGTACGTGCAGTAAGGCAGAGCGTCAAGTCTTGCTCTGACACAAATATTAACACTGTATTGGCAAACGTTGTAGCACTACTTGCTGACAAGTGGATGTGAACATTTCCCACTCAACCTGACAGCATCATGGTCTGGGTGGGATGGATCTCCAGACACAGAGCTCTCACTGTAAATAACGAGTATTGCAGGAGCAATGAGAGTATAATCAGAAAATTCAACAACTGCTGCTTGTATCTACAATGCTTTTTCAAGGGTAAAGAAAAGTGTTGATTCGAGATCGAGTGGAAAAAAAACTACTTCGGCAATAATGTGTAAATGTCCCTTGAGATAAAAACACTGGAAGTGTTTTGACCGTGGGCAGAATGTCTTCCTCAACAGGCCACTCTCTCTCTGGAAAGAACAGTCCTGCATGCTGGCTCACAACAACTCAGCAGTTTATTTATAACGTCCCACAGTGAGTGCGCTCATGAGAATATCTTCTCATGCAGGCTGCAGACACCTGTCCTAAAACACAGGACCACGGTGCTGGGTGCATGCGTTACGCAGCCCTGTCTCACAACCAACACTGGCTGTGACTGCATGTCTGGCTCACAGTTTACATTAGTACTTCACTGCTTCTTTATCGTCAACTGCTGTCATCCTTTTGTCCGAGCAGGACTACTAACCTTGACTACAAAGAATTGAAAAAAAAATAAATAATTGTGAGAGGGGAAAAAGGAGCTCAGCCCCTTCAAAGAGAGGAGAAAGCGCTGTACCATGAAAGCTGAGGGGTTGGAGGGGGTGAGGCGGGAGACGAGCAGGGGGTAAATGGGGAGAAGCCCTGCGTTTTCTCAGCTGGGCCAGCAGTGGGGCGAGGTGAGCTGTGGGGGGAGGGAAGGAAACGAGGGAGGGCTGAGGCAGCCTGGGTGACCTGGGCCTTTGTTGGCAGATGGTGGGAAGCGCCACCTTGGCCTCTCGCTCTGAATGCTAAGCAGCGCTGCCATTGTCTGGCAAGTGCGGCAGCAGACGCATGCGCTGGGTGTTTCTCTGGCAACCAGGAACAGAAACAAACTGCCCCACACAAGCACACACTCCCCCCCTCCTTCCCAGGCCCAACACACATACGCGCCTCGCCACCCTGCTTCTTTGGATCCCTGTGCATCTCAAGACTCTACAAACACTCCAACATCCTCCAAGTGGGAATTCCCATACAGGGGGAGCCCCGGGCAGACGGCGCGTAACACGCGGCATCACTTCTGACCTCAGAGGTCTAGAGAGAGTGAGAGGTCAGACAAGTGGCGACACTCAAGACCATCTGTTTTCATACAGACATGAAGATCAAATGCAATGCGGTCGAAAACGGGGTCCAGGGACCATCATGGGCACCTTGGAAACTACACAGAGCTCACAGGACAAAGCAGACTCGTTTCCCTTTCCTGCACATTTATATTTTCTTTTTACTCCTGCCTACTTTACAGATGGTTTTGTAACACTAGATTTTTTTTTAACTCTATATAAAAGTTAAAAACATTCAATATAATCCAAAAGTATAACAGCCTGCAAAATGACCAGCAAGTTGAAACAATACCTCTTCAACAAAACTAATATGATTACCTTGATAAAAGTAGGATTTATTACACAGCGGACTAATTGGATTGAATTAAAGGTACATCAGTTAGATGAACCTGATGAACTGGCATGGCATCAGTGTATTGTCAAGTTTATTTGCCTCCAACTCCCATGTGGATACAGGTGGGGATGCAATATCATACACACCTTATTGGTTATTTTAGATTGAATATAATTGTGTTCATGATATTATCACCAACCCCTGAATGCACTCTGTGCAACTGCAGTTAAAAAGCCGGACTAACTAATCTCTTAATGCCATTTCTTTTTCCAACAATAGAAACAAGAATTGAAGTAACCAGCTTATTGTGCTATAGATGTGCCCCTGTACATTACACATCAAACCCCTGTATATGATGTAGTTACTCCTACTTCAGTGGATCAATAGCCACAACTCCATAATGTTGAACAAAATCAGACTGCTAATGTTAGTCAATGTTGAAGCTAAGCAAGAAAAAACACAAACAAAAAGGCAAATAAAACATTTAAGCCCAAGAGGCGTAATGTCTCCGAACTATAAAAGAGACATATTTACCATTATTATAGTTATTATGTATCCCTAAAGAGGACATCAATTGAGTAAATGGAGAGTATGTGCTTCTGTATTCAACTGGTAGGCTCTTCACAGCTAAAAATTGGTTTAGCACATTTCAAAAGCCTGCAGAGTCAATCGAGGACATGGCACAGCAAATAAAGAGACCATTATCTTCCGTGTTGCGTTGCTCATCTAACTCACAAACAACCCATGAACATCACAACACACTGTTGGTTTCCTGAAGGATTCATATGGCCACCTGCCACAACCAGCTACTTACCGTTCTTTACAGATGTCACAAACACGGGGCCGCTGTGATCGTGGGTGGCAGGAAATCAAGTCGAGACGTAACACCCCAAAGCTAAACCACAACAGAAGCTGTCAGATCACAAAAGACACATCTCTCTGCCCCTGGCAGGCAGGAGACATCAACCTAATCCTCTACATCACACAACTGCCACCATGCTGTAAATAAAACAGGCAGTGACATAACCACAGTGACTTCACTCCACCAAGAGTAGGGTAGAGTGATACTGATGGATCACTGTGTTAACTCAAAGGTTAATGACTAAACTAACTATGCACTGCATTTTAATGTTTGGAGACACATTTCTGGGAGAACACAGGTTTACCAGCTGATAAATGATTTAACAAACTGTTCATATCAAAAACCAAAACGTCAGAAACAGTGGAGAACTGGCTAATGTGTTGCTGCTAATTGATACTCTGTCATCCTAGGAGCTCACCGGCCCTGCCACTTGCAGGCCTGTCAAGGTGCATAGTAGCGCCTCTTCAAGAGCTCAAGTCGAGTGAAATGGAAATGGTAAAAAGGGAGGTGCACTTCCATTAAACAAGGCCTTGTACAGGCCAACATAAGCCCCAGGTCATCACCCTGATATGGATGAAGCCGCACAGCTCCGCGACGTTGCAGTCACTGACTTGTGCACTCGCTAGCCGCGGAGGCTCCCGTTAATTTAGCTGGCTGGCACAACAACCTCCGATAGGCTAATGCACCTTGCTAGCTAACAACGGTAACTGAACAAAGCCGGTAACCGGTGAGGAAAGCACGATAGCTTGCCGGTGATGGAGCTTTCCTGCTCAAAATAACGTCACCTCATCTGCATCCCGCCATTTTTAAATGACAGCTATATTAACTCACAAATGTAAAAAGAATACGTAGCGTAGAGTGAACTCCCGTGTAACCCAACTGACATTTCCGTTAGCTTGGACAACCGGCTCGATAAGCTAACGTTAGCATACCTAGCTAGCTAATTGTCCCCTCCCCTCCCAGCTCCCTCCAAACGAAACCATCACCCCCCATCAAACCCCGGTTATCTATCGCTATTAAAACAACACTGTGCGTTACTGTCTAACATGGGAGTAAAATGCATAAAATCACAAACAATGTTCCATGTTACCCAAGTGAAAGGATACTGAGGTGGCGGTACAGGCTGAGGAGCCGTCTGGGCTCCCGGCGGCAGAGACACGGAGGTCAGGGTAGCCCGCAGTTGGCTCGACGGAGAGGTGCCACTTCCAGGTCCACTGACTGCGACAGCGGCGGGTTTGGGGACCACTTTCGGTGGCGAACTCATTGCAAAAAAATTAACAAATAAAAACAATACCGTAATAAATACTGATACAAACGACGCCTAGCTGGCATGCATGGAGCAAGCGTAGCAGATTCTTGAAGCAGGCCCCAAATCCCTTTAACGAAGTGGGATAACGACGCTCGAATAGCAACACAAACGTCTCTTTTTTTCATGGAAAGTCGCCGCTCGGATCAGCCGTGCTGTGCATGGGGACGGTGGGAGGTTTAGCCTCCCTCGTCCGTCCGGAACCTTTGCGGATCCGGCTCGGTTTCGTTTCTTTCAAAAATAAATAATCGCCGCAATCTTCAATCCCTCCTCGGCGATCTACCTTTTCTTCTCTGTACGTATGTTTTCTATCATTTTTTTCTCACAGAGATGAGAGACTTCGCCAACATGGCGTTGTGGCCGCTTCCAGCAGTCCGGGCAGGACAGATGATTCGGCAACTCTCGGCAACCTACGGATACCCTCGGTTAATCAACGGAACCTACGATCCATGCCGACAATCAGATCCAGAAACCGTGAATGGCTCACGTGCCCATAATGTTTCTGAAATAAATATTTGTATATCTTTTTTTAAATTATTTTCGTGATGTTAAGTCCTCAATTTGGTTAATGACATTAAAGTCCAGAACGTAAAAACATGTCATTGGTAATTGCCAACACATTGAGAAGCAACATATTCAAACAAAAATATTTTAATTACATCAAGTTGCACAAATGTTTATAATATTTTGGGTGTTTGCATGGCCAAAAATCCACACCAGCTTTTTTTAAAGTACAATTAATGGTCTGTAATTTGCACCAGCAGCAGGACTATAACAGATTTGTGTGTTATTAGCGCCACCTATTGTTCTTTTGCCTGCTTCGCACCTGCGAGTCACCAGAGGAATGTCCCATTAACGTTACTGTAATTGGATAAGTAGTGTAACGTGAGGCAGCGGGCGGAGCTAGTCACACGTCTCTGTACAACAAAGACATGTGTGTGTGTGTGTATGTGGGTTCAACTTAATAAACAAATTGAGGAGACAAAAAATGTTTTAAGACTGGTTTTACTATACAAAATAATTTGTGACAAACTCTTACTCATAAAAACAGGTATGGCACATCATAGGTTCTGGATGGAAAACATAGCTTACACTTTTGCTGTGAATGTCTTAATTCCTCTATTGTGTTTCTGACTTGTATTGGTTTTACATTTCATAAATGAAAAGCCAGCAATGGGAGGCATATATCGCATCAATATGTCTATAAAACGTAACAGTTTGACCAAATGTTACGCAGTGTTTCTGAAACATTGCAATGGTTCAAGTACAAACGGCTGTTTGAGTAATAAAACACATTTATACCATTCGTGATTAACAGATTTAAAACAGATATCAATTTTCCATCAGGTTAAAAAAAAAAAAAAAAAAAGTGACCATGAATAAAATACAATTAAAAAAATAATAAAATGGGAGCATATCCAAGCACAGTGAAGAGTTACAGGAACAAATACAAATATTTATCACTTTATGACAAACGAGCAGTTCACAAAATTTGAGAGTGGTTCTCCCATTTTCTGTAACCATTTGCTGGGTTTCCAGTGCGCATTCATAGCTACATTTAACTTCAGAAGTTGGGGCAAGCAGTTTGCTAAACCAACAATCCTTGTGGCGAAGCACTGAAGAGTGCAACCCTCCACACAGAGCAGGCCCATTCTGTCCTGAAAGCAGTGGCAAGGCAGTAGGAGTTTCAGTGGTTCTTGCGGTGCCCGTCTAGAGAGACTTTGTCAATGCTTCCTCCCAAACCTCCATTCTCCCTCCTTCCTGATTAACAGCAACGGGGCATCACCAAAGCTCACACTTATGTTTGGGGTTCATGGGAGCATCTGCTTTGCAGCCAAAGTGCTTTGAGAATTCCTGTGAATTGGAGATGGTGCCGATGACTCGGAATCTCGATGGACTGTGAGGATCTGTGATGACGCCCTCGTGCGAGCTTTCGGGTGTCCTGACAGAGCACCAAACCTGCAGGGACCATAACGGATGAAGAGACACACAATGGGGGGTTACTTTTAATTTAATTATGAAGACACTAACTCGTTTTCTTCCCTCATTATGAACATTTCATATTCATCAGCATTCATTTCTTTTCATTACAGCTCTTTTAAGTGTTTTGAGGTTATGTGGTAAAGTGTTATGTATTTTAAAAGGACGTGTATATTTTTGGGCTCATTTTATTTTGATATTTAACTTAAAGTCCCCATTTCCACTTGTTCCTTGTTGTTTGAGTTTCACTGTGCAGCTTGACACGACAATACTTCATGTTCACGTTCATTTGCTGAAGGAGGAACGTTTCTCTGAACACGTGAGCGCATGAGCCAGATTTTCAACTAGTTTGGAGCCAATCACAGTCCGGTATGCAACTTATATGTGAAGTGTAACATGGAAACTTAAAGTGCCCAGGGAACAAACACGGACAGTTCACTTCTCAGTGAAGCAGGAGACATCTTGTGTGTTTTCAAAGAGGGCGTTGTTGTCTATAAAAGCACATCAGCAGAGTATTTACAAGTGTCTTAAAACATGTCTGGCGTGAACCTTTAAGTAAGTATTAGTAATGAGACAGTTTGATTCAGTAATCGAGAAAGAGTGAGCGGTACAGACCTGGGCAAATCCTACAAAGAACAGCTGATGGTTCGTCATTCCCAGGGCAGGTAGCGTGGCCTCCTCGCCGTTATTTTTGATCCAATTCACATAAGCCTTCGAAGCAACAAATGATCATGTTACACACACACACACACACACACACACACACACACACACACACACACACACACACACACACACACACACACACACACACACACACACACACACACACAGTTTTTGCTTGTGTTAAAATGCGTAATGATGTAGACCAAGGGGAAATAGAAGGCTTTAGGTCCTCCTCTGTGTTATTGCCCCTCTGGTTCACTGTTGCTTCCATATGATTTGCTCATCTGCTTCAAAGCTTATGACCTTTTACATTACATGGAAAGAATGTGTGCATGTGAAGAAGTAACCAGAGGCTGACAAGGCCACTCGGAACCACCTGTTGTATTTCCAGGCGTCGCCGCAAACCACATAAGCTGCTTTTTTCCAATACAAATAAATGGGTTGTGCCCCGCAACGGCCTCGAACAACAAACTAATCCGCTGGATTAATGTCAGATCTACGCGATCGTTTCCTGACATCGCAGACAATCTGACAACATAGGAAACATGGCAGCAGTAGTCTGAATTGTTTGTCTACATCAGTGACAGATTTCCCCCCCCCCCCCCCCACCCCCATGTTTTAACCACACACAGAAAACATCCGTCCCACCTTGTAGGCTGCCTTGAGTCCACCGTTGTCGGCGATGTTCTCTCCCAGGGTCTGCCTCCCGTTCATGGGCTCCTGGTTGATGCTGTAATTTCCGTACTGCTCCACCATGCACTGTGTCTGCTTCTTGAAGGCCTCCACCGAAGAGTTCTTCCACCAGGGACGCAGGTTTCCATCCTTGTCGTATTCCCTCCCTTTGATACAAAGTGTGAAATATTACCGGATTCTCTGCCACATCAATCCTTTTGTGTCAGAAGGATGATGCTATGCCTCTGGAATGTAAATGGTTTGAATGGAAAACTTTTTACCAACCTTGGTCATCAAAAGCATGAGTCAGTTCATGTCCCATGACGACTCCAATGCCACCAAAGTTGAGAGCTCTGAAAAACATTAAAGATGATACATTTAGAAAATGTACGCGAATCATTCCTGTAAAATCCCTGATTTCTTCACATGGTTTTACTGAATGTAATGTGTATTTCTTTCTAGTTGTCTCTGAATTGTGAGCTGCACACATCTCAGGTTTGTTCAGCAATTCAAATAGAATCAAATCAAACTGAATACTAACGTAAAATGAAGCAACTGACAAAATGGCATTTCGTATTGATTCACAAGTTATATATGCAGCACACCACTGGAAACAGCTGCTAAATGACATTTCTGGTGGATAATGCTGGTTAGTGTTTTTTATTTTTATTTTTATATGCTTCAATGGTGTTTTAATACCATCTTTATTCCGTGCAGCTTTTTTTGGATTTGTGAAGTAAAAGACAATGTTCCACTTGTTTCTTCTATTCTAATAAAAGCCATCCACCATGATTTTGACAACCTGAAGTGGGACCTACTTAGGCCAGGAACGACTGTAAAACGGAGCCTGAAGAATTCCTGCAGGCAGAACCATCTCATTCTTGGTTGGGTTGTAATATGCGTTCACAGTCGGAGGGGTCATGCTCCACCTGAAAAAAAAAAAAAAAAACACAAGGAAGACAACGTGTGAGGGTGACATCAACAGATTCAGACTATTGATGTCCTGCCCGCTGCAGATCAAATTTTAAAAAGGCATGGGAACCCTCGTCTGTCCCCTCGACCTCAGCCTAATTAGAGACACGGATCGGTTCAGCAGAGAGAAGTTGGTTGCCTGGGAACATTTGCGGATGGCAGCAGTATTCTGCTGAGTCAGTATAATGGGAATGTGTCCCCGTCAGAGCGTGCAAGCCTCCTCTTTGGCAAGCGGGGCGGAGGAGGATGAGGGTCAACTCACTGGTTTCTGTTGGGAGTTTTCCTCAGCTGGTCGGAAGTCACTCTGGCTGAGAAGTTGTAGTACTGCATGACATTCTGGAAGTAAAGCTCCGACACCACCTCGAACTGAAAGAGAGATGAATCAGAAGCGACGGAAAAATGGAGTTCAGTGTTTTTTTTGTGAGACATTGTGTGACAAATAAAAAGTGACAGGACATTTAATTCACTTCCACATTTACCTACATCATCGAACACTTTGTCCAGCTTTGTGCCGTTCATGATGAACTCTGGATATCCCACCATGTTGTATATTGCATCTGCCTGTGACAAATGATCAAAAAAAAGAATAAATAAACTGTGGAAGACAAATTTTCACACCAGGTGGCAGTGCTGTGTTTGTCAGCCACTTCAACACACAACTCATTCAGATGTTAATGTATCCCTGAAGCTACAGCAGGAAAACTTCCTGGGAAAGAAACGCACAACATCTTTGTCCCACCTTTTCTTTGGCTGCTTTTTTTGTCTCCGAGTCCATCCAGCTCACATACTTCAGGCTGTCCTCAAACGCCCATTTAATGTCCCCGACCATATCTTCAGCCTGAAGCACAAAGGAGACAAAAGACAGTCAGAGGCACCTCACAGCAGGAGCAGCTTTTTTGTGTGTGTGTGTGTGTGTGTGTGTGTGTGTGTGTGTGTGTGTGTGTGTGTGTGTGCAATGCGTACAATAGTCTTGCTGTCCTCGGCAAAGGTGGCTTTGACAAACATGGCTCCCAGAGCGAAGCCCAGGGCGCTGTCCGTGTCGCTGACGCACAGCTTCCAGCGTGGAGTGCAGCTCTGCAAATTCAAGGCAACACACCAAGACATGTTAAGGAAAAACGCATCCTCACTTGTTAGAGAACATCAATCTATTTGGAATAGGATTTTCTTTCAGCGGGTCACATCGTCTTCAACCCATTTTGTCATTTCCCAGAATGAACGTAACAAACTTGTACCATTCAGTCGTGGGCTACGTGTGTTTGAGAGACAGTAGCGAAGTCACACCGATACCCCCCCTTTTTCCACAAAAGGTAGCACAAGTAAGACCAACTAAGACAGTTTTGATGAGTTTGAATGAAGTACGTTTCGATGATCAGTGAGCTATAATTGCTGTTGTCTGTCTGGAGTCCGGTGGCTTTGAGGAGAGCATATTAATTGTATGTTTATACATAATAATTGTCCAAATCCCCTGTTGATTTGTTGATTATGTATTCACTTCAAGGCCCGTCACATAGCATCGGGTTAAAACTCAGCGTGTTTCTATCACCGCCGATTGGAGCCAGAGATGATAAATATCTGCAACTACTGCACTCATTTGTCCTGGGAATGAGTCCCGATTGTAAACTTTCCCACTAAAGACAAAAGCCAGATGTTAGTGGGGTTTTTAGTCCAGAGAGAAAGGAGCTTAATACAGTGTTGGTGTTTCTGCTAAGACAACACAGTCTACTTATAGGCCGCTATGCCTCCTGCAAAGCCCTGCGATCGTTTGGCCAATCTCTTCCTGCTTCTTGCCCAGTGCATGCTGGGATAGGTGAGCCCCACAACTCTGAACATGTCAAATGGATGGATCCCTGTGTGTGAAGTGGAGACCTGCACTCTCTATTGGTTGTATTCCTGCCGGAGGAGAATTTCTAAATTTAAGAAATACATTTTTAAGACATAAATACAAAACTATATCAGCATAGATTTAAGGTTTTTTGGGATATACTCAATACATAAAACTTAAACTATAACCACCAGTGTCTTTAATATTTCTTATTTAATAAAAAAAAAAAAAAAAAAAAAAAAAAAAAAGATTTAAATCCAATGAAGTCCACGGAGGACCCATTTTGTGGAAGATTCAACTCAAAGAAAATCAACACAAAAGAGAGGACATGGCTGTGAGCTCTGACCTCAGTGATTATGAGATAAAGCTGAGCCGTTATCTCTTTGTGGGCTGAGACACACAGGGTTCCCTCTTCAGGACTGTGTTTTTGTTTTGAGTAGACAACATGTGAACAACCAGGACACCCCACATACTAACTACACTAAAAACTGAAGAAATGCAAGCCAGTCAACCAGCAGAACACCAGAAGAGGAATAACAGAGCAGAGTCTCATCCGAACATGTGAAGGGCCGTTTCACTTCCTGATGTTTGAATGTTGGAAGTGTCATTTACCCAATAAAACCAGATTAGCCTTTGATTATATATGTGTGGTTATACAGTGTCCCTTCTCATGAATTTGTTAAAAATTTATTAATTAATTTTATTTTTTTTTTAGGTTTAAAACAAACACCTTAAAAGAAATGTGATTTAGCTTGCAGACATAAAAGTTCGCTTTAATGACTGCAAATTTGCATATTTGTGTGACCACAACTTCTAGAATCACGCTGGAAGATTTTTCATTCTGTTCATCACCGTCTTTACTTTTATTTACAAGATATAGACACATAAATGCAGATAACAGGGCTGGGCGATAATTCAATAAGATCATTTATTGTCTTTCAGTGGAATTAGATCATCATATAGTGAGTCGTGTTTTCCAACAGCAGTATGCAGAACTTTCTTTATATATTCATTAAGATTTATTTACTGCCTACACCCAATAATTCTGTTTATGGGAATAACACAGCACAGGTAAATCAAAACTATTGTTTTAATCAGATTTCTTTTTAACTGCTGTATTCTGTTTTTCTCTATAATTTCACTTCAAACCTCTTTGTTCATTTTGCTCTCAAGTTCTTAATGAAATGAGATAATAATCATATTTCCATTTGTCAAGTACACATCCCCATACAAAATAGGCTTTACCATGTGGTTAGTTCATACAGACTATTTATTTATTCATATCGTTATTGAGATATTAAATAACCTACTGTATGTCGTGACAGAAGATTTAGGCCATATGGTCCAGCCCTAACACATAATATCTATTTTCAACAACCGTGCCTCCGCCTATCTTACAACAATGACTTTACATCTCAGCTCTCAGCATGTAAAGAACGACCCTCCACGAGTTCATCAGGTGAGAGAAAGGACAAGGACAATTGGGGATGAGTGTGTACATAGACAGAGAGGAAACAAGGTTGCAGTGAGGAAATGAGTGAGTGTTCTGAGCAAGCAACAGCAAGTTGTAAAATGAGATGGAAAAAGAGACTCGGCTGCGCTCTCACGAAAAACAGACGCACAAAGAGACACGCATAGATAGTTTGGGGTTTGTTATTACAGCTTGACCCCGGTCGAAAACAAGGCCGAGGGAACAGGATCTCGGTCAGATAAGAGCCGGAGTCAGCGGAGCTGCCACACTCTGATGGTACAACTTGCTGCCTCGTCACTTTAATGTACACAGACAGGACACGTGTTAAAGTCAGAGTATCTTTGACTCCATGTTTTCTCATGCATCTGCAGTGTAGGGGCATCTAGCAGCACAGCTGCTGCTCTAGCCCAGGTCTTCATCAAACAGAAACACAGTTACACGTTTAGTCTAAGGAATCAGATTTGTCAGCAGAAATGGAGCCGTGCTGAGCAGATTTCTCTTTTAAAAACCACTCACCTGAAGTAAGGAAACCAGGTTTTTCGTTTCCTTAAAGATTAAGGAAGCAGGTTGCCGACTTATGATTTACAGTTCTTTTACAGTCTTTAGCGGAACGGAAAAGATCAGCTCCTCTGTTGGTGCCAATTTCCATGTTTTTCAGTAAAAAATGAATCCTCTGAGTGTCACACACAAGAACAGGAGGTCAAGTGAAAAGCTCTCTAAAACAAGCTTTGTGAGCCATTTCCTCTGACTGTATACACTGGACTACTAAAAAGCCCCAAAAAAAGAAGACCATGATAAAAAACAGCAACATGGATACTTGTATCCAGTTCACACACATGCTAAAAATACATTATCTGGATGAGAATGCCAGAGTAGTTTTTTTCCATGCTTAATCCCACCTCTGTGTTTAAATCTATCCGCGTCATGCTGGATTACGGCGACTGTAAAAAGGCCAGAATTTCCTCACACACCTTCTTCGTTCCGTACATGACCTCGAGGAAGCGCTGCTCTGCGTCCTGAAACCTTTGGTCCAAAATGGACCTCATCTTCCTCACCACCTTCATTATCATGTAGTTGTTGAGTAGGCTGAAAAAAAGGAAATATCAAATTCACTGTTTTGTTGCCCTCGTTAATGCTGTCTGAGTATTTACTATTATGCCTTTCAGTAGGGGGGATCTATGCAAGTCTATATTGTATCAACAGTGTAAACACAAACAGACACAGTACCATACAGCCTGTATTATATTATGCTGTGTTCCCACTACGAGCGACACAGCAACAGGCTACGAGTCATTTTCAATGGAGGCCGCTGACACGAAGCTACAAGCTGACGCTCAACCAGAGACGGTTCAGAAAGGAGACGGCCCACTGAGGGTCGGTTTACTTCAGAAGACTCGCGGGAAGGCCTGAGTCTCCAATGGGAGAAAGGAGCGTGAACACAGATTATGAACGATTTGTTTCGTTCTATAGTCACCAAAGTAAATATCGGACCCATTTTTTTAAAAGCCACATATCGTCTGAACATTCTGAGACTGAAATCGCATTTTTCAAAACACACAAATCAGGAGAGAATGTACTTTGTCCGAGACCTTTCTGTGTCTCACTAACATGAACGCCCCTATCTAACTCACTTTATAAACGCTAAATATGGCTGTTAGCCGTGTAAATATCTAATGTCAGCAAAAGAAAACATAAATACATTAGACAAATAAAAACGAGGTGGGGGGCTGGAGGTGCATACACTATGAACACGCCCACTAAAGGAGACAAGGAACCCAAAAAAGGTTTCTTGTTAGGAGACAGGAAGTGTATACCATTTCAAACCATTGGCAGAGCTTGCAATGAGTCATCTTTGTTATAGAGCATCTTTGGCTCAACGCGCTACAAATCAAAGTTCAGCTGGTCTCAACTTTTTTTCAGTCCTGCAACGACGCGGTGATGCGACAACCGACCCTATGGTTTTGTTTCAAACTGATGCGCTCCATCTTAAAAAACAAAGCCCAAAAAGCTCCCCGTGCTATTTTATGGGCATTGCTCGTAGTGTGAACATATTAAGCATTAAGGCTTAAAAGGTAACTGACCTCTTATTTGTTTTCGTTATGAGGTCAGAAACTTGCTGGAGGTATTCTTTGGCATAAACAACCACCGGCTCTGAATCGTTGAGCGGCACGGGAGCAAACACTTCTGAGAGATACGGCATCCAGTCCACCGCCGGAACCAGATTCTGCAAAGACACCAATAAAACACACACATCAACACACACTGAGGGACGAGCACAAAGGTGAACAGTTCCTTTGCAGTCACACATCCTGAAGATTTACATTGTCACACAAGGTAGCTTTTCACTTCCTTTGGTACATGGCAGGAGCAGCCATGACTAAAAGTATCATCCTATGTGCATAATCAATACCGACGGGCTCTCACCTTCAGATCCTTGGCCTTCATCTTATTGTAGATGAGCTCTTCGTCTCTTCTCTCCTCCTGAGGGACCGTGATGTTGGCCAGGGTGGATTCAAAGTCCACGATCTCCTCCATCAGCGTCCGAGACGTCTCCTCGGAGCCCCCCAGGAGAACCCCCAACTCCGTCAGAAAGACGAGGTATGCTGTCAGATACTGCAGAGTCCCAGTGGGCAGCAGGGTGAGGGGGGGGAGACGAGGTGTGTGCATGTGTGTTAACATTTTGTTAGGAAAGTAATCCTAAACCATGCAAATACAAGAGACTATGCAGAGTTTGTTTGCCCCTGAAGCTGAAATATTTCTCCTTTTAATATTCATTGACTTTCTTTGCAAACATCAGCAACTTTTACTTTTAGAGATGGGACAATTTTAACCGCTGTAAAAGCAACGATTGGCCCTACAGTACCTTTTCATTTGCCGTTTTGTTGAGGTAGTAATCCCGTGACGGTAGCCCCAAGCTGGACTGATCCACCTAGAGTCAAAAGAAGCATAAGATGACTTGAGCCTCCGTTTCAACCTTCACAAACAACCTTCTGTTTTCATCCCTGCGTTGCCAGCATGCAGGCTAAAAGTAGAAGCTTGCAAAAGATCGTATCTGTGCCATTTGTTACGCTCTCTGTCGGTGTGAACCCAAGACCGCCGAGATAATGAGTGCATTATCCCGCTGAGGGAAGCCTGCCAATGTGGGTTGGACGGAATATGATGTAAGAATTTAAAAGGTGAAGAAGCACTTTCTGGTGTGTGAATATATGATTTTAGATAAATACATGCCTGTGTATATAAAAACGGCCCGATCTGCTCACCTGGATTATGTTGGTGTTGGAGTTTTTGGAGTCGGTGCTGACAAACACGGTGAAGAAAGGCGAGGTGTGATAGTTGGCAGACACCATACGCAACACTTCCTGGAAGTTGTTTTTGTCCCAGGGTCCCGTCAGGGCCCATCCTCCGATCTGAACCGGGCAGGTTTAGGCAGACACTCAAGAGACTTTCAATAGAAATGAAGGATTGAAATGATGAATGTGCCTGGTGTGTGACCGCTTTGGGCAGTGAGCATACCTGGCTGATGAGCTCCTGCAGTGGCTTAGCTCCCAACTCTTCAATCTTGGCCTCGTTCATGCAGGCATGGTAGTATCGCTGGGCCTTTTCCTCAGCCTTACTCAGACCTTTCATCGTTGTGTTTTCTGTCCAAAGAACAGACGTAAGATTAATTACGTGAATTGGGTGAAGGCAGCTGAGGACACCGAGTCAAACAAGGACTCCTACCTAACAAATGCTTCATTACAAGAATGTTGCTCTCCCACAGGTTGCTGAAAGGTCCCCAGCGGGACTTGCCCTCAGGGAGGGGGTTGTTCTTCACCCAGCCCCCACAGGCAAAGTTGTAGAAGTCGTGGCAGGGGTCGACGGATTGGTCCAGGGCTCCCATGACCGCACTGGCCACAGTAACGCACGGCTCGGTCAGGCACAGGCCCGGGTGAGCTGCAGGAGAAAAGACATTTCATTCTTTATTTTTTATATATACACACTTTATCACAGGAGTTAATATAAATTTGATTACATATAATGTTGTTCATACGTATTCCTTTGATGTTTATATACGTATTTTACAGTGAAAAAGTACAAATGATTAAGTAGAAAAAATAACAAAATTGAGAAAACAACAATAATAACAATGTATACACACCCTGTGTCTGTATGTACACAGAAACAAAATTAACTCTTTTTTAACTCATAGACAGTTCACTTTTAAACCCTCGTCTTTTGAGGACGACTGTGGTAATCTGAAAATATGTCCCGGCAGGACATCCAAAGAAACGTATGTCTGCTGGCGAGTTTCAGACCATCTGGAAACTATTATTTAATAAGAAGTAACAGCCAAGATAAACAGCCTGCAGGGAATATCTGTAAAAAAAACTTCATAAATACTTCGCTGAAACGCAAGGCTTGATCTGGTCTTTGCAGGAGGCGGTGTCTGACGTGAACTATTGCCGACTGATTATGTAATTATCTGACTAATAAGCAGTCCACCTAGATGAAGGATCAGGGTCCTGGGTGAATTAATCTTCTTTAAAATGAAAGATTAAGTCAGTCACTTTGCCTTTGAAGTGTATTTCACTGGCCCGTAGATAAATGCCATGGCTCCTTTTGTGTGTTGTGTGGAATATTTATAGAAGTAGAAGTAAATTAAGTGTTCAGAGAAGTGCAAGTGCTAGTACAGCTCGCCTCCTTAAATACTCGACTTACTACGTCTGCACACATAAGGCATGAAACAGAGACGGAGACAAAGTTACGAGCAGTGATGAGGTTAGTACCCCGAGGAGAATTCGGCCTTGTTCCCTTTATTATTTCAAAGTGTGATCTGACATGCGGTTCTGAATGAGAGGAAGCGGTATTAGGTTTCCCATGGCAGAATTGAGGAAACCAGCGCGGATGAGACGCCGCCTGGATGCGATGGTCAATCCACAAGCCCCTTTTTCCATAATGAACAAGCTCAAGGGAGAGATTTAGAGTTGTTTTTAGGCAGCTTAGCTGAAGGTGTGGCTTTGGTTTATCAAAAATATAATCCACATATACTGTATTAAACAGCACAGCTCCTGTAGTTTTTAGGCTGGGTCAATGTATGAGAACAATCCTGAGCACCTCGTGAAGGAATGTGGACTGACTTTAGTTTTTTTATACCTCTTTGTTATCATTATAAACAAAAGGTAGCGGACATTTCAGGAATAGCTTTACATTTTGGGAAACACACTTTAGATGAAACCACTCTCATGTCTGTACGGTAAACGTGTAGCTACAGCAAGTTAGCTTAGCTTAGCATAAAGACTCAACAGAGGGAACAGCTGGCCTGACTCTGTCCAAAGTAAACTAAATTCACAATGCTTGCCCGTTTCTTCACATAGAAACAAATGCGGTATAATGTTTTAATTTGTGAGCTTTATGGGAGCTGGTCGGTGGATTTTGTTGCAAGTGTTCATCCCAAGCTAAGCTAACCAGCTAGCTTCATATTTAATAAACAGCTTTTGGCAAAATAAGCAAATAGACGTATTTCCCCAAATGTCAAACTATTCCTTTAAGCCTTTCTCCTTTTGTTTGGGTGTTTCTATTTCAATATTCTTCTTCTTTTTGGAACGGTTCCTTTGTTTTTGATTTGACTAAACAATAAAAACACTTCCTCCGTGTTTTTTTCCCCAGTGTATGTCACCATAGCACTGAGTGTAAATAGAACTTCACACTCACTCTGCTTGTAAAGGACCCCGGTAGTGATGAGAGATATGAACAGGCCCAGAGACACGACACACACTAGACACAGCAGCCTCCTCTCACTCTGTGTCCGGTCTAGCCAACATGAGGGACCGCGGCCGTGCAGAAGAGTCACCTGCACACACAGACACACACACACACACACACACACACACACACACACACACAAAAAACATTAACGTACTTCATTTAATCCACTGTGTCAAACAACCATTTTCAAGAGGTTTAGCATCATAAAACACATGAACATTACTCTCAAATCAGCTTTATAAGTCACATAAACACACACTCTTGATAGTGTTGAAGGGACGCAGTGTGGAAAAGATTGCCTAGAGTCACACAGCTTCTCAGGGATTTGATGACAGGTTTGGTTTCAAAGCACAATGCTTTGCTTTCAAGCCTCCTACACAGAAAATGTTAAGCATTCTTCTATTGTTCTCTCGTTAATAGTTTAACGAGGAGGATATTTTTAGTTTTGCCCTCTATTGATCCTGTTGAGCCACATCTGCTGTGTTGTGGTTCACCTGTAAATAAAATGAGTCCAACGAAAGAGTCAACGAGGGACAACAGCATACAGTTAATAGATATTCTGCTGCAAAGCTTATGAGGAAAATAATCCACATGAAAGAATAAATAAGTTAGAGGAACGTCCATACTTTGTGGTCAGCGACTGAACATTTTTTAAAAGATCAATGACCGGTGCAGTGGACCGTTAACCAGCACACGCTGCTCCTGCATGTTTACTACTGATTGTTGCTTTAGTTGAGGCTGCCAAGGGAGTTTATTTCCTACAGGAATGATTCCAAAGGCCACTCACAAATCTTCCACAGGGCGCATTAAGCACTCTGGCCAGCCTTTGAGTATCCCCTCTGTAAATAAATGCCAGATCTTGGACCTCACATACATCCTGTGGAAGTCAATTACCCCTGAAGTGTGTATATAAGGATCCGATTTACTACTATTAGCTTAGATGAGAGTTCAACAGTCAAACGTAATGTGGCCGAATCAGAGGCCAAAGCCACGGAGGGTTCTTAATCCCCGGAGCTCAGCGTGTCGGCTTGGTTTGAACCTTAACTGGGTTTCTGAGTGTAACGGAGAAAATCCCACTGCCAAGCCGGTGCACTTTAAATCTGCAGCTCATCTAAACCACATCTTACTACCCTGACAACCACGGCAAAGTGATGATGGCAGAGCAATGTCAACGGCTTAGATTCAAACTTCTGGTCAAACAAAGTATGTGAGGAAAGATCGCAGCTGCAGAAGTTAATCAGCATTGAATCAGTTCAATGTTGTTTTCAATCTACCTGGTATCCCAGCCAGCATGATTTAATCATGTTCAGTATTAGCAGTCAAGCAAATATACCACATTCATGAAGCATGTGTCCAGCAGGCTGGCCTCTGTAACGTGTTATAGAGTTTACGGGCAGACATTAAATCAAGTGGTATCTGATGTTCAGACCAATGCTGGACCGATGCTGCGAAATGATCTTCACGTTTTTATTGAAACTGCTTTCCTCATGAGTTGAACTGGGTTTAAATTAGTAGATGTTACTCTCCGATCAAAGCCATGTTTTTTAAAGTTTACATTTAGGTTAAAAGGTATAATGTTTGCATGACAGCGGTGATATTTTCCATAAGGTGTGAAACTGTAAAAAGCCTGCACATTTCTTCTGTGTAACAACACAGTGCCGACAGTAAAACAAGATGTCTGCACGTTTACCTGCATGGGTGATGATGGGTAGACATCGTCACTGGTGGAGTCCACCAGGTCCTCCTCATCCAAAGTGGCTCTCTTATACGTTGACATCTGAAAAGTCAAATGCAGAAAAGACTCTCTCAGTGCTTCCATGTTCCTTTTGGTCGCTCCAACGACACCTCTCACGGCCCCCATGTCGTTCAACAGACACCACCCGCCCTCCGATGTCAAACGTCACAACACACACACACACACACACACACACACACACACACACACACACACA